TGCTGCAGCAGTTGGACAGGGTGGATGAGACTCCGGGGCCTCCCCACCCCAAGGGGCCCCCTCGCTGCTCTTTCAGTCCTCGGAACTCACGGCATGAGGGCTCCTTTGCCCGGCAGCAGAGCTTGTATGCACCCAAGGGCTCCGTGCCCAGCCCCTCACCGCGGCCCCAGGCGCTCGATGCCACACAGGTGCCGTCACCGCTTCCACTGGCACAGCCGTCCACACCCCCTGTACGGCGGCTTGAGCTGCTGCCCAGTGCGGAAAGCCCAGTGCGCTGGCTTGAGCAGCCGGAAAGCCACCAGCGGCTGGCGGGGCCGGGCTGCAAGGCAGGGCTGTCCCCAGCCGAGCCCCTCCTGTCCCGGGCGGGCTTCTCCCCAGACTCCTCCAAGGCGGACAGTGACGCTGCCTCCTCAGGGGGCTCGGACAGTAAAAAGAAGAAGAGGTACCGGCCTCGAGATTACACGGTTAACTTGGACGGGCAGGTGGCTGAGGCGGGCGTCAAGCCTGTCCGGTTAAAAGAGCGGAAGCTCACCTTTGACCCCATGACAAGACAGATCAAACCTCTGACCCAGAAAGAGCCAGTGCGGGCAGACAGCCCTGTGCACATGGAGCAGCAGTCCAGGACAGAGCTGGACAAGCAGGAGGCCAAGGCCAGCCTCCAGAGCCCCTTTGAACAGACGAACTGGAAGGAGCTGTCACGCAACGAGATCATCCAGTCCTACCTGAGCCGGCAGAGCAGCCTGCTCTCATCGTCGGGCGCGCAGACCCCGGGGGCTCACCACTTCATGTCTGAGTACCTGAAGCAGGAGGAGAGCACCCGGCAAGGGGCCAGGCAGCTGCACGTGCTGGTGCCTCAAAGCCCGCCCACAGACCTCCCCGGGCTGACCCGGGATATCACACAGGACGATCTCGACAGAATCCAGGCCAGCCAGTGGCCGGGGGTGAACGGGTGTCAGGACACACAGGGTAACTGGTATGACTGGACGCAGTGCATATCACTTGATCCGCACGGCGATGACGGGCGCTTGAACATTCTGCCTTATGTCTGTTTGGACTGACCGGCCCGTCAGCCACAAAGTGCATTCCCATCTTGCAGAAGCCGGGCGGGCGGGCAGGCAGGCGGGTGGGTGGCCGGGGCCCAGCTGCCTCCTGCGCTGGGAACTCGGGGAGTCCGGCCTGGGCAGGAGGGAGGGGGCGGGAGTCACGCGGTCTCTCTGCACTCTTCCCTCAAAACTCTCCTTTTGTGAAATGCTGCTACCAGTTTACTAACAAAATTGCGAAGGAAGGACCGCGTGGAAGGAAGGACGGCAAAGTGAGTTCAGAACTCTATAGCAAACCAGCTATAAAAAGCGTTAGTCCCTCACCCCTGAAGAGGTGCGGACACTTTCCAGCACCTGAAAGCTGGGACCTCAGTTGCAGGCAGGCACAGAAAACCTGTGGAGAGGTTACCTTTAACACAGCAACAGAAGCACGCATCTCATCTCTCTTGCATTTTCTGTTCTTTAATTTGGCCCTGAGTGTCTGTGAGACAGTGGGCCATGCTGCCTCTGTTTGCTCCCTACCCAGCCACTGTCAGGTCAGTGTTGTCCGTCATGTGCCAGAAGCTTCTCAGCTGTGGTGAGCCACTGGCATCGGGCAGGCGGGCCAGCTGGCCAGCCAGGGTGACCCACACTCCATGGGCAGCCACCTGTTTATATCTGGTTTCAGTTATAACCCCGTTTTTAAAGAAATGCTGCAAAAATTTAAGTTTTTTCATGTTTATTTTAACAACTCCTTCCATCAGACCACCAGACAAAAAAAAAACCTTTCCTTTCTTCCTCCCTTTCTTTTTTCCCTTCCTGTACACATCTAGAAAACTTCACCTTTCTAGAGTCCTCCCAAAACAACACAAAAGTGACTGTGGGTGCTACTGGTTTTATGCTGTACTGTGGGGCGAGGGGGAGACCTGTCTGTACGCTGGAAACACTCATAACCATTCCTTTAGATTCGTTTGCCTTATGGTTATTTGTCATAAACGCGATTTGCAAAAACAAGGAGCCTTAGTGAATGTACAGTACCTAGACTTCTGTGTTCTCAGGACGCAGAAGGGAGCAACTTTGCTATTTGGTCCAGTAAGTGGACACCTTGTGATATAAATGTGGAAATAAAAAAAAAAAAAACCATTTGCACAAACCAGTCTGAGAATCTTTTCTCATTTGGACCTTCACAGCCAAATCAGCCCTTTCCTGGATTGTAGATTAGCCAGAAAAACCTAGACCCCAACAGCCGCAATGCAGGGAGACAGGACAGGGCACTGTGCTTTGAAGTCCACCTGCTAGCCTGCTGCTGCATTTGGGAGGACCTTCACATTTTATTCATTCAGGGCCACATTAAGGAACGTTATCTTGTCTCACCCAGACTTTACCTGGCCTAGAGAGCAGCCCTCCGTAGGAGGCTCCATAGCATAGGTCTCAGTGACTACCCCCACCTTAACAAAATACCAGAGACTTAGAGCTGTGTGTGTGTGTGTGTGTGTGTGTGGCAGCCCACCCTGTGGCCCTGGCCCCCGGCTGCCTTACTAGCTGGTGGTTGCTGACTCCAAAAAAAATAGTTCTCCCTTGACTATAAAGTGATCATCTTTTAAGTTCCCCCTCTTCCCTGAAACTGTAGGCTAAGACTTTGGTTTTCTAGTTTTTCACTTTGGAATAGGTCATCTTATCCGTATCTGCTTAATTTCACAAATGAAGAAACAGCTACACCTTAAGACATGCAATCTCACAGAGCAAACCAAGGGTTCCTTCCAGCCTGTAAGACTACAGTCAGTCCAGAGCCAGTTTCAGAGCTAGCAGGGATTCCTGGCAAAAGCTTGGTGCAGAATACACTCCCCTCCCCAACAAAAGGCCATGGGCGAAGTGGCTTTGAGGGCAGGATGAGGTTGAACCCAGGCCTGCCACCCACCAGCTGTGTGGCTCTGAGCTCATCTCTTCACTCCTGTGCACATGTCCCCATTTGGGGGGTGAAAATACCTACCCCAGAGTTTTGAAAACTAAAACACACAGCATGTCAGTGGAAGTATCTGACACTCAGCTGTGCTGTAGGGTGCCTATAGTTACATTTTCCCAAGTTCACTGTGCCTATGTTTAACAGCTCTGCTGATATGTGGTGTCTCAAGGATGTGATTTTACTCTGATACACACAGGGCACAGCTGGAGGATATTAGGGTGCAGAGCTTGGCCTCCTATCAGCATCTCTAGAACTTTGGGACAGGCTGCAGCTCCCCCCTACCCCTGCCTGCAGGGACTACCATGCCTGTGTCCATGTATCCAGGAGGACCTAGGGCACTAATGTTACCTGCCTTTGAGAATGCAAGGATAAGCAAAGATACCTTCCAACATTTGGGGGGCCAAGTTGGGTTGCTGCTTTCTACTCTTCTTTGGGACTGGGTCTTGCTCTGTCACCCAGGCTGGAGTGCAGTGGCGCCATCATAGCTCACTGCAGCCTTGACCTGGGCTCAAGCCGATCCTCCTACCTCAGCCTCCCTAGTAGTGGGGACCACAGGCGTGCGCCACCACACCTGGCTAATTTTTGTATTTTTTGCAAAGACGAGGTTTTGCCATGTTGCCCAGGCTGATTTCCAACTCCGGAGCTCAAACAATCCGCCCGCCTTGGCCTCCCAAAGTCCTGGGATTACAAGCTTGAGTCACCGCACCCAGCCGGTTGCTGCTTCTAATTTAACAAGTAGAAACACTGTAACGGGGGCCGGGCGCGGTGGCTCAAGCCTGTAATCCCAGCACTTTGGGAGGCCGAGACGGGCGGATCACGAGGTCAGGAGATCGAGACCATCGGCTAAACCGGTGAAACCCCGTCTCTACGAAAAAAATACAAAAAACTAGCCGGGCGAGGTGGCGGACGCCTGTAGTCCCAGCTACTCGGGAGGCTGAGGCAGGAGAAGGGCGTAAACCCGGGAGGCGGAGCTTGCAGTGAGCTGAGATCTGGCCACTGCACTCCAGCCTGGGCGACAGAGCGAGACTCCGTCTCAAAAAAAAAGAAAAGAAACACTGTAACGGAATTTTAACACCCTTTCCTCGAAAAAATTGGAGGTACACGATTTGAGGAACAGATTATAGTCCTTGAATTAGTATAAGATCATCTTACTGAAAACCTCGTCTTGTTTTCCTTCACTGGGGCCTGGGGCTGGTTCATCCCGGCTGGTGCTTGGACATCAGCCGTCAGGGCCCGGTACCTCCCCCTTCTGCCGAGCCTTGGAGACAGGTGTCTAAGGACGCTGCCACGACCACGGTCCCCAGAGTGGCCAGGAAGCCTAAGACAAGTCGCTTCCCCATTCTGGACTTCGGTCTGTGAAATGGGAATGGTGATACCTACCGCACGACGTTCCTAGGATTCAGTGCGATGATACGAGGGCCAGGCCCGAGAACTGCGCACGTCGCGGCGGTTTCCAGAACATGATTCCAGGGACCGAGTGCTCCGGGATAGTCCCACTGCCAGAGTTTGGCCACGCGCGTGCGCCCCAGTTTGCGGAGGAAGTTTAGCTCAAGAGCTTTTCACAACTGGTTTCTTTCCCCAAAAGGTCTTTTACCTTCGGTGTCAGCCGCCGCCAGCCAACAGGAATCTAGTTAGGGGGTGCCCATGTACCCCTGGTAGAGGCCCTGATATTTAGCCCACGCACAGACGCCGACGCTGCAAAGCCCTCCACGCTCCTGCTCGCCTGTTCCGCTCGAGTTCTGGCTCCCGGTCACTGGGACCGCCCACGTCTCAGGTGGTACAGCTTGGATGCAGGTCTCCGTCCCCTTCTTCCGCTTCCGGCCTCGGCTCCGCCCTCGCCGGAAGCGCATCTACAGCGGACTGGGCCTGCACTCGAGACGTGGTGGCTGGCGCGTCGGCCGGCGCGGTGGGATGACGCACAGAGGCAACGACCAATGGGAAACGGCTTAGGCCGGAGGGCCCGCCCCCGCCCAGCCCCGCCCCCGCCCGGCGTCGGGCCGTCGGACGGGCGGGAAGGGGCGGCCGCTGGGGCAGGATGGCGGCGGCTGCGGTGGGCGCGGGCCCTGGCGCTGGGGGCCCGGGCGCAGCAAGCAGCAGTAGCGGGGCGCGCGAGGGCGCGCGGGTGGCGGCGCTGTGCCTGTTGTGGTACGCGCTGAGCGCGGGCGGCAACGTGGTCAACAAAGTGATCCTGAGCGCCTTCCCGTTCCCGGTGACCGTGTCGCTGTGCCACATCCTAGCTCTGTGCGCTGGGCTCCCGCCACTGCTGCGCGCCTGGCGCGTGCCCCCCGCGCCGCCCGTCTCGGGCCCCGGACCCAGTCCGCATCCGTCGTCCGGCCCGCTGCTGCCGCCGCGCTTCTACCCGCGCTACGTGCTGCCGCTCGCCTTTGGCAAGTACTTCGCGTCCGTGTCAGCGCACGTCAGCATCTGGAAGGTGCCGGTGTCTTATGCACACACCGGTAGGTTCCGCGCCCGGCCTAGGGGGCGGCGGCCGGGGCGCGCAGCTTGGGTCTTGGGCGCATGGAAAGGAGTGCGCCGCCCGGGGCGCGTCCCGCCGGACTGAGAAGTCAGCAGAGGGGCTACCAAGGCTTTTGGTAGGGGAGGGACACGCACAGGATTCTTAGGGAGAAAAGGGGCTGAGAAGAGAGCTGGGAGGTAAGCAAGACAGACCACAACTGCCGTGGTGGGAGGAAGCCCTACCGACAGAGAAGGGGTGAAGAGGTCTGAGGGGCTGCCAAGCCCTCCCATCCAGCCGTGGAGGTGGAACAGGTTGGGCCCTGGAACACAGGCAGCCCCCTGAGTGCCCTTCCCTCTCTTTGCAGTCAAGGCCACCATGCCCATCTGGGTGGTCCTCCTGTCCCGGATCATTATGAAGGAGAAGCAGAGCACCAAGGTAACCCCGGGCAGGGACTCTGGGCAGGTGGGACCTCCAGGGGGTTCCTCCCTGTTGCCAACTGGTGACGTGGTCAGGATCCTGGTCTGCAGGCTGCCTGGCTTCCTGTCAAATAGGGAAGTCAGTGTAGAGGCCTCCAGTGGCCTTTTACTACTCAAGTTCTAGAATCACGCTGTGAGCAATGGTGTGTGGAGTATGTGTACCTCTGTGATCTCTGCTGTGTGGTCTTAGGAACACTGTTGTCCCTTTCAGATACAATTTTCCTCCCATACCCTACCTGGGTTTGCTGGTAGGTAATGGGTTGGTCACATTTTGGCCGTACACCCCATGTGTGGCCTTTCCAGTGGGACTAGGGACGGATCAGAACGCTGTGGGATAGGTTTACACTTTTTTTGAAACGGAGTTTTACTCTGTTGCCCATCCTGGAGTGTAGTGACACAATCTCAGCTCACTGCAACCTCTGCCTCCTAGGTTCAAGCAATTATCCTGCCTCAGCCACCCGAGTAGCTGGGACTACAGACATGCAACACCACACCTGGCTAATTTTTTTTTTTTTTGTATTTTTAATAGAGACAGGGTTTCACTATGTTGCCAGGCTGGTCTCAAACTCCTGACCTCAAGTGATCAGTCTGCCTCAGCCTCCCAAAGTGCTGGGATTACAGGCGTGAGCCACTGCACTTGGCTAGATTTTCACTTCTTTACAAGAGAGAGCTGTCAGGGGACCTCTGGGATCCGAAGCCAGATACGATCAAAGGAGTTTGATCTTGGCAAAATCCAGCAAAGTCTTAGAAATTAAAACAGCCAGAAGTTGTGATGGTCTGGGAACAGAAGCGAAAGCAGCACACAGGACTCAGGGCTGCATAAGGAGGATGCTTTGGGCGCAGTCCAAATTCGGTTCAAGATGCCAAACCAGGGTATTTCCTGGCTTGGGGCAAGAATAGCCATGGCTTTAGCCAGAGACAGCTTTGTCCGGTATCCTTAAGTGGAAGTTGGGTGCCTGTCGTCCCAGCTGGAATCCATTTCATGCTGGACACCGTGCCTCTTTTCCAAGTGGTTGGTTTCTGGCATCTTGTGTTTTATGTAACTCAGAGAGGCAGTGCCCTGGATCAGCTTATAGAAATTGGGCCACCTATGGCTGATTTTTTTTTTTTTTTAAATTCCCGCCTGTCTTTGTCCCAGCAAGACCTGTGTGTGCTCTGCAGTCTCGCTCCCCCAGGGTGATGTCAGACTGTGACTTGGCTCCTGGGAAGTCAAAGTTTTCCCAGAGGTGTGTAGCTGCATCACCGGATATCATTGTGTTTATCAGGTTTCCCCGTTGTACGGGACATTGTACCCAGCTTGGGCAAGGAGCCAGAAACTTCACACAGTGAGGAAAGACGGAATTGACCCGGTTAGACAGCCAGACTAATTATAATGACATCATAACTTTTGGAACCTGCCCTGCAAGGCAGATAAGGCTGGTAGTCATCATTCCTGATCTCAGGTTTTCCTGAGATGGACTGAGAGGGGAGAATCATGTGCCTGAGGGCCACAGCCCAGTATTGGAGAAGCTGGAATTCAGGTCCACAGCCCCCACTCTGCCCTCCTTGTGGCATGACCACTCCGTCCTAAGATCTCCACCTCTCCTACCTCTCCTTAAGAGTGTTTGTTTGTTTGTTTGTTTGTTTTTCTGAGACAGAGTCTCGCTCTATTGCCCAGGTTGGAGGGCAGTGGTGGGATCTCAGCTCACTGCAAGCTCCGCCTCCTGGGTTCAAGCAACTCTTGCCTCAGCCTCCTGAGTGGCCGGGATTGCAGGCGCTTACCATCACTCCTGGCTAATTTTTGTGTTTTCAACAGAGACAGGGTTTCATCATGTTGGTCAGGCTGGTCTCAAACTCCTGACTTCAAGTGATCTGCCCTCCTCGGCCTCCCAAAGTGAAGAGTGTTCTTGGTAGGACAGGGTTGAGCCAAGAGTCAGAAGAGCTGGACATGCGGGAATGGATCCCGGTGGATCCTGGCAGTTGGGAGTCGTTTAGCCCCACATGCCAGACCTTGTTGAAGGCTTTCTGTCACTATGTTTGCTACTCGTTCATTCAGCTAGCGGCTATTGAGTGCCTACTGTGTGCTAGGCACCAGGATAAAGCAGCGAACAAGGACATGCCCTAAGGTTGTACACTAATGGAACTGGATGATGTAACAGAGTGGGTGGAGAGGCCGGGCGCGGTGGCCCACGCCTGTAATCCCAGCACTTTTGGAGGCCGAAGTGGGCAGATCACGAGGTCAAGAGATCAAGACCATGCTGGCCAACATGGTAAAACCCATCTCTACTAAAAATACAAAAATTAGCCGGGCATGGTGGTAGGCACCTGTAGTCCCAGCTGCTCGGAAAGCTGAGGCAGGAGAATCACTTGAACCTAGGAGGCAGAGGTTGCAGTGAGCCAGAGATTGTACCACTGCACTCCAGCCTGACGACACAGTGAGACTCCGTCTCAAAAAAAAAAAAGAGTGGGTGGAGAGCTCTCTGCTGGGGAAGCCCAGGCAGTGGCCCTGGGAACACAGCACAGAAGCCTCCCAAGGTGGAGGTGGGTTGGAGAAAGCTTTCCTTGTGAAGGCAGGAGGTCAGCGGGAGGAGAAGGCATCAGTGGAGTGTCCCAGCCAGGAGTAACCATACTGGAAGAGCCTGAAGTAAGAGGGAATGGGAGCTGGGCGCGGTGGCTCACACCTGTAATCCCAGTACTTTGGGAGTCCGAGGTGGATGGATCCTGTGGGTCAGGACTACAAGACTAACCTGGCCAACATGGCGAAATCCTACCTCTACTAAAAGTACAAAAAAAATTGGCCAGGCATGGTGGCACATGCCTGTAATCCCAGCTACTCGGGAGTCTGAGGCAGGAGAATTGCTTGAACCCAGGAAGCGGAGGTTGCAGTAAGCCAAGATCGTGCCGCTACACTCTAGCCTGGGTGACAGAGTGAGAGTCAGTCTCAAAAAAACTATTTTTTAAAAAGAGGGAAGGGGGAGCCTTACAGAGGATCAGGGCTTCAGACCCTGGTGTGTCAGTGGCAGCTGAATAGATCTGTGGAGTTAGGACCAGCCCTGGGCTGTGGCCCTAAGCAGAGGCTCTTAATGAGGGTGACCGTATGGGAATAGGGCTACCCACAAATAAGCCCTGCCTCTGGCGCTCTAATAACCACCTGCCCCGAGCCACCCCCCGGAGCATCACTGGCACAGCAAACACCATTTTCAAAGTGTTAGGTAGTATCCCTTTGCTGAGGGAGGAGAGAGGCCTTTCCCTGGGCCTCTGTGGTGGGCGGCCCAGCTCTAGTCTGGCCTGTGGGCAATTCTTGATGGCCTCTTCCTGCAGGTGTACTTGTCACTCATCCCCATCATCAGCGGCGTCCTGCTGGCCACCGTCACCGAGTTGTCTTTCGACATGTGGGGGCTCGTCAGCGCCCTCGCCGCCACGCTGTGCTTCTCGCTTCAGAACATTTTCTCCAAAAAGGTATTTGGGTACCATCAGCGGACGTGCATGGGGTTTCAGGGGTGTGCGGGCGGCAAGCTGGTGGCATTGGAAAAACAGGCTGAGTCGAAATTTCTTTGCTATTGGAGCAGAAAAATCTTGATTGCCATCTGCTGATTTTCTGTTTGTCATTTTGCTTTTTAAATCGTTTTGATTTTTTGGCCGGGCGCAGTGGCTCACACCTATAATCCCAGCACTTTGGGAGGCCAAGGCGGGCGGTTCACTTGAGGCCAGGAGTTCAACAGCAGCCTGACCAACATGGCAAAACCCCATCTCTACTAAAAACACAAAAATTAGCCAGGCATTGTGGCATGCACCTGTAATCCCAGCTACTCCAGACACTGAGGCACAAGAATTGCTTGAACCCAGGAAGCAGGGGTTGCAGTGAGCTAAGATTGCACCACTGCACTCCAACCTGGGCAAGAGTGAGTCTCCATCTCAAAAAAAAAAAAAAAAAAATTCTATTATAAAGTTAATGTGCTCAATAAGAAAAAAATAGAGAAAAGCTCTTTTACTGAGACCAGAGCTCACTGTCGCCCAGGATGGAGTGCAGTGGCACAATCATAGCATACTGCAGCCTCAATCTTCGAGGCTCAAGTGATCCTCACACCTCAGCCTCGCAAAGCACTGGGATTACAGGCATTAGCCACCAGGCCTAGCTGAAAAGTTCAATTTAAAACAAAATTTCAAAACTTGTTGAAGCCTAGTGCAGTGGCTTACATCTATAATCCCAGCACTTTGGGAGGCCAAGACAGGAGGATCACTTGAGGCCAGGAGTTTGAGACCAGCCGGGCAATACAAATAGTGAGACCCTGTCTCAAAAAAAAAAAAAAAAAAATTATTGCTCTTAACTCCTGTGATAATCACACACTTTTCAGGTACCATGGTTAATGCAGTTTCCGTATTGGAAATACCAGTTATTTCTAACTTTTCATTGTAATGTAGATACAATTATGTGTGTGATGTTTTCCTGTCTCAGTTATTTCATTATGATAGGCTTACAGTTCTCAGGTTAGAGGGTATGAAACGTTTATCACTCCTTTTTTTTTTTTTTTTTTTTTTTTTGAGACAGAGTCTCGCTCTGTCGTCCAGGCTGGAGTGCAGTGGCGTGATCTCCGCTCACTGCAAGCCCCGCCGCCCGGGTTCACGCCATTCTCCTGCCTCAGCCTCCCGAGTAGCTGGGACTACAGGCGCCCGCCACCTCGCCCGGCTAGTTTTTTTGTATTTTTTTAGTAGAGACGGGGTTTCACTGTGTTAGCCAGGATGGTTTCGATCTCCTGACCTCGTGATCCGCCCGTCTCGGCCTCCCAAAGTGCTGGTATTACAGGCTTGAGCCACCGCGCCCGGCCTATCACTCTTAATATAATTTGTCTGGTCGTATTCTAGAAAGGTTATACCAATTTTGCCTCAAACCAGTGGAATTTCAGAGTGCCTACTTCAGTTCGTCCTCACCAGCACTGACTGTTACTGCTTTATTTTTGTTTTCTTTTCTCAGTCGTTTATGCGTGGAACATGGGGCTTGTTTCAGGCCTGTGCTGTGTATGTCCTCACAAATGCACTTGCAGGTTTGGTGTTCAAGCTCAGATGTCGGGGTTAATGTCCAGCCACTGTGTTTGGGGCCTGAGTCACTGGAGCCCTTTTTGCCACTTATAGTTTTAATCACCCTCTAAAGAGGCTTTCCTTTTCCAGGTCTTGCGAGATTCACGGATCCACCATCTCCGGCTGCTCAACATCCTGGGCTGCCACGCCGTCTTCTTTATGATCCCCACCTGGGTTCTGGTGGACCTCTCGGCTTTCCTGGTCAGCAGCGACTTGGTGAGTTGGACAGCACCAAGAACACGCCATTTTCTTGGCTAGTTCCAAAATAGGTGCTTTGCTGAGGAGCTGTAGCTGCATGTTAACATTGGGGTGTTTTTTGGGCACCTGGCAGCCAGCCCTTTCAGCCGTCAGCCCTCTGTAATGACTCACAGTGGCGGTGCACACCGTCGAGGAAGTGGGTTTCCGTGCGTTTCCTTCTCTGGTGTGCTTGATCCCAGGTGCTGATAGCTGCTGTGTGGGCGCCAGTAGCATCAAGGAAGAGAAGGTGACCCTTTCATGTCCTGACAGTATGGTCCAGAGAGCACACTGACTTTTTATTTTTCCTCATTTTTTAATTTAAATGTTTTTTTTTAGAGACAGAACCTTGCTCTGTTGCCAGGACTGGAGTGCAGTGGTACAATCATGACTCACTGCAGCCTTGACCTTAACCCGGGGCTCAAGCGATCCTCCCACCTCAGCCCCCCAAGTAACTGGGACTACAGGCGAGTACCACCATGCCTGGCTCATTTCTTTTACTGTTTTTGGAGAGACAGGGTCTCACTGTGTTGCCCAGTTTGGTCCTGAACTCCTGGTCTTAAGAGATCTGCCTCGGCCTCCCAAAGTGCTGGGAGTACAGATGTGAGCCACTGTGCCTTGCCAGCCCTGGAACTTTGAAAACTGTGCGCTGGCCAAAAAAAAAAAAAAAAAAAAAAAAGGTCGAGCGCGGTGGCTCACGCCTGTAATTCCAGCACTTTGGGAGCCTGAGGCGGGTGGATCTCATATGAGGTCAGGAGTTTGAGACCAGCCTGGCCAATATGGTGACACCCCATCTCTACCAAAAATACAAAAATTGGCCGGACATGGTGGCTCGCACCTGTAGTCCCAGCTACTCGGGAGGCTGAGGCAGAAGAATCACTTGAACCCAGGATGTGGCAGTTATAGTGAGCTGAGATGGTGCCACTGCCCTTCATCCTGGGTGACAGAGCGAGACTCTGTCTCAAAAAATAAATAAATAAGAAAGAGAAAAGAAAATTGTGCGCTGCCTAGGTGTGGTGGCTCACGCCTATAATCCCAGCACTTTGGGAGGCGAAGGTATGTGAATCACTTGAGGTCAGGAGTTCGAGACCAGCCTGACCAATATGGTGAAAACCCGTCTCTACTAAAAATACAACATTAGCCAGGCATGGTGGTGCACACCTGTAATCCCAGCCACTTGGGAGGCTGAGGTGGGAGAATTGCTTGAACCCGGGAGGCAGAGATTGCAACTGCAATTGCACCACTGCAATCCAGCCTGGGCCACAAGAGTGAAACTCCATCTCAAAAAAAAAAAAAAAGAAAGAAAGAATAGAAAAGAAAAGAAAAAAGGGAAAGGAAAAAGAAAAGAAGACAAGACAGGACAGGACAACTGCGTGCAGCTCAGTTCCTCCCTGGTCTCTATTTCCATTTACTCCACGTTGAATCTTTCTGCCACCTACAGGGTCTGCCTTCAGAGAATGTGTTACAAATGAATGCAGGTGCCTGCAGTGAGGAGGAGGCCAGTGTGATTCTTCCAGACTCGAGTTAGAAAGAAAAAGTAAATATTTATTGAGGTCTTAATGTGGTCTAGCTGGATTTGTGACATTTCTTATCTTTAATCCTTGGCTCCACCTGCTGAAGTAGTGGATATTACCTCTATTTTCCCAGTCAGTAAACCATGGCTCACTTTTCTCGCTTTCCTTTCACATTGATGAGCTGTAATTCCTCTATGAAGAACTTCCCATCTGCCAGGACTAGTTTGTTACCTTGAAGTATGGTACGAGAAAGGCAGTTTAATGCTTAACTGTTCCTTTTGATGACTGATTTTCAGGATAGAGAGTTGGAGCTTACTCCAAATGTTGACCAGAGTTGAGGGTTTGTTTGGGGGTAGGGAAGGGGTTCTCTTTTTTTCTCCAGCATCATTGTGAACTTTATGTATTTGTCAGTTGCATGAATTACTTGTTTTCCTAGTCAAATTGTCCTGTCTTGGCCAGGCGCAGTGGCTGAAGCCTGTAATCTCAGCACTTTGGGAGGCCAAGGTGGGCAGATCACTTGAGGTCAGGAGTTCAAGACCAGCCTGGCCAACCTGGTGAAACCCCATCTCTACAGAAAATACAAAAATTAGCCAGGCATGGTGGCGCCTGCCTGTAATCCCAGCTACTCCGGAAGCTGAGGCAGGAGAATCGCTTGAACCTGGAAGGCGGAGGTTGCGGTGAGCCGAGATTGCGTTACCATACTCCAGCCTGGGCGACAGGGCAAGGCTCCATCTTAAAAAAAAAAAAAAAAAAAGAAAAGAAAATGAAAAAAAATTGTCCTGTCTTAGCCACTGGAGCCCTTCTGATTGGTTCCCTGCCCTTATAGCCCTGTGGGTGAGCATTTATCGCCCAGCAGGATGCCTGCCTTCACCTTGTGTACTTCCCATCCCAGAGCTGTAGTCAGCCCCTCCTTCAGGGCTCCAGGTGCCGTTAGTGGGGAGCAGTGTTTAAAGACACAATCCAGGCGCCGTGGGTGTTTTTTGCTGCTGGGTCATTGTTGTTCAGCCTTTGCTGTGAAAAATTAGGAAGTACATACCTGGGGCAGCAGCAAAGAGTTCCTAGCAGTTAGTTTCACTTTCAGTTGAATAGTCCAGATCTTTGCCGTGTTGAATTTCGTATTTAGTTCTTGTTGCTGGTATGCTTGGTTCCTCTCCTCGTTTTCTTAGTTGCTTATTCTACCCCAGTTATTCACTGATGTTATTCTACTGTATACTCACTCATATAATCGCTTCAGAGTGAACATTCCCATGGCACAACCGGAACTAGAGTGCTGAGAGAAGGTTAGGATTTCTTTGCAGGCCGGGTGCAGTGGGTCACACCTGGAATCCCAGCACTGTCGGAGACCGAGGTGGGTGGATCCCTTGAGGCCAGGAGTTCGAAACCAGCCTTGCCAACATGGGGAAACCCCATCTCTAGAAAAAATATAAAAATTAGCCGGCATGGTGGCGTACACCTACAATCCTAGCTCCTAGATAGGCGGCGCTTGCAGTGAGCCGAGATCACGACATTGCGCTCCAACCCGGGTGACACAGCGAGACTATGTCTCATAAAAATGAAAAAAAATGAAGAAGTCTGGCCATGATTCCTGTCCCCTCCACCCTGTCCCCTCCCCGACCATGGATAACATTTCTTAGGCTCCTGGTTCACCTGTTCCATATTTTTGCAAATACAAGCAAATTTGCATGTATAATCACCCTCTGTCCTTCTTACACACAGAGTAACTTTTTATTTTATTATTTTATTTTATTTTATTTTTTGAGCCAGAGTTTCGCTCGCAATGGTGTGATCTCAGCTCACTGCAGCCTCCGCCTCCCGGATTCAAGCAATTCTCCTGCCTCAGCCTCCCGAGTAGCTGGGACTACAGACAGCCACCACCACGCCTAGCTACGGGGTTTCACCATTTTGGCCAGGCTGGTCTCGAACTCCTGACGTTAGGTAATCCACCCACTTCGGCCTCCCAAAGTACTGGAATTATAGGCGTGAGCGACCATGCCCAGCCCAAAAAGTAGCTTTTTAAATATACAGGGCAGGCACAGTGCCTCACACCTGTGATCCCAGTATTTTGGAAGGCAGAGGCAGGCAGATTGCTTTAGCCTCAGGAGTTTGAGACCAGCCTGGGCAACGTGGCAAAACCCCATCTCTATGTAAAACAAAACCAAAAATTCACCCGGCATAGTGGCACATGCCTGCAGTCCCAGCTACTTGGGAGCCTGAGATGGGAAGATCACTTGAGCCCAGGAAGGTCAAAGCTGCAGTGAGCCATGATTGAGCCACTGCACCCCAGCCAGCATGACAGAGCCAGGCCCTGTCTCAAAAATAAATATTAATAGACAGTCATCTGTCCATATCTGTGGGTTCTATACTAGTGGATTCAACCAACTGCGAATTGAGAATATATGGTAGAAAAACAATTACAATACTACAATAAAGAATAATACATATTTTTAAATAATACAGTATAACAATTATTTGTATAGCATTTGCATTAGGTATTATAAGTAATCTAGCGATGATTTCAAGTAAATGGGAGGATGTGCATGGATTACATGCAAATACTAAACTATTTTATAAAAGGGACTTGAACATCTATAGATGTTGGGATCCACAGGGGTACCTAGAACCAGTCCTCCGTGGATACTGAAGGGGAGCTGAACTCTTCCGCGCTTTGTTCATTTCATCTCATCGTCCTGGAGAGCTCTTCATAACGACACAGAAGGCCTTTCTCATTTCTTGTAGGGCTGTGTAATATTGTCAGTGGGTTTCCCACCGGTTCCTCTGCTGTTGTGTGTTACAGCTCATTAGGGTATGTATGTGTCCACACATGGACAGGAACATACAGGCTTTTGCTGTGGTCTTTTGTCTTTGCTTTTCTTGCACTCAGGACATTTTGTGTTGTTATTGTTGTTCTAGTGATTATCTTTTGTTGTTGTTGTAATACATTGAGTAACCTCCTTTTTTTTAGTTGAGGCTATGTATGTTATGTTTGTGGTGTTTTGTTTTGTTTTCTTTTTGTAGAGACAGGGTCTCCCACTGTTGTCCAGGTCGGTCTTGAACTCCTGGCCTCAAGCCTTCCTCCCACCTTGGCCTCTCAAAGTGCTGGGATTACAGCTGTGAGCCACCACACCTGGCCCATATGTTTTGTAACATGAGCATGACCTTGTGTATTTTAATAGCAGCCCTAGGCACACACCGTATTCACTAATGTTGCAGTCTGAAGATGGGGTTCCCACATGTCTGGGTTCCCTCTTTGTCTTGCATCTTCCATGTAGACTACACAGATGGCAGGTTAGTCAGCGTCGTCGCAGGCCCGTGCTGCAGAACAGGCGGGAGGAGGATGAAATGGGAGAATGTCAGCTGGTATCTGCTGCTCTCCCGTCTACCAAGAATCAAAGGCTGGAGTGGGCAGTTCCCAGAGATGCCTGGCCCAGTTGCCAGATGGCTTGGCAAAAGACAGGCGGGGATTCCTAGACTCTGGAGCAGGCGGCCTGGTTTCAAAACTTGGACAGAATGCACGAAACAGCTACTTGAGAACCAAGAAGTAAATGGTAGCCCGCAGATGGCCGCGGGGAAGGACCAGAATTCAAGGTGCCTTGGAGCCAGCGGTGAGTTCATCATTCTTGTTCCTCCTGCATCTTCAGCCTGGACATGAGGCAGCTCAGAAGGTAGATGCAGGCCCTGAATGAGAACAGAGATGTTCTCTGTTTGGAGTTTGGAGAGTGGGAAAGGAGACTCCTAACCCTCAGAGAGAATGGAGGAAATCCCCTATTAGGCTTTTTCCTTTTTTTTTTTTTTGAGTTGGAATCTTGATCTGTTACCCAGGCTGGAGTGCGGTGGCGCGATCTCAGCTCGCTGCAACCTCTGCCTCCAGGGTTCAAGAGATTGTCCTGCTCCAGCCTCCCATATAGCTGGGATTACAGGCACGTGCCATCACGCCCAGCTAATTTTTATGTATTTTTTTTTTCTTTTCTTTTCTTTTCTTTTTTTTTTTAGTAGAGATGGGTTTCACCACGTTGACCAGGCTGGTCTTGAACTCCTGACCTCAGGTGATCTGCCCACCTCAACTCCCAAAGAGATAGGATTACAGGCGCGAGCCACCACACCTGGATGCCTGTTAGACTTTTTCTCATTTTTGTTGTTTTTTTCAGTTTTGTTTTGTTTTGTTTTGAGATGGAGTCTCGCTCTGTCACCCAGACTGGAGTGCAGTGGTATAATCTTAGCTTACTGTAACCTCCACCTCCCAGGTTCAAGCGATTCTCCCACCTCAGCTTCCTGAGTAGCTGGAATTTGTAGGCACGCACCACCACTCCCAGCTAATTTTTGTATTTTTAGTAGAGATGAGGTTTTACCATGTTGGCCAGCCTGGTCTCGAACTCTTGACCTCAGATCATCTCCCCACCTCAGCCTCCCAAAGTGCTGGGATTACAGGCGCCAGCTGGCACGCCCAGCTGTCTGTTAGGTTTTTTGTGTGTTTTCTTTTTTGCCTTCATCTCTTGTGTCCCAGGCCCCCAACAATCCTCTGTCAGCAGCAGCAGTTTCCACAGCCACCTAAAACCCTGAGAGAGGGGACCCTTCCTCTGCAGTTTTAGGAAACTTGGTCCTCGGAGCATGGGAAGAGCCCTTCTGCAGCTTGTTCTTGCTCCGTACTGTCACTGCTTGACCCTCAAATGGGGCTGTAATCACAGGAAGTAAACAGCCAAGTGCGGTGATTAAACCCCAGCTTTCTGGCTGGAGGGCCATGAAAGGGAGGGACTAGGAAACTGGAAAGTACTCAGGGGATCGTGTGGAGGGAGGAGCTGAGGACAGCGACCTCATAAAGTCGCTGACAGAATCCCAGGCTCGCCCTGAGCGTCACACGTTGTGAGGATCAGATCCTAAACTGCATACCAAAGACTGAGAACAGAACTGTGGGAGAGACCACCGCTCAGCTTTCAGACTGACCACGGGCAGCACAGACTCAGGACAGAGCCAAATACCACTGGAAAGGCTTTGAAAACATAACTGACATTGGAACCACGACCCCACAGAAGGCTGGTCAAGCCTGCAGCCTGAACCCAGCATCATCAATTGCCTGCTAAAAAAAACATCAACATTCTTCATAGGATGTGAATAAGACCCGGACTTTTATAATATGCTCAATGCCCGGGATTCCAGCCAAAATTACATAGTTTATGAAGAACCAGGAAATTCCAGGTGGTTGGGAAAAGACAACACGGGCCAACAGTACAATGACAAAGATGTTGGGATTATCAGACAAAGACTTTAAAGCAGTGATTATCCCAGCTGCTCAGGAGGCGGAGACAGGAGAATCACTTGAACCCGGGAGGCAGAGGTTGCAGTGAGCTGAGATTGCACCATTGCACTCCAACCAGGGTGACAAGAGCAAATCTCCATCTCAAAAAAAAAAAAGAGAGAAGAAACTTCAGTACATGGAATGTTACATACAGTGGAACATTACTCAGCAGTGAAAAGGTGCCAACTCTTGTCCCTCACAACCTGGATGAATGGCAGATATGCTACCCTGAGTGAAAGCAGCCTGTCTCTGAAAGTTCCGAGCCATGTGATTCTAGTTCTGTGACAATGTCCCAAGGATACACGGATCATGACAGAAAACATGGATGGTTGCCAGGTGTAGGAGGAGGGGGTTAGGACAAAAGAGAAGCCCCCCAGGAGTGTCCTAATCCCCGATGGTCGTGGTGGTTCCATGAATTGATGCATTTGTTAAAATGCCTGGAATTGTGCACCGCGTGGACACATCAGTCCATCTTATTAATGTATCTTTTTTTGTTTTAAGCCAGATTGGTTGGGTTCCTTTCCCGGAAGACAGATACCTATGCAAGCAGGAAGAAAATAGCTTGGAAGTCCTAACCCAATCACCTTAGGGAGCGACCTTGGGAGAACAGGCTGGCCCACCCTGGAGGCATCCTGGTGGGCTCGTATATATTACAGGGGCTATTCCTCCAGTGAGGTTGCCTGCAGAAGCTGCAGGGTGTATGGCACAGGTAAATGGACTTGCATTTGGGAGTTCGAGTCTTGACTTGGTTGACATTGAGCTGGTCGCCTAAACGTGTCTTCCTTGCGTTGGAGAGGACCATGGGATCCTTCTCTCTTGGAGTGCAGTGGAGATGGAGTCAGGCGGACATCCTGCAGCTCCAGCGGGGCCGCCAACCAGTCGCCCTGGGCTGAGCCAGCTCTGTCCTACTGTGGCCAAGGTCAGCGTGGCCTGGAAATTGGCCTACAGGGCGGTGCCTACCTGATTCTCACCTGTCTGCCTGTCCTGGGACCAGCCTAGATTCTTTGGGGGGTTCCATGACCCTGATGTCTCCTAGTTGTGACTTCTTGATTTCTGGATCCCTTATTCAGAATGGCCTCGTTTTGTTCAGGGTCAGATGGTGAAGTTTTGTGGGATTTTTTTGAGACAGTGTCTTACACTGTTGCCTAGGCTGGAGTGCTGTGGCACCACCGTATTTCACTGCAATCTTGAACTCCTGGGCTCAAGCGATCCTCCCACCTCAGCCTCCCAAGTAGCTGGGACTACAGGTGTGCACCACCATGCCTGGCTAATTTTTTATTTTTCTGTAGAGACAGGGTCTCACTGTGTTGCCCAGGCTGCCCTCAAATGATTTTCCTTCCTTAGCCTCCCAGAGTGCTAGGATTATAGGCGTGAGCCATCACGCCCAACCTAAACTGTTTTTTGTTTGTTTGTTTGTTTTTTGAGACGGAGTTTCACTCATGTTATCCAAGCTGGAGTACAATGGTGCAATCTCAGCTCACTGGACCTTCCGCCTCCCAGGTTTAAGGGATTCTCCTGCTGCAGCCTACTGAGTAGCTGGAATTAACAGGCATGCGCCACCACACCTGACTAATTTTGTATTTTTAGTAGAGACACAGTTTTACCATGTTGGTCAGGCTGGTCTCGAACTTCTGACCTCAGGTGATCCACTCACCTCGGCCTCCCAAAGTGCTGGGATTATAGACGTGAGCCACTGCACCTGGCCTCAACTGTTGATGATAACATCACCTCTTGTGTTTGTTTAGCTTGAGATTCTTGTAAAGCACCTCCAAAGCTATGATTCTGTTTCATCCTCACAGCAATGGGTGCAGATCTGTGGCTTTCATATTACCGGGTACTTCGCAGGCTCAGGGCCACCTTCCCAGGACCTCCCACCCTGTAGAATGCATTGTGGCCAGCAAGCAGACCACTGCTTTGCTAAACCCAGAGTTCCTGGCTGTTCACGGCCAGGGAAGGCTTTGGCTTACGTCTTGCTTGGTACCCTTTGGGGACCTGGCTTCACCTGTTTCCTTGGCAGGAGATGGCGGGTGATTTCCCGTGCTGTGTGGTGTCATGAGGTGCTGAGGTCATGGACCTAAAGCACCTGGTGTCTCTTGGTGACATGCCTGGGCTGGCTGCCTGTGGACCATGAGGCTCCACACGAGCCCCTCCGCATCCCTTCCCCTAACCCTGCCAGGTAGATACAGGGAGGCGGGGTCACTGCCGCCCACTGAAGTGCTGTCTTTGCCTTGCGGTCTCTGCAGACCTACGTCTACCAGTGGCCCTGGACACTCCTGCTCCTGGCTGTCAGCGGCTTCTGTAACTTTGCCCAGAATGTCATCGCCTTCAGCATCCTCAACCTCGTCAGCCCCCTGAGCTACTCGGTAGCCAATGCCACCAAGAGAATCATGGTCATCACAGTGTCCCTGATCATGCTGCGCAACCCAGTCACCAGCACCAACGTCCTGGGCATGATGACCGCCATCCTGGGGGTCTTCCTCTATAACAAGGTGAGAGTTGGGGAAGGCTGGGCAGGGAAGGAAGCCGGCCCCTCAGCACCCAGGAAGTCAGAAAAGGAAGGGCCTCCCAGGCGCTGGAGGCTGGGGCTGTAGGTCGAAGCTTTGCCACTGACTGGTTTATGATTTTGGTGTAGCCCCATCCCACCCTGGCTTCCTTTTCCCTGCATAGGCAACCTGAGGTCCTCCAGTCACTCCGGCTGCGTCTCAGCTGGAGATTTCCATCCCTCCTCTCAAAGGCTCTGTTTAGTGCAGTGTTAAGTACATGGGATGGCAAACAGACAACAGAGAGGGCTTGCCTTCCTTTTACGGAGTCTCGCTCTGTTACCCAGACTGGATTGCAGTGGCGCTCTATCCCAGCTCACTGCAACCTCCACCTCCTGGGTTCAAGCAATTCTCCTGCCTCAGCCTCCTGAGTAGGTGGGACTACAGGCGCCTGCCACCACACCCGGCTAATTTTTGTGTTTTTAGTAGAGATGGGGTTTCACCATGTTGGCCAGGCCAGTCTCTAACTCCTGACCTCAGGTGATCCACCCGCCTTGGCCTCCCAAAGTGTTGGGATTACAGGCGTGAGCCACCGCACCTGACCTCTTCATTTGTTTCTTAACACATGTAGATATGGGGTCTCTCTGTTTTGCCCCAGTCTGGTCTCCAACTCCTGGTCTCAAGTGATCCTCCCGCCTGGGCCTCCCAAAGCACTGGGATTACAGACGTGAGCCACTGCGCCTGGCCAAGGACTTTCCTCCTGAGTCTGTCCACACATTGTGGTCTGGTCCATTCATGTCTGCTTTCCTTACTCAAGCCCTGTGACTTATGCTGGCCCCAGAGGTTAACTGACTTTTTTTTTTTTTTGAGACAGCGTCTTGTTCTGTCTCCCAGGCTAGAGTGCAGTGGTATGATCCCAGCTCACTGCAACCTCCTCCACCTGGGTTCAAGCAATTCTCATGCCTCAGAACTCCTGAATAGCTGGGACTACAGCATGCGCCACCACACCCGGTTAATTTTTTGTATTTTTAGTAGAGACGGGGTTTTGCCATGTTGCTCAGGCTGGTCTCAAACTCCTGAGCTCAGGTGATCCTCCTGCCTCGGCCTCCCAAAGTGCTGAGATTACAGGTGTGAGCCACCACGGCCAGCCATTTGATTGACTGTGAATTATGAGCTCTTCCTTATGTCCTGTTTCATTGCTCTCTTTCTGGCACAGACCAAGTACGATGCAAACCAGCAAGCCAGGAAGCACCTCCTCCCCGTCACCACAGCAGACCTGAGCAGCAAGGAGCGTCACCGGAGCCCACTGGAGAAGCCCCACAACGGCCTCCTCTTCCCCCAGCACGGGGACTATCAGTATGGCCGCAACAACATCTTAACAGACCACTTCCAGTACAGCCGGCAGAGCTACCCAAACTCATACAGTTTGAACCGCTATGATGTGTAGAGTCCAGAGGACAGGATCAGACTGTTCTGTGACTCCTTCCCCGGCTCCCACAGCAGTATCAGAAACTTCTGACAATCAGTGAATGTACAACCCAGCCGAGGGGACAGTGCATAAGTCTCCATCAGAAGACCTGGGGTTCCTGGCCTCCCGTGAGCCGCAGGAGGATCTGTTGCCTGCAGTGCAGACGGCCGTGAGCTCTGGGCAAACCTAAACAGAGACCGGTGTCTCATGCTCTTTCATTCTGGAGTCTGGCATCTGAGGGCCGTGTCCCTGTGGAGATCTTGGCCACGTTGGACCTTTCCATGTGGAATTATTCCCCAAGCAGTGTAGCTCAGAGCACTTGTGTCTGCGTTCCAGATTAACATTCAGGACCCCGTGTGAAAAGCTGGGGTCACTGTGGCTGTAGACCATGAGCTGGCAGTGGGGGTGTCCAGGGCAGTGCTTGAGAACGTCAGACTGGCTACTTTAATTCCCTGGCGCAGATACGCATAGGACCAACAGGGTCACCAAGCAGACAGGGAGCCTGCGAGAATCATTCAAAACATCCCCAGCCACAGAGATGGATCCAGTTTCCTGGTCATCCCTTTAGCAGTTTGCAAGTTCCTGGCAAATGTTCCAAAGCAAAAAGCGGTTGCAGTTAGCATCCAGTTCCTGCCGCCTGGTGCTGTGCCCTGCACGTCAGGGTTGGCATCCACCCAGATCCAGATGGAAGGGAAACGGCTGGCTCTCCTCCGCCTCTTCTTCCCTCGACAGAGCAGGGTGCTTCTCTCGGGGTGGTGAGAAGGATCTTCGGGAAATCATGTTCAGTATTTCAAGCTCTGTTTCTGTGGCACTTGTCTTTTGAGAGAGTCTTCACCTCTTCTGTGATGACTTGGTAGGTTGTTTGGTAGAGAGAGCTTGATTTTCTGAGGCTCTTGCATTTTTCTAGGGAATATTTTGTAGTTGTGTGTGTCTGTTTTTGCCTTGCTCCCCATTATGGGATGCATTAGGACTGGCTTATGGATTGAAAACCATTTTGTTTCTAAAAGTTTAAAAACAAAGTTCCCCGGCCAGGTGCGGTGGCTCACACCTGTAATCCCAGCACTTTGGGAGGCCAAGATGGGCGGATCACGAGGTCGGGAGTTCGAGACCAGCCTGGCCAACATAGTGAAACCCCGTCTCTACTAAAAATACAAACATTAGCCGGGTGTGGTGCTGTGCGCCTGTAGTCCCAGCTACTCAGGCTGTTGAGGCGGGCGAATCGCTTGAACCTGGGAGGCGGAGGTTGTGGTGAGCCGAGACTGCACTCCAGCCTGGGTAACAGCGAGACTCCATCTCAAAAAAAAAAAAGTTCCCACTGGTGATGCCTGTGTGACACATTTTGGTATTTAGTAGGAAATAATGTGTTTTGAAGCTTCAGGAGAAGCTTCAAAATTGTCACAATTGCTGAAAACAGAATGAATCATGAACATTATCTCAATAGTAATAGACAAGACCACAGTGTTTTGGTTCCCTGACCTGTTTTTGTGTTTATGTTAGGATCTGAATCATGTTCTGGGTAAGGGGACGAGGAGCTAACACTGCGCTAAGATTCGGTTTGCCAAATCAGATTCTTTGGTCAAGAGTCAGTCTGGGGCCAGACGTGGTGGCTCCTGCCTGTAATCTCAGCACTTTGGGAGGCTGAGGTCGGCGGATTACTAGAGTTTGAGACCAGCCTGGCCAACGTGGTGAAACCCCGTCTCTATTAAAAATACAAAAATTAGCCAGGCATCATGGCACCCACCTGTAATGCCAGCTACTTGGGAGGCTGGGGCAGGAGAATCACTTGAGCCCAGGAGGTGCATGTTTCAGTGAGCTGAGATCACACCACAGCACTCCAGCCTTGGTGACAGAGTGAGAGTCTGTCTCAAAAAAAAAAAAACAAAAAATCAGTTGGGTCTTGGCAGAAATCAACATAAGGAATATGACAAGACCCCAGTAGGTAACCCTGAGTGCTCAGGTCTGAGCTGTGGTCTGTCTTTTACAGCTTCTTGCAAGGACCGTGCCCTCATGGAGGGGACCACGGCTTGGCCTGTGTGGGGTCTTAGGTGATGGCTGCCTTCTTTCTTCTTCACACCCAGCTTCTTGCTGGCACTTGAGGGGAGAGAGCAGCAAATGAGAGGTTCACCTTTTATCTCCCAGCGAGTGAAATGTTTTCCCCGTTCAGAGAGGAAGTAACATCGCTTATGCTTGACTCCTGTTCTTTTTGTTTTTCTTTCATTTGGAATTCTGTATTTAAGATGTTGTGTCAGCTGACACATGAGACACTCCTGGACCACCCTGCTTGGTGGTGAGTTTCCGCACCACCGGCCTCAGAAGTGTCCCTCTTCCTTCGTCTCTTGTTCGCTTGCTTTGTATATACTTTGGTCCCAAAGCTGAGACAATTGCTGTGTAAGACGTGAAGGCTGTTATTTGTCAGAAGAACTTGCCGCGTGCCTTCGCCGAAGGCAGTCAAGTCTGCAGTTGGATTTTTCTCACTGGTGAATGACAAGAAACAGGGATCATTTTGCACTGCAGAGAGAGATTACGGGAGTTGTCTGTGATTATAGTACCTGAATCTTTGAACATGTCATCGAACTCCAAAATTAATTTGACCTCCATTCAGGCTTCATGAAATCTCTGATGTTGCTGAAATTTGTATATTATTTTCCTTTTCCAATGCAAGATCTGCTGGTGAGGGGAAATGACTGTTTGGTTTTATTATGGTTTATAAATTAATAAATGGGCTATTTAATTCTGTATATAAATTTACAGCAAGTACGTACACTGGAATGAATGAGGCAGTCACATTACACCAAATCAGCAGATCAAAAGACAAATATTTCTGAGACTTGGAGGTCCACTTTCCCTGCCGCACCCCCCACCTCCCCCCACGAGATGAATTCTTGCTCTGTTGCCCAGGCTGGAGTGCAGTGGTGCAATCTCAACTCACTACAACCTCCATCCTCCGGGTTGAAGTGATTCTCGTGCTTCAGCCTCCCGTGTAGCTGGGATTACAGGCATGCACCACCACACCTGGCTAATTTTTTGTATTTTTAGGAGAGACAGGGTTTCACCGTGTTGGCCAGGCCGGTCTCGAACTCCTGGCCTCAAATGATCTGTCCGCCGTGGCCTCCCAAAGTGCTAGGATGACAGGCATGAGCCACCTTGCCCAGCCAGACTGACATTGACCTCTGGAAGGCCGGTTTCCCAGCCAGTGCCCGCACCACATGCCCCACTCACATGCTTTCATCTGCAGGCCTGCCTTCCTGTCAGCCTCCTCGCTGCTGGGCTCTGCGGTAGGGAATTTCCTTTACCCATCCAAGGTGTGGTCTGGCTGGTAACACTGACTCCAACCCAGCTCCTTCATTTTACAGAAGGAGGCATTTCTGAATCATGTTTGTTCACTATGGCGAGACTCACAGGAGAATTTTTAACCACCTTATTTTAAGTCATTCATTCTAGGAACAGTCAAGCCCCAATCACAAAGGGGTCAAGCCACATCCGTTCAAGTGAGGAAGCACTTGCAGTTTCTGAATTTTGCTGTGTATTTGTCCTACGTCACCCAACAGGCCCTTTGCTATAGGTGGGACGTTACCAGACCCCAATACCTTAAGGTCTCACAGCCTGAAGAACACAGAACATTAAGTTATTAAAAGACCTGAAAATATTATAACTTTTTTTTCAATTGTCACCTGTTTTCAAGACTTAAATGCTATAGACTTTTCTTCGGGAATGACGTGTGTATTCATCACTGGCATTTACCAAAAATAAATGGTTTCCAGGGAATCAAAATTGGTCCCGATTTGTCAGCAAGGGTCTCTTTTTGAGTGACCCTGTGTTCAGTGTGCCCAGCAACAAAATGTAGAAGGAGGAGAAAGAGCAAGCCAGCTTGGCTGTCACGTCTGGACTTACTGCAACCTTTGTTTTTTCTCCTGAGCCAAAAATAAGGACGTGCGATTTGTGAATCGATTAGATGATACAATGAAAATAGGAGCACAGCTAAATTAATGACGTGACTTTATTGAACAGAATAACATGGGAAGTCCAGGAACGTTGTGGCAGCTGTGCTTATGAAACTTTTTTTTGGTATGTTTGTTTCATGTTTTTTGAGACAGGATGTCATTCTGTCGCCCAGGCTGGAGTGCAGTGACGCAATCCCGGCTCTCAGCAGCCGCAATCTCCCAGACTCAACGGTTCTTTCTACCTCAGCCTCCCAAGTAGTTGCAATACAGGCACGCGCCACCAAACCTGGCTAATTTTTGTATCTTTTGTAAAGATGGAGTTTCACCTTGTTGCCCAGGCTAGTCTCAAACGTTTGGGCTCAAGCGATCTGGCCTGTTATGTTTTTGGTTTAAGAGACAGGGTCTCACTTTATTGCCCAAGCTGGACTGCAGTGGCACAGCCATAGCTTACTGCAGCATCAAACCGCTAAACTCAAGTCAGTCCCCTGCCTCAGCCTCCCAAGTAGCTGAGACAGGTGCACACTACCACACCCAGCTAATTTTTAAAATATTTTTAGAGATGGGGCTCTATGGTGCCCAGGCTGGTCTGGAACTCCTGGGCTGAAGTGATCCACCTGCCTTGGCCTCCCAAAGTACTGGGATTACAGGTGTGAGCCACCGTGCCCAGCCTGAAGCCATTTTTGTGTATTGACAGCCAAGACTGTACCTGCGACATGCCCAGCTCAGTGGTGAGCTTTTCACACACGATACCTTTGTGAGCTTTATTAACCTTGTTTTTCAGGTGAAAATGAGGCCTAACGGGGTCAAGTCACTCATCTGGGATTACACAGCTGCTTAAATCTGGCTCCAGAACCCATTTTTCCCCATTACTCAAACCATCCCCAGCAAAGGATTTCTTTCAAACAGGGTTTGAGTTTCTGCTGAAACTATTGCCCATGTCCTTTTCATTCATAATCTTTTTGTTTAGTGATTTACTAAGCACCTACTGTGTCAAGCAGCAGGAAACAGATATGTAAGCCTCCTACCCTCAAAGCACTCAGCCTACATGACAGGTATGTAACTAAGGAGCACATGGGAACTACTTAGAAATGCTAAGACGGGGATGGAGGACTGGGGAGGCGGCAGGGCTCATGCCTGCAATCCCAGCATTTTGGGAGGCCAAGGTGGGCGGGTCACCTGAGGTCAGGAGTGCAAAACCAGCCTGGCCAACATAGTGAAAGCCTGTCTCGACTAAAAATGCAAAAACTAGCCAGGCGTGGTGGCACGCTCCTGTAATACTAGCTACTTGGGAGGCTGAGGCAGGAGAATTGCTTGAACCTGGGAGGCAGAGGTTGCAGTGAGCCGAGATCGCACCACTGCACTCCAGCCTGAGCGACAGAGCGAGACCCTGTCTCAATAAAACCCCACAAAACTGTAGTTACCATCTGACCCTGACCACAGTGAGACCATTCCGATGAAGGGGTCAGAGTCAAGAAATCACAACCAGCAGACATCTGGGCCACAGAACCCCCTCAGTGCACCTGGCCCTCCACATTGCTGCTTAGGTGAGTCTGTTCACAAGGCTCATCTCACTCAGGGTGTCCACTTGACTTGCTGAAGAGTATCTGCAGTAGTGGTCTACCAGCTCTTTCTACTGCTTTGTTTTGACCAGTGGGTTCTGGTTTCAGCCTTTGAAATGAGCTTGGTAGAGGCGCCTGTCATGCTTATATTTTCAGTCTCAGATATATGGCTTTTTTTTTTTTTTTTGAGACGGAGTCTCCCTCTGGCGCCCAGGCTGGAGTGCAGTGGTGCGATCTCGGCTCACTGCAAGCTCCACCTCACGGGTTCACGCCATTCTCCTGCCTCAGCCTCCCGAGTAGCTGGGACTACAGGCACCCGCCACCATGCCCAGCTAATTTTTTTGTATTTTTAGTAGAGACGAGGTTTCACCGTGTTAGCCAGGATGGTCTCGATCTCCTGACCTTGTGATCCGCCCGCGTCGGCCTCCCAAAGTGCTGGGATTACAGGCGTGGACCACCGCGCCCGGCCTTGTTTTTGTTTTTTTGAGACACAGTCTCGCTCTGCCGCCCAGGCTAGAGGGCAGTGACGAGATCTCAGTTTGCTGCAACCTCCCCCTCCCAGGTTCAAGTGATTATCCTGCCTCAGCCTCTGATTAGCTGGAATTAAAGGCGCCTTCCACCACGCCCAGCTAATTTTTGTATTTTTAGTAGAGACAGGGTTTCACCACGTTGGCCAGGCTGGTCTTGAAATCCTGACTTAAGTGATCCACCTGCCTTAGCCTCCCAAAGTGCTGGGATTACAGGCATGAGCCACCACGCCCAGCAGCATTTTAAACAATCTGAAACAAATGTCTGAAAGTAGTGACCGTGGGTGTACTATCTTTCTAGAAGGTAGCTGAGCAGTATCAGTATTGAATTTGCACACCCTCTGACTCAATACAAGATTCATATCAAGACACTTTTTTTTTGAGACAGAGTCACTGTCGCCCAGGCTAGAGTGCAGTGGTGCAATCTCATCTCACTACAGCCTCCACCTCCAGACTCAAGCGATTCTCCTGCCTCAGCCTCCCGAGTAGCTGGGATTACAGGTACGCGCCACCATGCCCAACTACTTATTTTTTAGTAGAGATGGGGTTTCTCCATGTTAGCCAGGCTGGTCTGGAACTCCTGGCCTCCAGTGATCTGCCTGCCTTGGCCTCCGAAAGTGCTGGGATTACAGGCGTGAACTTCCACATCCAACCCTATATACACTAAGATATACACTAAGATACAGTGGCCTAAAAATGGAGCCAAGCCAGCAGACAACAGAGTCTCACTTCAAAAAGCTGTGGTGAGTCCACACCATGGCATCCTATGCAGCCTCAAAAATCACACTACCGCCCGGGCGCAGCAGTGGTTCACGTCTATAATCCCAGCACTGCCCAGAGGCTGAGGCAGGTGGATCACCTGAGGTCAGGAGCCTGAGACCAGCCTGGCCAACATGGTGAAACCCTAGCTGGGTGTGGTGGTGTGCACTTGTAGTCCCAGCTACTCGGGAGGCTGAGGCAGAAGAATTGCTTGAACCCGGGAAGCAGAAGTTTCAGTGAGCAGAGGTCACGCCACTGCACTCCAGCCTGGGTGACAGAGCAAGACTGTCTCAAAAAAAAAAAAAAAAAAAAAAAAAAACTTCTTAATGTAGATCTTACTTGGCATCAAAAAGTGTCCACACTGTGGATTACTGACTATTCTATAAACAGTATGGGCTGGGCACGGTGGCTCACGCCTGTAATCCCAGCACTTCAGGAATCCAGGGCAGGCAAATCAGTTGAGGTCAGGAGTTGGAGACCAGCCTGGCCAACATGGTGAAAGCCCATTTTTACTAAAAATACAAAGATTAGCCGGGTGTGATGGTAGGCGCCTGTAATCCCATCTACTCAGGAGGCTGAGGTGGAAGAATCACTTCAACCTGGAGGCGGAGGGTGCAGTGGGCCGAGATCGCACCACTGCACTCTAGGCTGGGCAACAGACAAGACTCCGTCTCAAAAAAATTTAAAAATGTAGGGCCGGATGTGGTGGCTCACGCCTGTAATCCTAGCATTTTGGGAGGCTGAGGCGGGCGGATCACCTGAGGTTGGGAGTTTGAGGCCAGCCTGACCAACAGGGAGAAACCCCGTCTCTACTGAAAATAAAAAAGTAGCTGGGTGTGGTGGCGCATGCCTGTAATCCCAGCTACTCGAGAGGCTGAGGCAGGAGAATCGCTTGGGAGGCGGAGGTTGCGGTGAGCCGAGATCGTGCTGTTGCACTCCAGCCTGGACAACAAGAGCGAAACTCAAAAAAAAAAAAAGCCGCGTGGCTCAGCCTGTAATCCAGACTTGGAGCGAGCTGATCAAGTCAGAGATCGACTACCTAAATGTGAAACCCGTCTATAAAATAAAAAATAGCCGGGGTGGGCGCGCCTGTAGTCCAGCTACTGGAGGCTGAGGTGGGATGGCGTGAACCGGGGGCGGAGCTTGCAGTGAGCGAGATCACGCCACTGCACTCCAGCCTGGAGACACAGCGAGACTACGTCTCAAAAAAAAAAAAAAAATAAAAAACCTAAATAAATAGTATGATCCCACACTGTTCTGTGTATTTAGGGTATTTAGAGCTGACCCCTTGTTCGGATCTTAGTACAGACCTCACCTCAAGAGCCTTTCCTGACAACCCTATCAGCCTGGGCCCCACCCTCCTTATATCATAGTCTCAGCATCCTCTCCTCCTTAATAACACCTTTGAAATGATATATTTGTTTACTGACTTTGGGATTCTTCCCCGCCATAGACTGAGTTCCCTGAGAGCAGAGCTGAGATCTGAGTTGCGCATGACTCAATCTATAAGCCACATCCAGCGCTGGCCGCCTGTTTTTGTGAGCCAGGAAGGGTTTTCAAAGGAGAACATGTGCAATCAATTGACGACAGACAATACAACCTGGGAGCCCCAATTAAGTGAAATGTTATATCCCAAAAGAATTCCACTCTTACGAATAGACTTGGGTCTTAGTCCATTTTGCACTGCTATAAAAGAATACCTGAGACTGGGCAATTTTTAAAGAACAGAAATTTATTTCTTACAGTTCTGGAGGCTGAGATATCCCAAGCTGAGGGCCTTCTTGCTGGTGGGGACTCTGCAGAGTCTTGAGGTAGCAAAGGGTATCACATGGCAAGCAGGCTGTGTGTGCAAGCTCAGGTCTCTCTTCCTTTTCTTTTTTTTTTTTGAAACGGAATCCTGCTGTTGCCCAGGCTGGAGTGCAGTGGCACGATTTCGGCTCACTGCAACCTCCACCTCAATCGTTGCCTCCCAGGTCCAAGTGATTCTCGTGCCTCAGCCTCCCAAGTAGCTGGAATTACAGGCACCCACCACCACGCCTGGCTAATTTTCAGTAGAGACAAGAGTTCCCCAGGTTGGCCAGGCTGGCCTCGAACTCCTGATACTCAGGTGATCTGCAGGCCTTGGCCTCCCAAAGTGCTGGAATTACAGGCATAAGCCACTGAGCCTGGCCTTTCTTCCTCTTTTTATAAAGCAACCAGTCCCACTCCCATAAGCTATTAGCCATTAACACATGAATGGCAGGACCTCATAACCCAATCACCTCTTAAAGGCCCCACCTGTTAATACTGTTTCACTGGTGATTAGGAACAAACATTCCAACTGTAGCAACTTGTATTTAAGAAACTACTCAGTTATCATATTTTGATTTTCACGAACAAAAATTTTACGAACTTTTCTTTCTGGTTATAGAAATAAGTAAGGCTGGGTAGGGTGGCTCACACCTGTAATCCCAGCACTTTGGGAGGCCAAGGCAGGAAGATGATTTGAGGTCAGGAGTTAAAGACCAGTATGGCCAACCTGGTGAAACCCCGACTCTATTAAAAATGCAAAAATTAGCCCGGCGTGGTGGTGCGCACCTGTAGTCCCAGCTCCCCTGGAGGCTGAGGCAGGAGAATTGCTTGAGCACAGGAGGCAGAGGTTGCAGTGAGCCGAGATCACACCACTGCACTCCAGCTTGGGCGAGAGAGCAAGATTGTGTCTCAAAAAAAAAAAACAAACCAAACACTTAAATAAGATCCTCGATCTTCATGAGAAAATATGAACCAGAGGACATTTAGAAAAAAAGGAAAAAAAAATCCTTGATCTTGCCTCCTGACCTGCAGAGTCTAAAATATTTGCTTTCTGTCCTTTTTATACAAAATGTTGATTCCTGGTCTACAGCAACACTTGATGTAGTTGTCAATCCATAAGCGTCTGGTGGAAAAATGCTGTAACAATAAAAATGAAAGGAATCTAAAATACATGTGCATTTATTTGCACAGAAAAAAAAACAGGCTGGGTAGAGTAGCTCATGCCCATAATCCTAGCACTTTGGGAGGCCAAGGCGGGAGGATTACTTGAGCACAGGAGTTCAGGGCTAGTGAGCTATGATCATGACACTGCACTCCAGCGTGGGCCACAGAGTGAGACCTTGTCTCAAGAAAAAAGAAAAGAAAAAAAAAAAGGAAAAAGGAAGAAAAAAAAAGGGGGGGGGCGGGAGGTATAGCCAACTAAGCATTATCCATTTCAAGAGGATCAGTTTATATCGGACGTCCACAGCAGAAGTTTGCTGCTTCTGGCTATCTTTTCCCCACAATTAGCAAGGGTTGGCTTCATTATTTTAGAAGCAGCCCAACTGCATCTTTTAGAAAGGCGCTGTGGGCCGGGCGCGGTGGCTCATGCCTGTAATCCCAGCACTTTGGGAAGCCGACGCGGGCGGATCACGAGGTCAGGAGATCGAGACCATCCTGGCTAACACGGTGAAACCCTGTCTATACTAAAACTTCAAAAAATTAGGCGGGCGCGGTGGTGGGCGCCTGTAGTCCCAGCTCCTCGGGAGGCTGAGGCAGGAGAATGGCGTAAACCCGGGAGGCGGACCTTGCAGTGAGCCGAGATCGCGCCACTGCATTCCAGCCTGGGCGACAGAGCGAGACTCCGTCTCAAAAAAAAAAAAAAAAAAAAAAAAAGGTGCTGTGCCCTCTAGGCCAGCAATTTGAGGGTGTGGATTGGGGGTACCCCGCCCCAAAGTCTTCCTGACCAAAAAGCGGAGAGGAAGAAAGCGAGCAGGAGGATGTTTTGAACCTAAAAAAGTCCAGCTCCAATCCCTGTCAAGCTCGTCGCCCCCAGTTCTGCTCCACCTCCGGTCCGGCCGGGGAGAATGTGACAGTCGCCGCAGCCCGGGATCCACCCGGACGCACCTCACCTCGTAGGCTCCTCACTGTGCCCGCGAAAGGAAACAGTGACCCTGGCCCAGGCACGAACTCCCCAGGCCCCTGGTCCCCCGGAGGTAGCAACCGGGCAGCCGTCGGGCTGCGACGCCGACCAGGGGGCACGCCCCCCACCCCCCGGTCTCGGCTAACAGCCACTCGCGCCGTTCCGGCCTTTACACGGCGGCGCGCGACGGAGACCCAGTCTGCCCAAGTGTCAAAAAACTTCTGCGCGTGCGCCTCGCCAGCCCCTCCCGCGCGCCAGGCCTCGCGCGGCTTCTTCCCGCCTGCCTCCCGCTCTCACTTCCGTAGTTTCCCAGCGACGGCCGTAAGTGGCGGGCGGAAGCGGCCCTAGAAGCCCGCCGTAAACGGCTCCCTCGCGCCACTTCCGGCCGGCTTCTGCAGACGGCGCTGGTGGTCGATCGTGTGGCGCCGGAGGACGTTCCCCGCGGCCGGAGCCATGGAGATGCCGCTGCCCCCAGATGGTGAGACCCAAACCGACCGAGAGACCGTTTCTCTCTCCCTGGAACCTCCTGTTGGCCGGCCCCGCCTCCCGGAGTCCCCGGGTCTGGGAGGGGGCGGGGCTCGGCCTCGCGGCTTCGCCTGCGGCCTCTCCCGTGGGTCCCCGCATTCCCAGCGAGCGTGTGGCCCCTATCGGGACCCGTACAAGGGCGGCCTCTTTGGGGCCCACCCCCTTGGGGTCCCCGGCACGGCGGACGGGGGCTAGGGCGCCGAGTTCCCCGGCTTTGGGCGGTCGTCGCTGACGCCCCGCGTGGCCTTTTCTCCGTCCTCCAGACCAGGAGCTTCGAAATGTCATCGACAAGCTCGCCCAGTTCGTGGCTCGCAATGGGCCCGAGTTTGAGAAGATGACTATGGAGAAGCAGAAAGACAACCCCAAATTCTCGTTTCTGTTCGGAGGCGAATTCTACAGTTACTACAAGTGCAAGCTGGCGCTGGAGCAGCAGCAGCGTGAGTTCCCTCCGGCACTCAGGCCGCCCCATCGAGCGCTTCCTTTCTCGGACTCTGCCACAAACCTCTTTCTTTTGGGTCGTTTACTGTCTGGAGTGGAGCAGCTCGGTCCACACGATCCCTGTTCCGCTGTTCCCACGGCCTTGCACAGAGCGGCTGCAGGGTGCCACTGTAATGGAAAACAACGAGGTTTTCGATACTCCTCCTGGGCTCTGGATCAGGGATTTTGCTGCTGTTTTTCAGACTGATAACGGAGATGAGCAGGAGTAGCGTGATTGTTTTAGTGTTTTCTAGGGAGGAAGTGATAGAGGCCGGATGGGAGCCCTTGGGACAGGCACTGCCCAGCCCCTTTTGCGGTCTCCCTGTGGGTCCAGCAAGGCTTTTGTGCGTTTCAGGTGCCTGCAGCACAAATCAAAAAGAATTATCCCTCTGAGTTTTAGTTCTTGGCAAATGTTTATCAATGTTCGTTCAGTTGAGCAACGGGATTCCAGTCCTGCTCTCAAGAAGGTTAAGGTTAGGAAGCAGAAGTGGCCTTTGAATAATGGATAGTCACCAGGTGGTGCGGCTGCTCAGGGCAGGTATCACATCTGTCATGTTCAGTACCCAACCCCCAGTCTCTAGATTGTTTGAATGAATAGGAGTTTGCCAGGTAGGTGGACATTGAGAGGTGGTTGTCCCCTGAACTGCATGCTCGCCGAGGGCAGAGAGACCTTGTTTGGGTCATTGTACCTTAATATGTAACACACAGTTGGTGTTCGATTAAACAGTTTGAAAGGAGGCTGGTTGTAGTGGCTCATACGGTAATCCCAGCACTTTGGGAGGCCAAGGCAGGCAGATCACTTGAGGTTAGGAGTCTGAGACTAGCCTGGCCAACACAGTGAAACCCTGTCTCTACTAAAAATACAAAAATTAGCTGGCTATGGTGGCCCGTGTCTGTTGTCCCAGCTACTCGGGAGGCTGAGGTGGGAGAATCGTTTGAACCCGGGAGGTGGAGGTTGCAGTGAGCCAAGACCACACTACTGCACTCCAGTCTGGGTGACAGAGTGAGACTCCATCTCAAAGAAAAAGAAAAAGCTTGAAAGGTGGCCAGGCGTAGTGGCTCATGCCTGTAATCCCAGCACTTTGGGAGGCTGAGGTGGGCAGATCACTTGAGGTTAGAAGTCTGAGACCAGCCTGGCTAACATAGTGAAACCCTGTCTCTACTAAAATTACAAAAATTAGCCGGGTGTGGTGGCACACGCCTGTAGTCCCAGCTACTGGAGAGGCTGAGGCAGGATAATTGCTTGAACCTGGGAGGTGAAGGTTGCAATGAGCCGAGACCACGCCATTGCACTCCAGCCTGGGTGACAGAGTGAAGACTCTATCTAAAAAAAAAAAAAAAAAAAAAAAAAAGAAAAAACGCTTGAAAGGAGGCCAGGCACAGTGTCTTGTGCCTGAAATCCCAGCACTTTGGGAGGCTGAGTCAGGCAGATTACTTGAGGTCAGGAGTTCAAGACCAACCTGGCCAACACGGTAAAACCCCATCTCCACTAAAAATACAAAAAATATTAGCCGGGCATGGTGGGCACCTGTAGTCCCAGCTACTCAGGAGACTGAGGCAGGAGAATCGCTTGAACCTGGGAGGTGGAGGTTGCAGTGAGCCAAGATCATGCCACTGCACTCCAGCCTGCAAGACTGAGTGAGGCTCTGTCTCAAAAAAAAGAAAAAAAAAAACTTGAAAGGCTGAGAGAGTAGGATGTTGCAAAGGTGCAGTTTCTTGAATAAGAGACTGAGAGAGGGGGAGAGTTTGTGTGCGTATTGGCAGGCACAGTGGCACACAACTGTGCCCCCAGCTACTCAGGAGACAGGCTGGAGAGTTGCTTGAGCCTGGGAGTTCAGGGCTGTAGTGCACTGTGTCGATTGAGTGTTTGCACTAAGTTCAGCATCAGTATGGTGACCTTCTGGGAGCTGAGGACCACTAGACTGTCTAAGCGGTGGTGAACTGGCCCAGGTCAGAAATAGAGCAGGTCGAAACTCCCGTGCTGATCAGTAGTGGCATCGTGCCTGTAAATAGCCACTGCACTCCAGCCTGGGCAACGTGGCCTGTCTTTAAGAAAAGAATGTGCTTGTATGAGGGAAGAGTTTGATCTGGAGTGTTAAATGCCAGGGGAAAAGTTTGTGTTTTCTCACTCAATCCAGGGATTTTTCTGATGCCTATTTGGGTTCGAGATGGGGGGGCGGGGTGGGCAGGGAGCGATCAGCTGCCTGAAATCATAAGGAAAATATTGTATGTGCTTATGCATTTCTAGAGCGATCCTCCCTTAGCCCCAGCACACCAAGTTTAAAACCGTTTCTAAAGGCAGCGGGAAGCCACAAGAGTTTTAAACAAGGGACAAAGTGGCTTGGGTTGTGTGGCCAGTGGTGTAGGACAAGCTAGAGGGACCAGCCTGGGGAGCAGTGAGGCCTGCAGGGGAGCGAACAGGGCAGTTGTTCAGGTGAGAGATGGTGGGGTCTGAATTAAGTCAGTGTGTTGAGCCTGAGGGAGGGAGGGTGGGGGGCAGGTGGGCTGAAGGGGTAGAACCCATGAACCTGGGCGCCAGTTGGTTATTGACGACCTGATGGTGTAATGAACAGGGGAGGAAGACACCTCAGACGGTGCTTTGGCTTGGGTGACTGAGCTGAGGGCTGCTTTCGCTTTCTCGGGGGGGGCCACTTCGAAGCTGGTGCTGTTATAGGGAAGGAGAGGGTGCTTATATTGCAGCCCAGGAAGATTAAAGCCAATAAGTGCTTTCCTTTTTTTTTTTTTTTTTTTTTTTTTTGAGATACAGCCTCAACCTTATCATATGGGGTCTCACTATGTTACCTAGGCTGTCTGTGAACGCCTGGGCTCAAGTGATCCTTCGGCCTCAGCCTCCCAAGTAGCTGGGACAACAGGTGCACACCACCATGCCCAGCTTGGAAATCAAATTTCAACATGAGTTTTGGTGGAAATGAACTATTTCCAAATCTTAGCATTTCCCTTACCTTATGTGTACAAGATGGGATTCACAAAACACACATAGAAGCACTTATATTTATTTGGTTTTTAATATATGCACTGCTAAGGTGAGCACTTACTTGATTTTTCAAAAATTAAAACCAGTCATTAATAAGGCTCACCCATAAATAAGGAGAAGAAACCAATCTTAAAAAAGAATTGCAAATAGTATGCATAGATACTACCATCCCCCTTCAGACAATGGAACTTTGTGGTCTTCCCCTTGAGTTGGCTGGACTTAGTGACTAATTGTGGAACGTGAAAACAGTAACTTGACAGGAGAAACCTGGCAGATCAACCACCTAACCAAGTGATCAAGGTTAACATCACTTAAGTCTTTTTTTTTTTTTTTTTTTTTTTGGAGATGGAATCTTGCTCTGTCGCCAAGCTGGAGTGCAGTGGCACGATCTCGGCTCACTGCAGCCTCCGCCTACCAGGTTCCAGCGATTCTCCTGCCTCAACCTCCCGAGTAGCTGGGACTACAGGTGCCTGCCACCACACCCAGCTAATTTTTGTATTTTTAGTAGAGACGCAGTTTCACCATGTTGGCCAGGATGGTCTCAATCTCTTGACCTTATGATCCGCCCACCTTGGCCTCCAAAGTGCTGGGATTACAGGCGTGAGCCATTGTGCCCGGTCAAGAAGTGCTTTCTGTGGGTGATGATATCTTGGCTAGATCTAAAGGGTGTCTTGGGGTTGGCCAGGTGAAAACAAGGGGAGAAAAGTGTTCCGGGTAGAAGACGGAGCCCTTGGAGGGAATAGGGGACCAGAGCTTAGGGCGGCTGAAGCCCAGAGTAGGAGGGGTTCTTGGAGTAACCAGAGGTGGGGGTGCAGAGTTGGGGGCCTGGCTTGAGGAGGAGTGAGGAGTGTGTGGGGCCTGGCGTGGGGAGGAGTCAGGGGCCTGGCGTGGGGAGGAGTCAGGGGCCTGGCTTGGGAAGGGGTGAGGAGTGTATCCTGGAAGCGTGGGAGAGACTCGTGGAAGGCTTCGGTCCATGTTCTAGAGCCGGGTTAGCCACAGTACAGCCAGTTCTGCACCCCGCTCCTTAAAGCCTGGCCTCAGCTGTTCTAGAATGGAGCTTCATGAACTCTGTGGTGAAGGACCATTTTTGGTTTTTGTTTTTTTAAGTTTCTAACCTGTTGTGGACCAAAACTTTTGCAAAGCACAGTAACAGTGTGGACCGTGAACTATCACGTGGCTAGAAAGGTTTTGAAATGCTCACCTCCTGGTTCCATAACCGACTGTTACCCCTGGGTAGCCCGGGGACCACTCCTTAAGTGACAGTACCGTGACTGCCATGTTGAAAAGAGGTAGAGGGGTGGGACCTGACGCAGGAAGACTGGCTCTGGGGTGACGCAGGTGACAGCAGATCCATGGTGGTGACAGCAGGGACATAGACTGATTGGAGTGATGTCTAGGAGGATGCCTTGACACCATGTGGCTCGTCAGTGGGAGGCACATGTACCTTCTGACCTGGGTTTCTGGGCAGATAGTGGTGCCAGCCATGGTGCGGGGAGCACAGGAGGGGACATTGGTGTAGGGGGCGAGAGGAAACGCAGGTCCATTGGAAACACAGTGGGCCGTGCAGTCGGTGGTTAGGGCCAAAGCTCAGGGAATCCAGAATGGAAATGATGGATTTAGGAATCACAGCGTGCAGCTGACAGTCACAGCGGCAGGAATGAAGAGCTCATGTTCCCTGGAGTTGCATAGAGCAGAGGACGGGGCTCAGAACACAGGCTGCGCACCCCAGCATCTGAGGGTCCGACAGGAGAGGGGTTGGTAAAGGGGGAGAAAGGGACTGAGGGGGCAGCACATGGAGGCCAAGGGAGGCAAGCATCTGCGACAGGCCCATGGGGCTGAGTTGAGCAAGGGTGTCCTCAGCTGCCTGGGGGAAGGTGGGGGGGTGACGGGGAGTGGCAGGCAGGCGCCAGGCTGAGATAAAGGGGAGGTGAAGATCTGGAGTGAGTCTTGGCTGAGAAATCGTTTAGAGAGGATCATGGGGTGAAGGGAGAGGTTTCCAACCCAGAATGTTCTGATGTGTTATTTTTTTTTTTTTTTTTTTTTTTTTTTTTTTTTTTTGAGACGGAATCTCCCTTTGTCACCCACATTGGAGTGCAGTGGCGCCATCTCAGCTCACTGCAACCTCCACCTTGTGGGCTCAAGCAATTCTCCTGCCTCAGTCTCTCTCAAGTAGCTGGGATTACAGGTGCCTGCCACCACACCCGGCTAATTTTTTGCATTTTCAGTAGAGACAGGGTTTCCCCATGTTGGCTGGGCTGGCTTGAACTCCTGACCTCAGGTGATCCACCCGCCTCAGCCTCCCAAAGTGCTGGGATTATAGGTGTGAGCCACCACTCCCAGCCCGATGTGTTTAGATGCTGCTGGGGAGGGGGTGGGTAAAGAGGGAGGAGTTGGGGAAATAAGAGAGAGAAGAAATATCATGAAGCAGTGTCCCTCGGACGGTGGGAGGGGTGGGATTTGGTGCAGAAGTTGGGGGTCATCCTATAGGGTGCCCTTGGGTGCACAAACTGGAAGGCACAGTCAGCCCCGAGACTTGACTTGAGCACCCAGTGAGGGGCAACACCTTCCACCTGACACCCCACCTCCCTTGTCTTTGGTCCTGGTCCCTTGGAGTGGGGGTCTGGAGGGCTCCAGGGGTACAGAGTCACATTCAGACCAGGCGGCCCCAAGACGGAGAGAGAAGCGGGTCCTCTTGTCCAGGGCCTCCTTATGAGCAGGGTCCTTTCTCAGAGACCTCACCACCTGCCCCATCTGACCAGAGTGGGGACCTGCGCCCACCCTGACCCCGGCTTCTGCCAGCAGAATGAGTGTCTCACTGCTGCCTCAAACTTGATGCACCCCTGATTGCAGAGGAGTCTCTGTCCCCAAGAGCTGGAAAAGCAAGGAGAGTCAGTAGAAGGACAGGGCAGGCGTAGGGGAGGCTGCAGTGTGCGTTCGGGAGGTGCAGCTCCATGCCTTTCTGGCCACATGTGCAGAGGCCCGGTGGCCGCGACATCTTAGGATGGTGGCTTAGGAGACAGTGGCAGAGGCCTGCGAGTGCCTGAGGAGGTCAGGGGATGAGAGGTGCCAAGGCGTGGATTCTGCCAAGTGGGGCCTAGGTGGGTGAGGAGGTGGGCAGGCTCAGGCTTAACTTGCGCCGGAAGGACACTGTGCGAGGACTGGATGGTGCTGGCAAGAGTGGCCAGGGGACTTCCTAGGTTCTCCAAGGAGGGGACAGCCCGAAGATGGAAGGCCGAGGCTGGGATCCTGTGAGAGGGAGGGCAGGGCCCAAGAGTAGGAGGAGCTGGGTTTGTGTGGGCACGAGGCTGTGCACAGGCCCTTGTGGATGGTGAGTCCCTGGGGAGAGGGAGGCTTCTGTGACTGAGAGGTGGCCAAGGGGACACCTAGACCGCCATCTGCATTCTCACGGGACACCCCTCCTCTCCCTCCAGTCATCTGCAAGCAGCAGACCCCAGAGCTGGAGCCAGCTGCCGCCATGCCGCCCCTGCCACAGCCCCCGCTGGCCCCTGCCGCGCCCATCCCGCCGGCCCAGGGCGCACCGTCCATGGACGAGCTCATCCAGCAGAGCCAGTGGAACCTCCAGCAGCAGGAGCAGCACTTGCTGGCGCTCAGACAGGTACGGGCCCACCCTCCTCAGCCAGGCACCGGCAACTCCCCTGTGCCTGTTTTTACGTCTCTTCACCAGAATGAATAACAGGTATCAGTGAGGACAGGGCCCGCCCTGCCACCCAGGGCTTGGTGCATGTCAGCCACTGTCTCCCCCAGCCCTGATGCCAGACACGGAGGCTGCTTCTCATCTCAGTGAAGCCTGTGGACATGCGTGCACCCATCACCCTGGAGTGGACCCCCCGAGTGGGACTGTGGGAGATGTGTGCCCCTTGAAGCTCCCTAACAGCTGTGGCTAGACAGTCTCTGGTGCCTACCATTGGCCCCACCACACAGTAGCTAGGTCACCTGGAGCTGTTGGTTGGGGAAGGACCCTTTTTTTAAATTATTACTGTTTTTGAGATGGAGTCTTGTTCTGTCGCCCAGGCTGGTGTGCAGTGGCGCAATCTCGGCTCTCTGCAGCCCCCGCCTCCTGAGTTCAAACGATTCTCCTGCCTCAGCCTCCAGAGTAGCTGGTATTACAGGCATGCACCACTACACCCGCCTAATTTTTGTATTTTTAGTAGAGACGGGGTTTCACCAGGTTGGCCAGGCTGGTCTCAAACTCCTGACCTCAGGTGATCCACCTGGCCAGAAGGACCCTTTTGTCCTTCCTGGTCCAACAGTTTGATAACTTTTGCCAGATAGAATACAGGTGCATTGGCTGGGCGTGGTGGCTCACACCTGTAATCCCAGTACCTTGGGAGGCTGAGATGGGCAGATCATGAGGTCAGGAGTTCAAGGCTAGCCTGGCCAACATGATGAAACCCCGTCTCTACGAAAAATACAAAAACTAGCTGGGTACGGTGGTGCATGCCTGTAATCCCAGCTACTTCGGAGGCTGAGGCAGGAGAATTGCTTGAACCTGGGAGGAAAAGGTTGCATGAGCTGAGATCACACCACTGCACTCTAGCCTAGGTGACAGAGCAAGACTCAGTCTTGGAAAAATAAATAAAAGAATACAGGTGCATTGCCAGAAAAACGAGAGGAATAGAATACCAAACCTCCAAAACACCAGCCTCATTCTTCGTACTAGGTTCAGGGTGTAAAATCACACTGTCATATTGCTCTCAGAAAGTTCCAGCTGGATGTGGTGGCTCAGCCTGTAATCCCAGCACTCTGGGAGGCCAAGGCAGGTGGATCACAAGGTCAGGAGTTTGAGACCAGCCTGGCCAATATGGTGAAACCCCATCTCTACTAAAAAACACAAAAATTAGCCGGGCGCAGTGACAGGTGTCTGTAGTCTCAGCTACTCGGGAGACTGAGGCAGGAGAATTGCTTGAACGTGGGAGGCAGAGGTGGTTGCAGTGAGCCAAGATTGTGCCATTGCACTCCAGCCTGGGCAACAGAGCGAGACTCTGTCTCAAAAAAAAAGAAAGTTCCAGAATGCTCACCCTCAGCTTCTGCCAGAGTTCATCATGGAGTGGGAGGCTGGCCTTGACCAGCCCTGACTGACTGCTGGTCCCCATGGCAGCTCTGTTTTTACCAGTTGCACTTGAACCTGCGTTTCCTATTGAGGAATGAGATTGCTCCCTTCTTGTTTCACTAGAGGCCATGGGTGTGTCCTCTCCCTCTATTGCCTGTTCACACCATCCCTCCTTTTTCTTTTCTTTTCTTTTCTTTTTTTTTTTTTTTTTTTTTTGTTGTTGTTGTTGTTGTTGACGACAAGGTCTTGCTGTGGCACTCAGGCTGGAGTGCCAGGTACAGTCAAAGCTCACTGTAACTTTGAACTTCTAGGTTCCAGCGATCCTTCCGCCTCAGCCTCCCAAGTAGTTGGGAGCACAGGCACACGCTACCATGCTCAACTAATTTGTATTTTATTTGTTGTAGAGATGAGGTCTCGCTATGTTGCCCAGGTGGTCTGGAGCTCCTGGGCTCAAGCGATCCTCCTGCCTCAGCCTCCCAAAGTGTTGAGATTACAGGCATGAGCCACTGCGCCCTGCCTTTGTTTTTTGTTAAATTGGTTTGCAGAGGTTGTTTGTTCCTCTGGGCTGCAGTATTTTCCTTGGCTACCTGGAGGGCAGGTGTTCTCTCCTGGTATGTCCTGTCAGTGCCCTGCCCACTCTGGGAGGGACTGTCACAGATTCACGGCAGGCACGAGAGACAGAATCTCCTCATGCTTGGGGACAAGCAAGGGAGCTGATGGCCAGAGCAGCCCAGCGTCGGGGCATCCCCACCAGGTCCCCACCCCGCCCCTGCTGGGCCAGGCCGGAGGGCTCGGGCTGCGGGTCCCTCCTCATGTGCTCTTGGCCCCACTGACCCCCCACCCAGGAGCAAGTGACAGCAGCTGTGGCCCACGCGGTGGAACAGCAGATGCAGAAGCTTCTGGAGGAGACCCAACTAGACATGAACGAGTTTGACAACCTGCTGCAGCCCATCATCGACACGTGCACCAAGGACGCCATCTCGGTGAGGGGCCGGGGCTTCCCAGAGCGCAGCTTCCCCCTGGTCTCGCCCTGAGGCAGGACCTGCCGCAGCCAGTCTGGGCTAAGGGCTGTTACGATAGGTACCTTTCCCTCCCGCCGTGAGCACCCTGCTCACTTGTCATCGGCTCGATCGTTGCAGGCCGGGAAGAACTGGATGTTCAGCAATGCCAAGTCCCCACCGCACTGTGAGCTGATGGCCGGCCACCTCCGGAACCGCATCACGGCTGACGGGGCACACTTTGAGCTGCGGCTGCACCTCATCTACCTGATCAACGACGTGCTGCACCACTGGTGAGCGCCGCTGCCCTGTGTCCAAAGCGCCGCTTCCTTGCGCTCCTCCTCAACCCCTCCTGGGTGGCCGCTTGCTCCAATCAGTAGCTTGGCTTGGCCTGTCCCAAGACTAGGGGGCACTTGTCCAGGGAGCCCGGGCCGGGTGGTCTCTGTGAGCCGCCAGGCTTCTGTCTGCAGGACTGCAGGGTCTAGGCATCCTGTGCACCTTCGCCGCATGCCCTGTCCTCTCCCCTAGACCCCAGCCTCATCTGTCACATTGCTGCCTCCTCGGGGCCACTGTCCCCTGCACTCCTTGCTCTCCTGGGGCAGCTTCTTGGCGTCTCCTTATTGCCTTCTCGGCCACGGCCTCCTTGGCCTCTGTGTCTGTCTCCAGCCCTCATCACTGATTTGCACGCGTGCACACGTGTGCACCCGCCTCTTCTCAGCCATCAGGACCCTCCTTTGGGGTCCCCTTCTCCAGCCCTGATCCGACTCTCAGACTTCAACAGAGACACCTCTGCCGACCCTCTGTCCCCACCCAGCCCTCACCCCTTCCCACTGTTGCTGTCTCCACCCTTCCCAAGGTTGGTTGAGTATTTCCTTCTACAGGGTCACTGGGGCACTTCTCACAAAAATTAGCAAAAAAAAAACCAATGGAACCCCAGGCCAAAGGTCTGCGCACACAGGAGGAGATAAGCACTGCTACTGAGCCTAGCAGGCAGCAGTCTTGGCCAGGCGCCTCATGCGCCTCTGCACTGGTCCAAGCTGCCAGCACCCATCTCGCCCCATCTGCCACATGCAGCACTGCCTGAGTCCCTCTTCTGTCCCCACCTCAGTCCCTGTTTCTCTCCTGCTGGGAAGTGAGCTGCGGCTCCGCACCACCTCTGCCCTTCTGCTCCTGCCTCCACTTCTGCCTGCCTTTGAATCAGGGGCACCTTGCATGGATGCACCGTTTCCTACATTCTCCAGCTATGCGCCTCTCTAGCTCCACTCTGTCCGAAGCCATGTGCTGCTCGTCCGTCCTCCCGGCTGCCCGGCCCAGGCCCTTGCTCCCCTGAGCTCCCTGCGGCAAGCTGGGGGTTGAGGGACTTCGAGCTGCTCCCCTCCTGTCCCGCGTCCCTCCGTGGGGGCAACCATCTCCCTGCGCAGCTGCAGGGGCTTCCCAGGCCAGCTACGCACAGTGTCCAGTGCAGTGCTGCCCTGAGAGGACATGGCCCCAGTGTCTCCCCCGACTGGGCCTCCGGTCGCTCTTCTAAAGCGTTGTAGGTGACCGAAGGACTGAGTACCCTCCCTCCTCCTCCCGAGAGGCCTGGCCTGGGCCGAGGTTTCCTTGTGCATAGCAAGTGACAAGGGCAAGACCCCCACTCCACAGCAGTCCCATCCCGCCCATTGCACACAGGCAGGGGCTCCTGCGGACCCCATGTCCCTTCATCCACAGCGCCACCCAAGAAGGAAGGAGGGAAGGTTATTTCCTCTCAAGGGGACTAGACCGAAAGGCCTTGCTCAGAACGGCCCCAGGCCACATTCTCTTCCCTCCCCTGCTTGCTGTTTTTCCGTCTGTCCCCTTCCTCGAGCCCAGACACCAGCACAGGTCTCGTGGGAGCCCAGCCATTGCCCCGACTGGGTTGGGGACCCAATTCCCGAGAAGGCAGAGGGCGCTGAGGCTGGAGCCGCGATGGTAACGGGCGCGTGGCCGGGTCCCGCCCCAGGGCCCTGACGCGCGGAAAGTCTCTCCCTCACAGCCAGCGCAAGCAGGCCCGGGAGCTGCTGGCCGCCCTGCAGAAAGTCGTGGTGCCCATCTACTGCACCAGCTTCCTGGCCGTGGAGGAAGATAAGCAGCAGAAGATCGCCCGGGTGCGTGGGCCCTGGGCCGGGGGTTGGGTGAGACCGGGATATGCAGGCCTTCCCGCTCCCCGCTGACCCAGCCTCTCTCCTCGCACCCCCAGCTCCTGCAGCTCTGGGAGAAAAACGGCTACTTCGATGACTCCATCATTCAGCAGCTACAGAGCCCGGCCCTGGGGCTTGGTCAGTACCAGGTGAGTGTCCCTGCCCACCCATGCCTCACCCTGTAGCTGGGGCAGATGCCTCAGGAGGGCTTGGGAGTGTGGGGACAGCAGTTGCCACCCTAGCAGGTTCTGGAAGCCGGAGAGCCCGTGTACCCTGCTTGTGCTAGGAGTATCCAGTGGGTGTTGACTGGAGAGTCCCAGGTGACATTCCCAGGCCTCGGGTGTGTCTCCCTGACTTTCCTGGCACACTAGAACCAGGCGGCCTTTCGGAGTCCCTGCATGTGGCCCATTTGCTCTGGTGGTCAAGCATGTTCCTGCGTGATGGAAGCGTGAGGAAGCCCAGACGTGGCTTAGGCTCTGGCAGCCCCTCTTGCTGAGAACCACACGGCGAGTGGGAGGCAGAGCCCGTGAGCGTGTCCCAGAATGTTGATGGGCAGCGTTCTCTGAGGAGCCACACAGCAGCCAGGACACAGCTGTCATTGCTCGTTCCTGTGGTCAGGGAATTGTCAACCAGGCTGCAGCGAACATCCTCGTCCCCAGATCTCTGGCCAGATCCCAGCACACGCTCTGATTGCCCAGACTGTGTTGGCTGTTTCACATGACGGTTCCCTGTCCACCTGCCCCAGGTCCCCCAGGCTCTGCTGCTTTCCAGGTGTTTGTCCTCTGGCGCCAGACAGCAAGCCCCAAGGCCGTGTACTGAGCAGTGGGTGCTCTTTTCTCTTCCAGGCCACCCTCATCAACGAGTACTCCTCGGTGGTCCAGCCGGTGCAGCTGGCCTTCCAGCAGCAGATCCAGACCCTCAAGACGCAGCACGAGGAGTTCGTCACCAGCCTGGCCCAGCAGCAGCAGCAGCAGCAACAGCAGCAGCAGCAGCTCCAGATGCCGCAGATGGAGGCTGAAGTCAAGGCCACGCCTCCACCGCCTGCCCCGCCCCCGGCCCCAGCACCTGCCCCTGCCATCCCGCCCACCACCCAGCCCGGTATGGGGCTCCCTCAGCCCCCGCCCCCAGGAAGCAGCCCCCAGAGGCTGGGCACCGAGTGTAGTCAGAAAGCAGTTTGCCACCCTCAGACACAGCTCTGGTTCCATCGTCCCAGGCCCGCTCCTAGACCCAGGTTTTCATCCATTTACAAACATGAGCCCGGTGACATTAGAGTAAAACTCCAGCTGTTCCATTCCTGAACAGCAAAAGATCTGTTTTCTGTTCCCAGAGAAGAAAAAAATAGAGGAAAGGTACCCAGATCGCCCATGAGATTGAGGCTGCAGTGAGCCGTATTTACACCACTGCACTCCAGCCTGGGTAACAAAGCGAGACCCTGTCTCAAAAAGAAAATGCAGTCTAGGGTCGCTTCTGAAAAAGACACATAAATACTGAGGAAAATCTTAGCAGAATCTAGTAAAGGATTTTAAAATTACATTCTGATCAAAGAAGATTTGTTCCAGGAACATGAGGATTGTATAGGATAGAACATAACAGATTGTGGGAAAATTATCTTTTAATTAGAGATTGTGAGGAAATGGTCTTTTAATTAGATAGAGGAAAAATATCTAATCAAATTCAGTGTGGACAGAAATTCTTCAGCAAACCAAGAGGGCAGAAGTGAGGCATGTTTCTCGTAAAGCTTTGAAAAGGACAGATGTATGTCATATTCAAGGTCGAAACCTCCCCTCTTCCCCGTCCCCTTCCTGGAGGCCGGTAATGGTCATGGTTTTAGTGGGGTCCTGAAGCAGTCATCCATTGGGCGCTAAAAGTCGTAGCCTGGTTTGCTCTGGGGTAGTGTGGAGAGGAGACAGCACTTCCTGCTGCCAGTCCCGCTCTAACAGCCTGTCACTTGGATTTAGATGACAGCAAGCCTCCCATCCAGATGCCCGGCTCTTCAGAGTACGAAGCCCCAGGAGGGGTCCAGGATCCCGCAGCCGCTGGCCCCCGGGGCCCTGGGCCGCACGACCAGATCCCACCGAACAAGCCCCCTTGGTTTGACCAGCCTCACCCCGTGGCTCCTTGGGGCCAGCAGCAGGTATTGATGGAACCTGGGGTGGGAGCAGATGGGGACCCTTGGCCTGACGGGGCGGCCTCCCCTGTGCAGTGGGGTGGGCGTTGAGTGGCTCACTGGGAAACACAAGGGATACTCTGTGGCAGAGCTTATGCTGGGTTAGTGACAGCCCTGTCTTCCTGTGGCACCGGGACAGGTGGAGTGACAGGTCTTCATGTCCCTTGCCCGAGCTTTGATGGCTGGGGCTTCTGTGTGGTATAGATCCCCATTTTCCTGCGGGTGCAGGGAGTTGAACGCCGCGAGGCACACCAGGGTGTTCTGTTTCCTGTCCTTCTGAAACAGGGTCAGCCAGCTGAGTGTCAGTGTTTTGTCATCCTGGAAAGAACAAGGTGCTTTTGCAAGGAAAGGAGGTGTCAGAAATGTCAGGCATGTTGCACCTGGGAGACCTCAGCAGCTTTGCTATGGGTCATATACCCCTGGGCCAAGGCAGGGGCCACCTCGTCTGGCATAGCATGGCTGGGAAATGCCCTGGAGTGTGCTGGTTCCACTTAGAGCACTGAGGCACAGCCCCTGGCCTTCCCAGACGTGACTTCCCCCTTGACCATGGGGCTTGGTTGGCTTTGCAGCATGACCTTTCCAGGTGACTCCCTGTCCACAAGGACAGGTGTAAGGATGGCAAGGAGACTAGCTCTGGACTGAGACTTGGTGGTTGTGGCTTTAAGCCTCCCACCCCCAGCTTCAGGACATGAAATTGAACCTCACTAAAGATTGGACACCCCCATAAAGACAGCTCCCGCCTCCGAGTGCTGGCCGGGAGTCAGATGGTGGTGGACATTTTGCAGGTACCCTCTGCGGGGGAGAGCAGTTCTTGTCCCTGTTTTGTGGGTGTGGAAACAGAGGCCCTTAGTGTCTCTAGCCTCAGTCTTTTTGCAGACCAGAAGATTGGGCTCAAGACAATGGGCACGCCTCTCACTGAGGGTCCCCGCTAGGTCAGCAGTGCGTCCTGCAGTCCACACTGAAAAACAGCAGCTTGCCCTGCCTGACTTGGCCACGTGGGGTCTTAACATGTTTAGAAGTAATTTCTCAAGGTAGGAAGATTGCTTGAGGCCAGGAGTTTGGAGTTTGGGACCAGCCTGGGCAACAAAGCAAAACTCCATCTCTACAAAGAATAAAAATAAGCTGGCATGGTGGTGTACCCCTGTAGTCCCAGCTACACAGCGGTCTGAGGCAGGGCTGGTTCAGCCAGGACTTCAGGCTTCATTGAGCTATGGTCATGCCACTGCACTCCAGCCTGGGTGACAGAGTGAGACCCTGTCTCTAAAACAGAAAAACAAGGCTGGGCGTGGTGGCTCACGCCTGTAATCCCAGCAGTTTGGGAGGCTGAGGTGGGCAGATCATTTGAGGTCAGGAGTTCGAGACCGGCCTGGCCAACATGGTGAAACCTCGCCTCCACTAAAGATTAAAAAAATAGCCAGGCATGGTGGCAGGCCTCTGTAATCCCAGCTACTCGAGGGGCTGAGGCAGGAGAATCACCTGAACCCGGGAGGTGGAGCTTGCAGGGAGCCAAGATCACGCCACTGCACTCCAGCCTGTCCAACAGAGCGAGATTGTCTCAAACTAAGAAAAAGAAAAACAGATACTAAACATATTTAATATCTGGCCCTCTGGCTTCTCTTGGAAGCCTGGAGAATGTGGCGGCCTGGACCAGCCTCCCCTTCGTAGGGGTCATCAGCACAGTTACCCAGCTGTGACCCCAGACACGGGCCTTCTCTTTGGCCTCTGCACGCCTCCCCTCCCCAGCCCAAGCTGGAGTTTGCCCTCCTGGCTTTAAGTCTCCAGAGCAGGAGCTGGTGAGGGAAGAGCCTCCTGACTTCAGTCCACAGGAAGATGCTGGCTTGGGTGGAGGGTCCTCAGAAGCAGACCCCGAGACAAGGATGTGTGCGCCCCAGTGTGTCTGGGAGCTGACCCCAGCAGATGGCTTTTGGGGAGAGGGGGAGTGAGGCAGGGCAGGTGGTGTCAGAGTGAGCCCCACCCCGTGGGTGCCTGGGGTGCTCTGAGAAGCAATACCGTCTGTGCCTCCGCCCCATTGCCCCCAAGGGGCGAGGGAGCTGCGTTTGTCTGGCAGTGGTAGTGGGGAGCGCCTCCTGGCGTGCGGGGCCTGTATGCGGGTGCAGCAGGCCCCAGCGGCAGAAGCAGCCCCGGGACTGAGATGCAGGTGCAGCGGTTGGGGGTCTGGTCCTTTCGCAGCAGCATGTGGTCCGGGTTGAGGGCTGGTGCCCAGCATCACCGCAGGCATCAGCCTAGGAGGATCCCCGACGTGGCCAGGGCAGCGCCTCCATGGTCTGAGCCAGCGCTGTGATGCTGTGAAGCGCTGGGCCCAGACCACGCAGGGCTCATGCCTGTCCCTTCCCTTGCAGCCGCCAGAGCAGCCGCCCTACCCGCACCACCAGGGCGGCCCACCCCACTGCCCCCCCTGGAACAACAGCCACGAAGGCATGTGGGGCGAGCAGCGTGGTGACCCTGGTTGGAACGGCCAGCGCGACGCGCCCTGGAACAACCAGCCTGACCCGGCCTGGAACAGCCAGTTCGAGGGCCCCTGGAACAGCCAGCACGAGCAGCCGCCCTGGGGCGGGGGCCAGCGCGAGCCGCCCTTCCGCATGCAGCGGCCCCCACACTTCCGGGGGCCCTTCCCGCCCCACCAGCAGCACCCGCAGTTCAACCAGCCTCCACACCCCCACAACTTCAACCGCTTCCCGCCCCGCTTCATGCAGGACGACTTCCCACCACGGCACCCCTTCGAGCGGCCGCCCTATCCCCACCGCTTCGACTACCCCCAGGGGGACTTCCCTGCCGGTGAGTGTGCGGGCGCCCGGGTAGGGCCTGGCGGAGGCACCCTCGGCTGGCCTGCTGAGCAGGCTGGTAGCACTGCTTGTGGTCCTGGCATGCTCCCGAGTGCACAGTGACACAGGCACAGGGTCATGGAACGTCCGAAGAGCCCGGCCCGGGTTCTCAGGAAGTGGGGACACAGACTGTGCCTTGCCGCCCTGATTAGGCCAGGCTGGCTGCAGAGGTGCAACTCCGTCCCCTCCTCCCAGCCGCCCCAGGAGCTGTGTGCACTGTCTGCAGATGAGGCAGATCCAGTAGGAAAAGCTTCCCGCTGTGGGTGGCCGTGGCTAGGGCAGGGCAGGGCCTCATTCTTTTTACTGCTGCTGCTTGCTTTTTGCATCAGTTTTCCCATTTGTTTGTTTATTTACTTTTTTTTTTTTTTTTTTTTTTGAGACGGAGTCTGGCTCTGTCGCCGGGCTGGAGTGCAGTGGCCAGATCTCAGCTCACTGCAAGCTCCGCCTTCCGGGTTCACGCCATTCTCCTGCCTCAGCCTCCAGAGTAGCTGGGACTACAGGCGCCCGCCACCTCGCTCGGCTAGTTTTTTGTATTTTTTAGTAGAGATGGGTTTTCACCGTGTTCGCCAGGATGGTCTCGATCTCCTGACCTCGTGATCCGCCCGTCTCGGCCTCCCAAAGTGCTGGGATTACAGGCTTGAGCCACCGCGCCCGGCCTATTTTATTTACTTTTGAGACGGAGTCTCGCTCTGTTGCCTAGGCTGGAGTGCAGTGGCAGAGGCTCACTGCAAGCTCCGCCTCCCGGGTTCACACCATTCTCCTGCCTCAGCCTCCTGAGTAGGTGGGACTACAGACGCCCGCCACCACGCCCGACTAATTTTATTTTGTGTTTTTAGTAGAGACGGGGTTTCACCATGTTAGCCGAGATGGTCTCAATCTCGTGACCTCATGATCTACCCGTCTCGACCTCCCAAAGTGTTGGGATTACAGGGGTGAGCCACCGTGCCCCGCCCCATTTTCCCGTTTTATTAGGTCATTTAAAAAATCACTCGGAGTGGTATCGGGTACCTGTGGTCCTAGCTGTTCAGAGAAGGCTGAGGTTGCAGTGAGCTATGCTCGCACCACTGTACTCCAACCTGGGCAACAAACCCTGTCTCAAAAAAAAAAAAAAAGTTTTCTTTTTAAAGAAATGTTTTTTTTTGTTTTTTTTTTTTTTTTTTTTTTTTTAGACGGAGTCTCGCTCTATCGCCCAGGCTGGAGTGCAGTGGCGCGATCTCCGCTCACTGCAAGCTCCGCCTCCCGGGTTCACGCCATTCTCCTGCCTCAGCCTCCCGAGCAGCTGGGACTACAGGCGCCCGCCACCTCGCCCGGCTAGTTTTTTTTTTTAGTGGAGACGGGGTTTCACCGTGTTAGCCAGGATGGTCTCGATCTCCTGACCTCGTGATCCGCCCGTCTCGGCCTCCCAAAGTGCTGGGATTACAGGCTTGAGCCACCGTGCCCGGCCTTAAAAAATTTTTTATCTTTTAGTTTAAATAGAGATGGGGTCTTGCTATGTTGGCCAGGCTACTCTCAGTCATCCCACCTCAGCCTCTGGAGTGGCTGGGTCCACAGATGTGAGCCACCATGCCCAGTATCTTTTTCATTCAATTTATTTCTAATCTTTTAGTGCTTCCTTTTTTTTTTTTTTTTTTCCTTTTTCTTTTTCTTTGAGACAGAGCGTCACCCTGTTGCCCATGCTGGAGTGCAGTGGTGGAATTTCAGCTCATTGCAACCTCTGCCTCCCAGGTTCAAGTGATTCTCCTGCCTCAGCCTCCCGAGTAGCTGGGATTACAGGCACCCACCACCACACCTGGCTAATTTTTTGTACCTTTAGTAGAGACAGGGTTTCACCATGTTGGCCTGGCTGGTCTCGAACTCCTGACCTCAGGTGATCCTCCCACCTCAGCCTCCCAAGGTGCTGGGGTTACAAGTGTGAGCCACCACACTTGGCCTTTTGTTGTTGTTGTTTGTTTTTTTGAGACTGAGTCTCACTCTGTCACCCAGGCTGGAGTGCAGTGGCACAGTCTTGGCTCACTGCAGCCTCCTTTCAGGTTCAAGTGATTCTCCCACCTCAGCCTCCTCAGTAGCTGGGATTACAGGCACCAGCGACTATGCCCAGCTAATATTTGTATTTTTAGTAGACGGGGTTTCGCCATGTTGGCCAGGCTGGTCTCAAACTCTGGGCCTCAAGTGATCCACCCGCCTTGGCCTCCCAAAGTGCTGGGATTACAGGCGTGAGCCACCATGCCCAGCATTGTATGTTTAAAGACATTCCTGATTATAAATGCAGTTTGGAGACCGCTAGGCACATTTATTGCTTTTACTTTTTGGCTTGGGCTGACATGATAAAGTCCCACAGCCTGGATGGCTTAAACAGCTGGAATGTATTTGTCTTAAGGATCTCGGGGCTGGAGGTCTGAGGTGAAGGTGTGGCAGATTCGGGTTAGTGTCTTGGAGGCCTGTCTCCTTGGCTCATAGGTGACCGTCTTCTCTCTACATGTTTGTGTCCTAATCTCTCTTTATAAGGGCACCCGTCACATTGGATTAGGGCCACCATGGCTTCATTTTAACTCATTTGTGTCTTTAAAGGCCCTGTCTCCAAATACAGTTCCGTCCTGAGCTAAGCTATGGGGGCTGGGACTTCGGCGTATGGATTCGGAGGGTCACAACTTAGCCCTCACGTTGCAGTTTGGGGGTTTTGTGGTTCTCTTCCCTCAGCCTCAAGCTCTCTCGGCTGTGCCTATGGGTGCGGGACAGGCCCCTCAGAGCCTGGCTCCTCCCTGCCTGGCTGCCTGGTCTAGAGCAGTGAGAGAAGGTGCTGGGCAGGCTCCCGGGAGGGTTGGCCTCCTGGCCCCTCACTGAGGCCCTCCCCTCCAGCACTTGTCACCTAGGAGATCCTGACTGGCCTGTGGTCCTGAGACAAGTCTCTGTTTTGCAGAAATGGGCCCCCCTCACCACCACCCTGGCCATCGCATGCCTCATCCTGGTATCAACGAGCACCCGCCCTGGGCTGGACCCCAGCACCCCGACTTCGGCCCTCCCCCCCACGGCTTCAACGGGCAGCCCCCACACATGCGGCGACAGGGCCCGCCCCACATCAACCACGATGACCCCAGCCTGGTCCCCAACGTGCCCTATTTCGATCTCCCTGCCGGGCTGATGGCCCCCCTCGTGAAGGTAACGCCCCGCGGTGGGCTCCAAGCTGAGCATGCTCACCACGCTGGCCCCCATTTCTCCTGGTGAAAAGTGAACACACAGGATTGGGTGCCTCCTGGGGTGCCCCTTCCTCATCTCCCACCCCCTAGGGACCCTGATCCATCAGTGGGAGGCGTCTGAACTGGAGTTGCATGGTGTGGCCATGAGCGACGCCATGTCTGCCCTGCCCCTCGTATCCCTCCCGCTGCGGGGAGCTTCAGCCTTGCGGGGCCGGCTGGGCTCTGAGGCTGGACTCCTTCCTTCATCCTTCTCGGTCTAGGCCCTCAGAAGCACCTTGTCCCAGGGCTGCTGATGGAGGGAATGTCTTAGAAGGAGCCACCTGTGAGCTGTGCCTGCCAAGCACACAGGGAGGGGGTGGTCCTGGAGGAGCCAGGCAGGGCTGGCAGCAGCTGGTACCAGTGTGGGGTGGCCGGAGCATAGGGCAAGAGGAGGTGAGGCAAGAAAGGGCCAGGGCTGGGGCTCTGGGGCTCCAAGGGCGTGCTAGCCACTGCCACTTCCCATCCTCCCTCAGACCCGTCCATCTGAAGTCCAGGCGGACTTCATGGAGCCATGAGCAGCAGGGAGAGCTGCGGGCGGCGGGGCCCAGGCGAGCTAGGCAGGGCAGGGCCTCAACGGGAGGACAGAGACGGAGCAGAAGGAGACAGGCCAGTGGGCTCCAGGGCTGGGGCTGAGGCTGTTCTGAGGGAGGGGCCCAGGGTAGGCATTGTGAGCAAAGGGTGACGTGAGGGGCCCGCCGCATGCCTGTGAATAAACCAGCGAGTATTCCTGTCACCTGAGTTTGGAGACCATGTCCCCTGTGGGTGATTTTCTGAAGAGAAAACCCTGTGATTGTCATCAGCCTCAGAGCAGCTGTGACCCACCATGGTTGGTGTGGGTTCCCCAAGAGGGATGGATGAGGAGCTCTGGTGCCCAGGGCACCCTTGACACTGAACCTGGGCCCTGCCCTGACCCCACTCCCTGCAGACCCTGGGTGGGCCTGAGAGGGCTCTGCCCAGGCATGGTGACAGCCGGGTTCTCTGCTCTAGCTGGAAGATCACGAGTACAAGCCTTTGGACCCTAAAGACATCCGCCTTCCACCCCCCATGCCGCCCAGCGAGAGGCTGCTGGCTGCGGTGGAGGCCTTCTACAGCCCCCCATCCCACGACAGACCCAGGAACAGGTAAGGGGCCCAGGTCGGTGGGGCGGGCAGGAGGCCTCTATCCCCTCTCCCAGCTCCCAACAGCCACACCTTCTGCCCAGGCTAGAAAATGTGGCTGTCCCTCAGGAGAAACTGCCCCCCTGCCCGAGTGACAAGTGTGTGTGTCACAGGCACAGCACACACGTGGCCCTCAGTGGAGGGCATTTTAATGGAGACACATCAGAAGAACTTAGGGAAGGTGTGGTATGGCGGCACGTCTCAAGCAGCCGGCTGCCACAGGGCCCTCAGCCCACCCTTCCCAGTGGTCACCCCTTCTTCCCGTGCCAGGCTGCAGGCCTGTCTACCCATGAGTCAGTGTTCCTGTTCCCCAGTTCCACAGACCATCAGTCCCCACCACCTCAGTGGAACAGCAGGGTGGCAAGGGCATGGGCACCAGAGGAGCCACTGGGCTGCAGGAGGACAGCCCCGTGGGAACCCTGAGCCAAGGTCTGCTGCACCCATGCTCAGAGCCCACAGCCACAGGGCCATGTACTCTCCAAGGTTCTGTGGATTAACTCCTGATGACTTTTCCACGAGTTCCTTGTGGGTGGGCGTCACGTGGTCACACAGGGAATGCCGTGTCTTACAGTGAAGGCTGGGAGCAGAACGGCCTCTATGAGTTCTTCCGAGCAAAAATGCGGGCCCGGCGGAGGAAAGGCCAGGAGAAGAGGAACAGGTAAAGCGCAGACGTCTGCAGTGGCCGGGCGGCCAGAGCCCACCACGTGCGATGGGAGGGTTTAGAGTAGACTCCAGACACGCTCAGCACGTCCACCCTCACACAGCCTGTGCCTGTGGGGCGGTGTTTTCCACACGGCCTGAATTCGCACAGCAGCAGGCTCGGCCACACTGTTTAGGAACTTGATACTGCTGTGTGGCCATGGCGCCACATCCACAGCCACACCCTGCATCTGGGGTCGTCCGGGAACCTGAGGGCCAGGGTGGGCTGCCACAGGGGCACGCGATCATCAGGCCTCTCCCCACAGTGGACCCTCGAGGTCTCGGAGCAGATCCAAGAGTCGAGGGCGTTCTTCCTCCCGCTCCAACTCAAGATCCTCCAAGTCTTCAGGCTCGTACTCAAGGTCAAGGTCTCGCTCCTGCTCCCGCTCCTACTCCCGCTCCAGATCCAGGTAGGCAGAGGCTGCTGCAGGAGGGCAGTGCCCGAGGCCTCTTCCTGTGGCCTCCCCACGACGCCTGGCTGCTGCTGACCGTTGGGCACCCTTCCCTGCAGAAGTCGGAGCAGGTCACGCTCCTCCAGAAGCCGCTCCCGGTCCCAGTCACGGTCCCGGTCCAAGTCGTACTCCCCAGGAAGAAGACGCCGGTCACGGTCCAGGAGCCCCACCCCGCCGTAAGATCCTGTCTTAACTGCCGCGCTGGTAACACTGGGATGCTGCAGTGCTTTGCTGTGAATGTGGAAACACTGGTGGTTAGGAGACTATGTTAGGAGTTAGGAGGCCGCCAGCATTAGCCCAGGGACAGTGGCACCCTCACCCTCACCACAGTAGTCACTTGGCAAAGCCTGAGGCGGTAGCTGGGGTCTGCTTTCTAACCACCATCGGGGTTCGAGGTGCCCTGCTCTCAATGCTGAGCGTGGGGTGGGGGCCAGCGTCTGGAGCCCCCTTGTCTAGCTGAGACACGATGAACGGGTAGAGACGCAAAATCTGCATACAGTGTCACCTGGCGACAGTGAGCATGCACGCAAGCTGCAGCTGTGAGGCCCTCATCACTGTCATTCCAATAAATGTCTCAGTTACTTCTTAAAAGAATAACCTGTCTCGATTTTAGTTCCTCTGCTGGTCTGGGTTCTAATTCGGCACCTCCCATCCCTGACTCAAGACTCGGAGAAGAGAACAAAGGCCATCAGATGCTGGTGAAGATGGGTAAGGCGGGGGAATGGGGAGGGCACGGGAAGGGTCCTCAAGCGTGCTGGACCCGGGAGTCGCCAGCGCTTTCTCTCCCTCAGTGCATGTGGGGATGGATGGAGTCAGGCCACTTCTCTACCCATTTCCCATGTCTACACTGCGTGTCTGGACATTCAGTCCCCCATGTGCACCCCCATCTGCCTCCGTCCTGTCGTGGTTGTGACTGTGCGTCTCTGTTTCCAGGCTGGAGTGGCTCTGGCGGCCTCGGCGCGAAGGAGCAAGGGATCCAGGACCCCATCAAGGGCGGGGATGTCCGGGATAAGTGGGACCAGTATAAAGGCGTGGGCGTGGCCCTGGACGACCCCTACGAGAACTACCGCAGGAACAAGAGCTACTCCTTCATTGCCCGCATGAAGGCCAGGGACGAGTGTAAGTAGGCGCCCATGCCGGGAAGCGCCGCGCCGGTGGCCAGCGGTGCCGGCCGTGGGACCTTCTGGCTGACTGGCAGTGGAAGATCACGGTGACAGTTCAGTTCTCACACCGTCTCCACTTGTGGAGAGCCACAGGAAGAGAAGGAAGACCAGCGCATGCCCAATGGGAACACCATGCTCCATGGCGTGGAGGGCACGGGCGCCACCCACAGACCACACCAGGAGGCGCTACAGCCACCAGGGCCCCAGGCTCATTTCCTTGTACAGTGAAGCAAGAAACACAAGACCCTCCGCCCCGAGTAAGAATTCTTCACCCATGAAGGGATGGATGTGCATCTGCCCTACGTCAGATTGAAGCCTCCTCTTAGGCTCCAGGAGGAGCATGTGCGGGAGGGGTCGGCCTGGGCTGGGCCAGAGCCGGCGCCCCAGCTCCGTCCTCCAGCTCCCAGCGCCCACCAACCCTGACCCGGTTTCCCCTCGGCTGTGTAGGGACAAAGCTGAGGCCCAGTGCCATGACTGCCCGCAGATTGAAAAACAGAAACACAACGTTTTTGACTTGACTTGCAAAGTGAAGCAGGGTTTTCATTTTTACTCCCCTTGGTTTAGTTTTAGAAAGAATATTGACCTGAGAGGGGGCCCAGTGAGATTCTGAAACCCAATTCTTCGAAGGCGTACTGGCCCTTAGTTCAGTTATTTTAGTTGTTTAAGTTGATATTTTTTTTCTGGAATGTAGCCATTTGCTGTTATCTGGGAAACAGAAGATTCAACAGGAAACCAGCCTAAGACACTTCAGGTCGAGCGCTCCCTTGGAGTCCGTGCCCGTCGCATCCCCTGCTTGAGTTTTGCACTTGGAAGAACCCTGCACCGGCTGGCGTGTGCTATGGCCCCGTCCCATCCAGAGCGTGGAGCCCGACCCCAGCCAGCACCTCCCGCTCCGTCATTTCATTTCACACCCGTGAAGGGAGGGGAGGCCAGGAGGGAGCTGCCCCTGTGGAAGCTGGTGGGCAACTGCTGGGAATCGGCCACACGTGGTGTCCGTGGGCAGCCTGGCGCAATGCCATTCATTTGTACAAAAACATTTTTGAAAAATTTTCAATAAGATGCGAAATCCTCCAACTTTTCAACCCAACGTGATGAATATTTGATTTTGTTCTAGATTTCCTGTAGCTGTGAATTGTTAAAATGTATGATTCAGGATAAGACGTAAACACGTGCTGTTAGTAATTTCTTGTGGATTTCATTGTTTTGCCTTCAAATAAAGCCTTTTTTTAAAGACCTTTCTCCCACACGTGTGTAAGTCGGAGGTGTGCTTGGGCTGACTGAGGAGACGCATGTCCTGGTTTGAGCTGTGCATCCTGGGGTCACAGGCTTCGTCCAGGGGCTCACGTGGCGTCCCCAGCGTGCTGACCTGGTCCCATGTCGATATCCTCGAGCAGGGCTTCTGCCGTCCACCCCACCTTCCTCTGGCTCGCTGGGGTGCCAGGACCTGCCTGGGTGGAGCTGCTCTGCAGAGGCTGGTGGCCCCTGTCCTGCTGTGAGTAGGGACAGCTCCACTGAAACTATTTCCCCTGGCCTGTGGTGTCATGGAGCTGGGCATGCTGCTGGGAGAGCTGTCACTGAGCTGGGATTTGGCTCAGAGGAGTCTGGGGCCCTCACCCCCAGCACTGCCTGCCCCACCACGGAACGTCACACCTGGATGCTGATGTGTGTGTGTCCCTCATCCCGGCACTGCCTGCCCCACCACGGAATGTCACACCTGGATGCTGATTGTGTGTGTGTGTGTGTGTGTGTGTGTGTGTGTGTGTGTGTGTGTCCCTCATCCCGGCACCGCCTGCCCCACCACGGAATGTCACACCTGGATGCTGATTGTGTGTGTGTCCCTCATCCCGGCACTGCCTGCCCCACCACGGAACGTCACACTTGGACACTGATGAGCTCTGTGTTTGTGTGTGTGCACCCTGAGTACACAGGACAGAGTACCTTTTGTTAGATGTCACATCAAGCTCCACCTGCTGGTGCTCACAGCTCCTTGTTCACCTCCTCCAGCGCGTCCTCCATGGTCAGCGGGGCAGGTCTGTGGCGCCTAATGTACTGTCAGGCAGAGGACAGACCACACCGTCACCATCGTCACCTCAGCACTCTGAGACAGGGTGCTGGAGGAGGGAGTGGAGCCGGCACCTGTCCGTAAAACCACAGGATGTGTGTGACAGGTTGGCACACGGGGCTGCGGGAACACTGAGGGTAGGGGGACACCCAGGTCAGCCCTGCGAGTGGGGAGCCCTGACAGAAAGGGAGGGGTGCCTGTGGGTGCCCTTGGAGTGGCTGAGATCAGGGAGAAGCGCCTGGAGCAGGCAGCTGGGAGCTATGGTGGGCTGCAGCCAGGTGGCACAGTCAGCTGGCTTCTGCCTGCATCGGATTGGCTGATGGACACCCAACAGAGGCATAGTTCAAAGCCCCCAGAGGGGTGCAAGGAGCAAAGCTGAGACTGTAGAGACCCCATGGGACTCACAGCCTGCCCTCTTCAGATAAACCACAGGGAAACGAGAGGCCTGGCGTGCAGGGGACCCCGAGGGCGCAGTTCCAAAATGGCGTCCCCGAGGCACATGGGAGAAACGCCCAGCCTGCTTGCAGGCCCAGCATCGCTTTCATGGGGCTTCCTGAGGATCCCCAACCACTCAATGCTGAGAACTGGTCGCTGCTCTAGACTTAAGAGGCTCAAAGGACACATCAGGTAGTATGGACTTTGGATCTGGATTACAAAATTGGAACAAAACACACAACTTTAAATGAGACAAGCAGAAATCTCAACACTGGACATTCCTTGATACTTGGTAAATTTGGTTTGTGTATTATCATCGCATTATGGTTGGTTATTTGAGAGAGAGTCTTGCTATGTCGCTCACTACAGCCTCAACCTCCCCAGCTCAAGTGATCCTCCCACCTCAGCCTCCCAAAGAGCTGAGACTGCAGGCACACACCACTATGCTCGGCTAGTGTTTTTGTATTTTTTGTAGAGATGGAGTCTTGCTATGTTGCCCAGGCTGGTCACGAACTCCTGGGTTCAAGCGACCCACCCTGCCTCAGCTTCCCAAAGTGCTGGGATTACAGGAGTGAGCCACCATGCCTGGCCTTGAACATCACTTGTTAGAAATAAACATTGAAAAATTTGTATAAAAATGTTTAAAGCAGGGGGCGGTGGCTCACGCCTATAATCCCAGCACTTTGGGAGGCTGAGGCGGGTGGATCACCTGAGGTGTGGAGTTCAAGACCAGTCTGACCATCATGAAGAAACCCTGTCTCTACTAAAAATATGAAAAATTAGCTGGGCATGGTGATGCACACCTGTAATCACAGCTACTCGGGAGGGTGATTCACTTGAACCCAGGAGGGGGAGGTTGTGGTGAAGCAAGATCGTACCATTGCACTCCAGCCTGGGCAACGAGCGAAACTCAGTCTCAAACAAAAAAAATTCATAAACTTTATAAATAGATCACCATAAAGGACTGTGTATAGTATAACGCCTTTTTCTTTTTCTTTTTTTTTTTTTTGAGATGGTGTCTTGCTGTGTCGCCCAGGCTGGAGTGCAGTGGCGTGATCTCGGCTCACTGCAAGCTCCGCCTCCCGGGTTCACGCCATTCTCCTGCCTCAGCCTCCCGAGTAGCTGGGACTACAGGCGCCCGGCCACCTCGCCCGGCTAGTTTTTTGTATTTTCAGTAGAGACGGGGTTTCACCATGTTAGGCTGGTCTCGATCTCCTGATCTAAGATGATCCACCCGCCTCAGCCTCCCAAAAAGTGCTAGGATTACAGGCGCAAGCCACCATACCTGGCCGCAAATTTCTTTATAGAAATGGCATTACACAGGCGTGGTGGCTCACGCCTGTAATCCCAGCACTTTGGGAGGCTGAGACAGGCGGATCACGAGGTCAGGAGATCGAGACCATCCTGGCGAACACGGTGAAACCCCGTCTCTACTAAAAAAATACAAAAACCTAGCAGGGCGAGGTGGCGGGCGCCTGTAGTCCCAGCTACTCGGGAGGCTGAGGCAGGAGAAGGGCGTGAACCTGGGAGGCGGAGCTTGCAGTGAGCAGAGATCCGGCCACTGCACTCCAACCTGGGCGACAGAGCGAGACTCCGTCTAAAAGAAAAGAAATGAGGCCCCTCCACAGGGTCAGAAGGCGATGGCCCCACTGCATCCCTGCAGCCCTGGGCTGAGCGCTGGAGCCCAGTCCCCTGCCCACATCCCCTCGGCCGGCATCTGAGAGCTGCCGCTCCCCTACCGCCCTGCCCCTGCCCGTGGGAAGCTGCACTCACCTCTTTGGCTTCCTCCAGGGTGTGGTATTGGAAGGAGTCGGCGTCCAGGGAGCGCAGGAGGGAGGCGTGCAGGTGCCGGCTGGCCTGGATGAACTGCTGCGTCAGGCTCAGCTGCTGCTTCAGCACATCATGGAGCGCCAGCGTGGCCGGGCTGTAGGCGGTCAGGGCTACCCCAGCTCCGCGTCACTCGGTGGCTTCACCAGGGCCCCACAAATTCTGCAGCCCCCCCGCTCAGGTGCCAGGCTACCTTCTGAAATCTATTTGTTTTTTTCTGGAGACAGGGTCTTGCTCTGCCACCCAGGCTGGAGTGCAATGGTGCCATCACAGCGCACTGCAGCCTCCAACTCCTGGGTTTAAGCAACGGTGGCTCACGCCTGTAATCCCAGCACTTCGGAAGGCCGAGGCAGGCGGATCACCAGCTCAGGAGTTTGAGACCAGCCTGGACAACATAGTGAAACCCGGTCTCTGCTAAAAATACAAAAAAAAATTAGCCAGGCGTGGTGGCAGGCACCTGTAGTCCCAGCTACTTGGGAGGCTGAGGCAGGAGAATTGCTTGAACCGAGACTGAGGTTGCAGTGAGCCAAGATCACACCACTGCACTCCAGCCTGGGTTGACAGATCAAGACTCCGCCTCAAAAAAAAAAAAAAATTAAAATTGAAAAGGGAAAAAAAGGCCGGGCGCGGTGGCTCAAGCCTGTAATCCCAGCACTTTGGGAGGCCGAGACGGGCGGATCACGAGGTCAGGAGATCGAGACCATCCTGGCGAACACGGTGAAACCCCGTCTCTACTAAAAAAAAAAAAAAAAAAAAAAAAAAAAAGAAAACGGAAAAAAATAGTAGGTACCAGATGGACTCCTACGTGTATCATAAGCCTTTGGTGGCTCCACTGGACTCGGCAGAGACTAAATTCTCTAAGTTGGCTGTTGGGGCTCCTTCCTCATGCCTCAGGCTGGACTGGAGCCCTTCTGAGGGCCACACAGACTCAACCCAGGAGGCAAGGGGCATGTCTACCCAGGCTGTGCAACTCAGTATCAGTCCAATAAATGTCTTCACGGGAAATAAACTATGGCTTATTGATGTAATGCCACCAAGGGGAACACACAAAAGTGGCCTTGTGCCAGGTGGGGTGGCTCATGGCTGTAATCCCAGAACTTTGGGAGACTGAGGTGAACTTGGCAGATCATTTGAGGTCAGGAGTTCGAGACCAGCCTGGCCAACATGGAGAAACCCTGTCTCTACTAAAAATACAAAAACCAGCCAGGCGTGGTGGCGCATGCCTGTAATCCCAGCTACTCGGGAGGCTAAGGCAGGAGAATCACTTGAACCCGGGAGGTGGAGGTCACAGTGAGTGGAGATCACGCCACTGCACTCCAGCCTGGGCAACAGAGCAAAACTCTGTCTCAAAACGAACAAAAAAAGTGGCCTTGTTGGGGTGCAGGGCACACAAGCATCACTGTTCACCCTCTTGTTTTATGGGACATTGGTGTCCCTCTGCAAGAGACAGAAGGTTCAAGGGCATCCACACCTTTTCTCTCCCCATGGCAGGTGCCCATGGCTGCGGTAATCCCTGTCCAATGGAGCCCTGGAAGCCAGTATGCAAGGGGTGCCACCCCTCCAGAGTGGGTGTGAACCTGCAGGTGAAATGAGTCCTGTAAAATGTGACAGGAAGGATCCCCCAAGCCGGGCTGTTACCTTCTATTGCATCCGCGCTGATAACATGATTGGCGATGGGTGTCGGGTCCACGTAGGCACCTCCCAGGGCAGGCCCCATGGCTGCCATACCAGCCACTATCTCGGGGACAAAGAGAGGGGTAAGCAGACAGGACACAGAGAAATGACTTTCAGGTCCACAGATACGACCCTGGAATAAACTACGTGAGCTTGTTTTTTCCTCTTTCTGAAGGTGATCGCCACCCTTGCATTTTTTTTTTGGTTTGAGACAGGGTCTTGCTCTATTGCCCAGTCTGGAGTACAGCGGCATGATCACAGCTCACTGCAGCCTCCTGGGCTCACGTAATCCTCCCATCTGTCTCCCAAGTAGCTGGGACTACAGCTGCGCCACCACGCCTGGCTAATTTTTAAATTTTTTGTAGAGACAGGGTCTCCTTATGTTGCCCAGGCTGGTCTTGAACTCCTGGGCTCAAGCAATCCTCCTGCCTCAGCCTCCAAAAGTGCTGGGATCACAGGCGTGAGCCACCATGCCCAGCCCTTCTTTGCTTTTTTTACCCTCTTCCCCTTTCAAATATTTCCCACGGCTGCCTCCATTTTTCTGTTAGGTTTTCTTGGCTCAAGGCACAGTCATCCCAGCTGGGTGCAGTGGTGGCTCCAGCTCACGGTGGCTGGAGTCGAGAGCAGTGGAAAATGTGCTTTCCCAGCCTTTCTTCTAAGGGTCACTGTTGACCTTGGGATTTTGTGTGTCCCCTGGGCTCTGAGGCCAGCGTGCTTATGGCTGCTGTTTTTTCTCTCTCCTTTCCCTGTCAGGCCTAGTCTAGGAGAACAGCCTCGCCAGTGTTTCAGGAAAGCAGCCCTAAATTGCCAAAAATACAGACAGAAACGCAGACAGACACAAACAATTCTGAGCCCAGATCCCAGGCTGAAAATACCATTTAACACCTCCAGGTGATTTTACTCAGTCAATGTGACTGACTTTCCTTCCTGAGAAACAGACACCAGTCACCCCTCTCCTCGGGGGAGGGGTCGGTCAGGCTGATGTTCGGTGAAACCCCCAAATCAAAACAAATAGATCCAGTGAGAATTACGTCGCTTTTCTTTTCTTTTTTTTTTTTTTGAGACAGTCTTACTCTGTCGCCCAGGCTGGAGTGTAATGGCACGATCTTGGCTCACTGCAACCTCCACCTCCTGGTTTCAAGCGATTCTTGTGCCTCGGGCCCCCGAGTAGCTGGGACTACAGATGTGCGCTGCCACACCCGGTTAATTTTTGAATTTTTAGAAGAGACAGGGTTTCACCACATTGGCCAGGCTGGGAATTACATCATTTTTCACATCCAGTCTACTTTGTCAAGAGCCATATGGATGAGAAAAGAGAGATTGAAAGGGAATGTTTATTAGCCAGGCACCTCTAGTCCCAGCTACTGGGGAGGCTGAGGTGGGAGAACTGCTGAAACCCGGGATGGGGAGGAGGCTGTGGGCCACGTGTGCACCACTGCGCTCCAGCCTGGGCAACAGAGCAAGACCCCATCTCATAACGTAACGTAACGTAACGTAACGTAACGTAACGTAACATCACATCACATCACATCACATCACATCACATCACATCACATCACATCATGGGAATGTTTAAAAGAATGGGGCCTTTCTACCAGCAAGAGCCGAGACTGAAGCCGGGAATGAAAGAAATGCCTGAAGGCCAGGCATGGTGGCTCACGCCTGTAGCCTCAGCACTTTGCGGGGTCAACATGGGCAGGTGGAAGGATCGCTTGACCCCAGGAGTTCAAGACCAGACTGGGGAACATAGGGAGACCCTGTCTCTACAAAAAACATTTTAAAATGATACAGGGGGCTGAGTGCGGTGGCTCACACCTGTAATCCCAGCACTTTGAGAGGCTGAGGCAGGCAGATCACGAGGTCAGGAACTCAAGACGAGCCTGGCCAGCACGGTGAAACCCCATCTCTACTAAAACTATAAAAATTAGCCGGGCACGGTGGCGCATACCTGTAATCCCAGCTATTCAGGAGGCTGAGGCAGGAGAATCACTTGAACCCGGGAGGCGGAGGTTGCAGTGAGCCGAGATTGCACCACTGCATTCCAGCCTGGGCAAGAGAGCAAGACTCCATCTCAAAAAAAAAAAAAAGATACAGGGCCGGGCACAGTGGCTCATGCCTGTTATCCCAACACTTTGGGAGGCTGAGGCTGACAGATTGCTTGAGCCCAGGAGTTTGAGACCAGCCTGGGCAATATGGCAAGACCCTGTCTCTACAAAAAAATACAAAAATTAGCCAGGCATGGGGCTGCATGCTTGTCATCCTAACTACTCGGGAGGCTGAGGTAGGAGGATCACCTGAGCCTGGGGAGGTTGAGGCTGCAATGAGCTGTGACTAGGTCACAGCACTCCAGCCTGGGCAACACAGCAAGACCCCATCTCTAAAAACAGAGTGAGAGAGAGACATGTCTGGAAAGTCACCCAGGGTGTTCATTCTCCAGGACAAAGGCATCCTGTGCACTGCAGGGTGTGGAATAGCACCCCTGGCCTCCGCCCAGCAGATGCCAATAGCATTCCCCACCCCGAGTTGTCACAACCAATAATGTCTCCATACCCTGCTGGAGGCCCCCCATGACAGAATCATCCTGTGGGAGCTGCTACCCTAGTCCTTGGTTCTGATCCTTCTGAACGCTTCAGGGCTAGGAAGACATCGGGACACACCAGGGCAGCAGCCCCTCGTCCGTGGAAGAGGAAATGGTGAGCCAAGGTCCCTGGGTGATTTTTTTTTTTTTTTTTTTTTGAGACAGAGTCTCATTCTATCACCCAGGCTGGAGTGCAGTGGCATCATCTCAGCTCAGTGCAACCTCTGCCTCCCGGGTTCTTCTCATGCCTCAGCTTCCTGAGTAGCTGGGATGACAGGAACACACCACGACAGCCAGCTCATTTTTGTATTTTTAGTAGAGATGGGGTTTCCCCATGTTGGCCAGACTGATCTTGAACTCCTGACCTCAGGTGATCCTCCTGCCTCGGCCTCCCAAAGTGCTGGGATTCCAGGTGTGAGCCACCTTGCCTGGCCAACCCCTCCAGGTGATTAATAACAAGAGTCCAGATCTCGGGAACCTGAGCTCTCCCACGTGTCTCCCAGGATGCTGTAAACCACATGCTGAGCTCCTGTCCGGGCTGCCCCGGCTCCCGCGGGCCCCAGTGCTTACCTTTGGTCCACTCGTAGGTGAAGGTGGGGTCCGGGGTCTGCACAGCTGTGTCCTTCACAAGCACCCTTGTCACGTGCCTGCCCGACTTTTTCCTAGCCTCGGCTGTTTGTGGAAAGTCTGTCTTCGCACTTGAAGAGGATTCAGACAGAGCGTCCAGTGTTCTGTCAAGAGACTCCTTGGAACGGGCCGTTGGCTCAGATGCCGTCAGACTTGGAGAGTTTTCAAAATCCTCAGAATAAGCTGAGCTGACTGTGTTCACCATGGGGGCTTCAGATGGTGGCTGCATGCTGGAAATGCTGTCCTGCTGGATGGCAGAGGCTGAGCTGGCACTGAGATGCTCCGAGACCTCGCTCTCATCCCCCTCTGCAGAGGCGGCCTTTCCCTGTGATGCCCAGCTCCTCGCCTGGGCCTGCCTGGGGGCATCCGGCCCAGCAGACACCTCGGCTCTGAAGATTTTGCCAGCCGTTTTCTCTCTCTGAGCACTTTCCTCCTAAAATGAGGAATGGCAGAAGTGGCTGGGAAGCGAGTTTTTTTTTTTTTTTTTTGAGACGGAGTCTCACTGTGTCCCTCAGGCTGGAGTGCAGTGGCGCGATCTCGGCTCACTGCAAGCTCCGCCTCCTGAATTCATGCCATTCTCCTGCCTCAGCCTCTCCTGTAGCTGGGACTACAGGCGCCTACCACCACGCCCGGCTAGTTTTTTGTATTTTTAGTAGAGACGGGGTTTCACCATGTTAGCCAGGATGGTCTCGATCTCCTGACCTTGTGATCTGCCCGCCTCAGCCTCCCAAAATGCTGGGATTACAGGTGTGAGCCACTGCGCCCAGCCAGAAGTGTTTTGGAAAGATCAACATGCTAGGAACACCGTACTCCTACGAGCTGGGGACCTCCGGCACTCCCGCAGGCAAGGGGGGCACACCAGCTCCTCATCAGGTGTGGGCATGGAGTATTCTAAACAGAACTGTGGCGTCTTCAGCACGGGATGCCTATGGGGCTGGCAAGCCTGATGGGGTGACGCATGCTTAGGTGGCACATGGATGGCATTTAACATTTCATCATGGACTTAAGGACTTTAGGTGGCTGAGGCGGTAGGATCCTTTGAGCTCAGGAGTTCAAGACCTGCCTGGGCAACATAGGAAGACCCTATCTCTATAAGAAAAAAAAATAAAAATTAAAAAATTAAGTTTCGGCCAGGCACAGTGGCTCATGCCTGTAATCCCAGCACTTTGGGAGGCCAAGGCGGGCAGATCACCTGAGGTCGGGAGTTTGAAACCAGCCTGACCAACATGGAGAAACCCCATCTCTACCAAAAATACAAAATGAGCCAGGCGTGGTGGCGCATGTCTGTAATCCCAGCTACTCGGGAGGCTGAGGCAGAAGAATCACTTGAACCCAGGAAGCAGAGGTTGTGGTGAGCCGAGATCACGCCATTGCACTCCAGCCTGGGCAACAAGAGTAAAACTCCAGCTCAAAAAAAAAAACCATTTCATCATAGACTGATGAAATGTTAGGTGGCTGAGGCAGTAGGATCCTTAGAGCTCAGGAGTTCAAGACCTGCCTGGGCAACATAGCAAGACTCTATCTCTATAAGAAAAAAATAGGCCGGGCGCGGTGGCTCAAGCCTGTAATCCCAGCACTTTGGGAGGCCGAGACGGGCGGATCATGAGGTCAGAAGATCGAGACCATCCTGGCTAACACGGTGAAACCCCGTCTCTACTAAAAAATACAAAAAACTAGCTGGGCGAGGTGGCGGGCGCCTGTAGTCCCAGCTACTCAGGAGGCTGAGGCAGGAGAATGGCGTAACCCCAGGAGGCGGAGCTTGCAGTGAGCTGAGATCTGGCCACTGCACTCCAGCCTGGGTGACAGAGCGAGACTCCGTCTCAAAAAAAAAAAAAAATAAATAATAATAATAATAATTAGGCTGGGCGCGGTGGCTCATGCCTGTAATCCCAGCACTTTGGGAGGCCGAGGCAGGGCGATCACGAGGTCAGGAGATCGAGACCATCCTGGCTAACACAGTGAAACCCCGTCTCTACTAAAAATACAAAAAATCAGCCGGGTGCGGTGGCGGGCGCCTGTAGTCCAAGCTACACGGGAGGCTGAGGCAGGAGAATGGCGTGAACCTGGGAGGCGGAGCTTGCAGTGAGATCGCGCCACTGTATTCCAGCCTGGGCGACAAAGCGAGACACTGTCTCAAAAAAAAAAAAAGAAAAGAAAAAAATAATTTAAAAATTAAGTTTCATCATGCCTGGGGGCAATGGCTTACACTTGCAATCTCAGCACTTTGAAAGGCTGAGGCAGGAGGAATGCTTGAAGCTAGGAGTTCAAGACCAGCCTGGACAACCTAGCCGGTCTCTATCTCTACAAAAAATAAAAAATTAGCCAGACATGGGTGCATGCCTGTAGTCTCAGCTACTCAGAAGGCTGGGTAGGAGGACTGCTTGAGCCTAGGACATTGAGGATGAAGTGAGCCATGATCCCCCAACTGCATTCCAGTCTGAATGACAGAGTGAGACCTGTCTCAAAAATAAATAAATTGGGCTAGGCAGGGTGGCACATGCCTGTAATCTCAGCACTTTGGGAAGCTGAGGTGGGTGAATCACCTGAGGTCAGGAGTTTGAGACCAGCCTGGCCAACATGGTGAAACCATCTCCACTAAAAATACAAAAATTAGTGGGGTATGGTGACGGGTGCCTGTAATCTCAGCTACTCAGGAGGCTGAGGCATGAAAATTGCTTGAACCCAGGAGGTGGAGGTTGCAGTGAGCTGAGACTGTGCCACTGTAGTCCCAGCCTGGGCAACAGAGCGAGACTCCATCTCAAAAAAATAATAATAAGGCCGGGGGTGGTGGCTCATGCCTGTAATCCCAGCACTCTGGGAGACCGAGGCAGGCGGATCATGAGGTCAGGAGATCGAGACCATCCTGACACGGTGAAACCCCGTCTCTACTAAAAATAGTTAAAAAATTATCCAGGCATGGTGGCGGGCGCCTGTAGTCCCAGCTACTCAGGAGGCTGAGGCAGGAGAATGGTGTGAACCCGGGAGGCAGAGCTTGCAGTCAGTTGAGATTGCGCCACTGCACTCCAGCCTGGGCAACAGAGCGAGACTCTGGTCTCAAAAAATAGTAATAATAATAATAATAATAGGCCAGGTGCAGTGGCTCCCACCTGTAATCCCAGCACTTTGGGAGGCCAAGGTGGGCGGATCACTCGCGGTCAGGAGTTCGAAACCAGCCTGGACAACATGGTGAAACTCCGGCTCTACTAAAATATACAAAAATTAGCCAGGCATGGTGGCAGGCGACTTAATCCCAGCTACTTGGGAGGCAGAAGCAGGAGAATCATTTGAACCTGGGAGGCGGAGGTTGCAGTGAGCTGAGATCGAGCCATTGCACTCAAACCTGGGGGATAAGAGCGAGACTTTCTCAAAAAAAAAAAAAAAAAAGTTTAAAATAAAAAATAATAATAATAATAATAAAAATTTTTAAATTAAAATGTCATCACTATGCATCACAACACATGTATCTGATAGTGCCGGTGGCCACCAGCACAAAAATCACAACAGGGAGTGTGACTGGATACAGCAGGTGAAGTGCTGCCTCCGCGCAGATGTTGTCACGGGCGGCTTAGGTGGGATGTGCTTTAATCACCGGCTAACCAAGGTGGCTTCATCCTGTTAGCACCTAAATCAGGGTCGCTCACCTACTGCACTCTTGACATCAGGGGCCACAGCATTCTTTGCAGTTGGAGGCCACCCAGTGCATTCCATAATATGGAGAATATGGAGCAGGGTTCCTGGCCTCCACCCACTCACAATACCAGTTGCACCTGTCACCCACCCCCAGTCATGACAGCCAAAACGTCACCAGACATTGCCAATGTCCCCTGGGGGGCAGAGTTGGAAACTATAGGCCTAAATGAAACATGACTTGCTTTTCCACATAAGAATCGACATTGGGCCAGGCATGGTCACTCACACCTGTAATCCCAGCACTTTGGGAGGCCGAGTAGGGACGATTGCTTGAGCCCAGTTTGAGGACGGCCTGGGCAACAAAGTGAACCCTTCCCCAATTTTTAAATTTTTAAAAATTTTTTTTTTAAAATTTTAAAGCCAAAAACAATCGACAATGAAAAATGACTTTGTTGTACTTACTTCCTGTTCCAAATCGGAGTTCTCACTGACAGCTGGAGACAGATCGCCAAGCGATAAAATATTTATTCTAAACTCTGTAATTAAAGAATTAGTATAGCATTTGAATTTACTTCTTTATTTACTCCATAATTATTTTTAAATCTTACAAATTTCTTTTTTTTTTTTTGAGATAGAGTCTCACTCTGTCACCCAGGCTGGAGTGCAGTGGCACGATCTTGGCTCACCACAACCTCCATCTCCCAAGTTCAAGTGATTCTCTCACCTCAGCCTCCTGGGTGGCTGGGATTACAGGTGCCTGACACCTTGCCCAGCTAATTTTTCTATATTTAGTACAGACAGGATTTCACCAATTGGCCAGGCTGGTCTCAAATTCCTGGCCTCAAGTGATTTGCCTGCCTCGGCCTCCCAAAGTGCTGGGATTACAGGTGTGAGCGCGGCCAGCCTAATATCCCACAAATGTTTAGAAAGATATGAAGACATGCAGTCCCTGTCCTCAAAAAACCAGCCCAAGGGTCCACACACCTTTTCTCCATAGGACAAGGCAGGGCAGTGGTTCACACCTATAATCACAGCATTTTGGGAGGCTGAAGCACAATGATCGCTTGAGCCCAAGAGTTTGAGACCAGCCTGGGCAACATAGTGAGACCCCATCTCTACAAAAAAATTAAAACATTACCCTGGCATGGTGACATGCACCTGTAGCCCCAGCTACTCAGGAGGCTGAGGTCAGAAAATCTCTTGAGACCAGGAGTTCAAAGCTGCAGTGAACAATGATCACACCACCGCACTCCAGCCTGGAGCACAGAGAGACCCTGTCTCTAAAAAATAATAATAATCCGCCCGGCGCGTTGCCTCACACCTGTACTCCCAGCACTTTGGGAGGCCGAGGCGGGTGGATCACGAGGTCAGGGGATCAAGACCATCCTGGCTAACACGGTGAAACCCCGTCTCTACTAAAAATACAAAAAAATTAGCTGGGCGTGGTGGCGGGCGCCTGTAGTCCCAGCTACTCGGGAGGCTGAGGCAGGAGAATGGTATGAACCCAGGAGGCAGAGCTTGCAGTGAGCCGAGATCACGCCACTGCACTCCAGCCTAGGCGACAGAGCAAGACTCTGTCTCAAAAAATCATCATCATCATCATCATCATCATCATCCTCCTCATCATCGGGCATGGTGGCTCACGCCTGTAATCCCACACTTTGGGAGGCAGAGATAGGCGGATCAACTGAGGCCAAGAGTTCAACACCAGCCTGGCCGACATGGTGAAACCTGGTCTCTATTAAAAATACAAAAATTGGCCGGGCGCGGTGGCTCAAGCCTGTAATCCCAGCACTTTGGGAGGCCGAGACGGGCGGATCATGAGGTCAGAAGATCGAGACCATCCTGGCTAACACGGTGAAACCCCGTCTCTACTAAAAACTACAAAAAACTAGCCGGGTGAGGTGGCGGCGCCTGTAATCTCAGCTACTCGGGAGGCTGAGGCAGGAGAATAGCATGAACCCGGGAGGCAGAGCTTGCAGTGAGCTGAGATCTGGCCACTGCACTCCAGCCTGGGCGGCAGAGCGAGACTCCGTCTCAAAAAAAAATACAAAAATTAGACAAGTTTGGTGGTGCGCACCTGTAGTCCAAGCCACTCAGGAGGCTGAGGCAGGAGAATCGCTTGAACCTGGAGTCGGAGGTTGCAGTGAGCGAAGATCACGCCACTGCACTCTAGTCTGGGTGACAGAGCAAGGCTCCATCTCAAAAATAACAATCATAATAAATAATAATAATAACAATGATACAAAATAAAAGGCTAGCTGGGAAATTTCCAGCTTTTGGGGATAGACTATCTGTTGTGACTACTCAGCTCCACTATCACAGTGTGAAAGCAGCCATAGACAATGTGTAAAGGAAGGAGCGTGGCTGCCTTCTGAGAAAGCTTTATAAAGACAGAAGACAGTCTGGGCGCAGTGGCTCACGCCTGTAATCCCAGCACTTTGGGAGGCCAAGGCGGGCGGATCACCTGAGGTCAGGAGTTGAAGACCAACCTGGCCAACGTGTTGAAATCCCATCTCTACTAAAAATAGAAAAATTAGCCGGGTGCAGTGGTGGGCGCCTGTAATCCCAGCTACTCAGGAGGCTGAGGCAGGAGAATTGCTTGAATCCAGGAGGCGGAGGTTGCAGGGAGCCAAGATATGCCATTGCACTCCAGCCTGGGCAACAAGAGCAAAACTCTGTCAAAAAAAAAAAAACAAAACAGAAGACAGGGCCAGGCGCCGCGGCTCACACCTATAATCCCAGCACTTTGAGAGGCCGAGGCAGGCAGATCACGAGGTCAGGATTTCAAGACCAGCCTGACCAACATGGTGAAACCCCGTCTCTACTAAAAATACAAAGAATTAGCCAGGCGTGGTGGTGCGCACCTGTAGTCCCAGCTACTCGGGAGGCTGAGGCAGGAGCATCGCTTGAACCTGGGAGGCGGAGATTACAGTGAGCCAAGATCGCGCCACTGCACTCCAGCCTGGGTGACGGAACGAGACCCTATCTCAAAAAAAAAAAAAAAGACAGAAAATAGGCCTACTAGCCCCTGGTCCAGACAGATTAGCAGCTGATCAGAGTGCACTGTTGGAAGTTGCTGAGAAGTATGCATGTGGTGTAAGGGGTGGGAGGTGGCAGGGCACCCAGCCAGCTGGGGGGAAACGGGGGAAGACTGTGGAGCAGGGGCAGACCTGAGACATGGCCCCAAAGCATCCTATGTTGTCATTTACAGCAAGTTAATAGACTGTGAGTTCTGAAAAATAGAGTTCTAAATTATATATATATATGTAGTACAGCAAGTGAAAGGCACTGCAGAACCTTAGGGTGGAGGCCAGTGTCTGAACCAAGCGTGTGCCGGCACCCAGGAGTATGGGGTTCTCTGTGGAGATTCTGGTGTTCCAACAGGTTTTTGGGTTTAAAAAAGTTTTTTTTTAGAGATGGAGTCTTGCTCTGTCACCCAGGCTGGAGCACAGTCGTGTGTTCACAGCTCACCGCAGCCTCCAATTCCCAGGCAGGCTCCAATTCTCCGGCTCAAACGATCCTTCTGCCACAGCCTCCCGCGTAGCTGGGACTACAGGTGTGCACAACCACACCCAGTTAATTTTTGTATTTTTTGTAAAGACAGGGTTTCACCATGTTGCCCAGGCTGGTCTCAAACTCCTCCTGCCTAAGCTTTCCAAAGCACTGGGATTGCAGGCATGAGCCACCAGGCCTAGCCTCCAACAGCTTCCAACAGGTTTAAATTGACTCCAGAGATGAGCTGGTAAGCCAGGTGTGGTGGTTCACACTTGTAATCACAGCATTTTGGGAGGCCAAGGCAGGCAGATCACCTGAGGCCAGGAGTTCAAGATCAGCCTGGACAACACAGTGAAACCTGGTCTCCACAGAATACAAAAATTAGCCCAGTGTGGTGGCACACGCCGGTGGTCCTAGCTGGTCAGGAGGCTGAGGCAGGCGGATTGCTTGAGCCTGGGAGGTAAAGGCTGTAGTGACCCATGATCATGCCCACTGCATTCCAGCCTGAGCAACAGAGCAAGACCCTGTCTGAGAATTAAATAAATAAATAAATAAATAAATAAATAAAGATAGCACAAAAATCTGACTTGGCCCCTCAACCAGACAAGAAAGTTGGAAAGCTGAGTGTGTGATGTGACTCCAAATACCCTGCCTGTGGCAATGCCCCGTGACCACTGCATCGGGGGCTCTAAAGGTGGCCCCACCCTTCCTGCCCAAGGTACTGGCTTTGCACCGGGACCGGGATTACCGTCGAGGCTGTTATCAGCACCTTCTGAGACCGGCTCATCCCCAGGCTCCGCCTCACTCCTTCCAGGGGAGGACGCAAGCTTGACGTGCCCCATTCTTAAAGACGCTGATTTTGAAAAGGCGCCTGTGATGGAAACTGACGGCGTGTGCGAGGTGGTGTCACCGGACACGTGACTCTGTGGGGAGTCTGCTCTTGAGTGAGCGCTGTGAACGGTTCTCTCTGCTGCCAGGAGGGAGGTTGGCTGACGGTTGGTGGGAGTTCCCTGGACGTTGCTCTCGTGAGATGGGATGCTGAAGGCGGGGGGGGCTGTTGCGGGGGGGGGGGCGGGTGGAGTGGATTGGTAACGGTGAACCGTCCTATCTAGCCGGCGTGGGGGCTGTAGTCCACTACTCGGAGGCTAGCGAAATGCTCCGGAGCGGCTGAGGATGGGACTGATCCATGGACAACGACTTAAAAAAAAAAACACTTGAAATTAACAAACTTATGACAACTAAGGTTTTTGTGGGGTTTGTTTGTTTGTTTGTTTGTTTGTTTTTTCAGACAGGGTCTCACTCTGTTGCCCAGGCTGGAGGGCAGTGGCTCAATCATAGCTCACTGCAGCCTCGACATCCTGGGCTCAAGCGATCCTCTCACCTCAGCCTTCCAAGCAGCTAGGACTACAAGCATGGACCACCACACCTGGCAATTTTTTTTTTTTTTTTTTTTTTTCTGTAGGAATAGGTTTTGCCATGTTGCCCAGACTGGCCTTGACCACAGCTGAAGCATCTACCCACCTAAGCTTCCCAAAGCCCTGGGATTACAGGTGTGAGCCACCATATCTGGCCGATACCTAAGTTCTTATGGTTCGACAGACAGTGCAATTAGCGGGGAGCATGAGACCAACACCGCAGGTATCACATTTTTCTCTTACTGCATCCCCTTTCTCTCTTCATTTCTGAAAGTCACGGTACAATATTTAGGTAAGATAATGTTGGGAGTAGAAAATATTCCGCAAGGCTGGGCGTGGTGGCTCACGCCTGTAATCCCCGCAGTTTGGGAGGCTGAGGAGGGCAGATCACGATGTCAAGAGATCGAGACCATCGTGGCTCACCATCCCACTTGGGCGGCTGAACAGTCGGATCGAACTATCCTGCTAACAGTAACCGTCTACTAAAAATACAAAAAAACTAGCCGGGCGTGGTGGCGGGCGCCTGTATCCAGCTACTCCTGGCGGAGATGCATACGGAGGCCTGCAGTAGCGAATCAGCATGATCCACTGGAGACACGAAGTCAAAAAAAAAAAAAAAAAAAAAAAAAAGAAAAAAAAAAAAAAAAATTAGCCGGGTGTGGTGGTGTGCACCTGTAATCCCAGCTACTCGGGAGGCTGAGGCAGAAGAATTGCTTGAACCAGGGAGGCAGAAGTTGCAGTGAGCCGAGATCGGGCCACTGCACTCCAGCCTGGTGACAAAGCATCGCAGCTACTTGAAAGGCAGAGGTGGGAGGATCACTAGAGCCTGGGAGGCAGAGGTTGCAGTGAGCTGAGATTGCACCACTGCACCCTCCAGCCTGCGTGACAGAGCAAGAACCTGTCTCAAAAAAAAAAAAAGCTGGGTATGGTGCCTCACGCCTGTAATCCCAGCACTTTGGGAGGCCAAGGCGGGTGGATCATCTGAGGTCAGGAGTTGGAGACCAGCCTGACCAACACAGAGAAACCCCATCTCTACTAAAAATACAAAATTAGCCGGGCATGGTGGTACATTCCTGTAATCCCAAACTCAGGAAGGCTGAGGCAGGAGAATTGCTTGAACCCAGGAGGTGGAGGTTGCGGTGAGCCAAGATCACGCCACTGCACTCTAGCCTGGGTAACAAGAGTGAAACTTGGTCTCAAAAAAAAAATATATATATATATAAAATTAGCCAGTCACCGGCTGGGCATAGTAGTTCATGCCTGTAATCCCAGCACTTTGGGAGGCCAAGGCGGGCAGATCACCTGAGGTCAGAAGTTCGACACCAGCCTGACCAACATGAAGAACCCACATCCCTACTAAGCATACAAAATTAGCAGGGCGTGGTGGCGCATGCCTATAATTCCAGCTACTTGGGAGGCTGAGGCAGGAGAATCGCTTGAATCCGGGAGGCGGAGGTTGTGGTGAGCAGAGGTTGCGCCATTGCACTCCAGCCTGGGCAACAAGAGCAAAACTCCGTCTCAAAAAAAAAAAAAAAAAAAAAAAATTAAATTAAATTAAATAAATAAAAATAAATTTACCAAAAAAAAAAAACTTACCGAAAATAGTTTTCTTTCTTCTTCCTCACTGACGTTAACACTGCTGAAGCCTTGACTCGTCTTTTTTTCTCTAGAAGAGTCCATCAAGCTTCCTAGCAATACTTTCATTTCTTCTTCGTCACTGTCTGGAGAATCAAATGTTCTAGCAGGTTCTTTCTGTTTGGGGGTTTGCAAAGTCCTCTCTTTCCCAACAGGTGCTTCAGGGGATATGTTTTCAACAGATGGTTGTTTCTTCTTTAGAAACCTACTAAAGACCTTTGGGTTCTGTGCATTATTTTCGGTGACAGGAAGTTCACAGGTTTGATTCTGGGAAGTTTTGTCTGTGTTCTGGGACGCAAGTTCGATTGCACCCCCGGAGAGGATTCTGTCAGCTCTCTTTGGAAGACTGGCATTGGTGGTCGTTGAGTCAGATTCTGTGTCAGACAAATTCCTCTGCAGCTTCCGATTCATGATCCGGGTTTCCAGCTGGGCCAGCTTCCTTAGTGCGGCATTGGCTCGGATCCTGGAGTCAGTGGTGGGCGGTCTACTTGAGGCAAGGCTGGGTCCACTCCCCAGTACAGGGTTCTCTTTTAGGAGTAAGTGTTTCTCACCTAGAGTTTGGTTTCTTTTTAGAAATCTGCTATGACCAGGTGCTATTTTGGTAAGATTTCTACTGATCTGGAAGTTTCTGATTTCTTCCATTGTTGAATCTTCTAAGGAAGTGTCACTGAAGTCACCAAAAACATCGCGTATGGGACAGCTGGCTTTCCTTGCAGAAGCCATTCTGTGGGGGAAGGGGAGACAATTTTGCATAAGAGTACCTGCTGTTTGGGCCGGGCGCTGTGGCTCACGCCTATAATCCCAGCACTTTGGGAGGCCCAGGCGGGTGGATCATGAGGTCAGGAGATTGAGACCATCCTGGCTAACATGCTGAAACAATGTAACTATCCATTAATTAGTGAATGGATTACAAACTATGGTCCATCCATACAGTGGAATACTGTTCAGCAATTTAAAAAACAAATACTAATATAATAGCATGCAGGAATCTCAAATACATCATATGAAGGGAAAGTAGCCAAGCCGGGCCCGGTGACTCACGCCTGTAATCCCAGCACTTTGGGAGACCGAGGCAGGTGCATCACGATGTCAGGAGTTCGAGACCAGCCTGACCCACATGGTGAAACCCCGTCTCTACTAAAAATACAAAAATTAGCGGGGCATGGTGGTCTGCGCCTGTAATCCCAGCTACTCAGGACGCTGAGGCAGGAGAATTGCTTGAACGTGGGAGGAGGAGTTTGCAGTGAGCTGAGATCACGCCATTGCACTCCAGCCTGGGTGACAGAGCGCGACTCTGTCTCAAAAAAAAATTTAAAAAAAGGAGCCAGACACTAAACTCCACACACCCTATCATTTCATCTGTAAGAACTGTCAAGAAAATGCAAACCAATAAACTCAGAAAGCAGATCAGGCCGGTGCTGTGGCTCACGCCTATAATCCCAGCACTTTGGGAGGCCAAGGCTGGCAGATCACGTGAGGTCAGGAGCTGCAGTGCAAACATGGTAAACATCCTACAAATACAAAAAATTAGGGGCGGTGGTCAGCCAATACACTTTGGGGGAGGCATCACGGGTAAGACACCATCCTCTAACCTAAACCTCTCTATTAAGAAATACAAAAAAAAACTAGCCGGCGAGTGCGCTGTATAGACTCAGGCTGACGAAAGCGTGAACCGGAGGCGACTTGCAGTGAGCTGGATCCGCACTGCACTCCAGCTGGACAGAGCGAGACTCGTCCAAAAAAAAAAAAAAAAAAAAAAAAAAAAAAAAAATTAGCCAGAGTGCAGTGGCATGATCACAGCTCACAGCAGCTTTGACCTTCCAGACACAAGCAATCCTGCTCCCGCCTCAACATCCCGAGTAGCTAGGACTGTAGACGCGAGCCACTACACCTGGCTAATTTTTTATTTTTATCTTTTTGAGAGATGGGGTGTCGCCATGTTGCCCAGGCTGGTCTGGATCTCCTGGCCTCAAGTGATCCTCCCGCCTTTGCCTCCCAAAGTGCTGGGATTGCAGGCGTGAGCCACCACACCCCGCCTGACGCGAAGTTCTAAAGCAGGATGAACTGGATAATGGCGACGTCTTCACAGCTTTGTAGATTTACTAAAAATAACGGAGTCGTCAGCTTAAAAGTGGCGAACACTATGGTATGTAAATAAAGGCTCAACAAAGTCGTTAAAAACCAACAAACCAAAATTTGAAAACCCTGGCGCCCCTCAGACCATCCTGCTCTTCTCCCCAGCTATGAAGCGACCCGCCCAGGACCACGCTCCAATAGACTCCAGGCAGGGAGACTGAGGCGCGGGACCATCCTGCAGCTGCCCAACCAGCTCAGCCACGGAGAAGGCCCCATTTCCCCGTATCCCCCTCGCGAGCCCGGACGCCCAGCCAGGTCACCTCCCCACCAGCGCTGCCGACCTCCTCCCACGCCGTCCATTCGCAGAGGCAGCCGCCACATTCAGGCCTGAGGGACCGGTTGCCCTGAGCAACAGAGCCAGAGCAGAAGAGACTACATCTCCCGGCAAGCACCGCGTCCCGCAGACCAATGGCGTCCCGAATCACAATCGCGAGGCATCATGGGAGCGGTAGTTCCCTGGCGGACCCGACGTGCCCAGCGCCGCAGCTACCAATGGGACCCTCAGGTCATAATCGCGAGTTGTGACGGGAGTTGTAGTTTCAGGACTCGCCTGAAGAGCCGCAGAGAGCGCCGGGAGCTAAGGGGCGGTGGCGACCGGAAGCGCAGTGCAAACCCCCATGGCCGGGGTTCGGGTGCCCCTCTGGGGCATCTGCATGCTGCGAGTGGCGCTGGCTACCGTCTATTTCCAAGAGGAATTTCTAGACGGAGGTGAAGGGGCCACGCCCGTAGTGGCAGAGGTGTAAGCTCCCCCATCTGCGCCCCCCAAGGCTGGGCAGAGTCGTCGCGAGGTCGACGGCAGCGAACTCTCGAATCCTCGAGGGTCCCCCTCACCCTTCCCTTAGGCCAAATTAACCATTATCTCCTCTAACCGGTGTTATTTCCCCCTCCCCACAGAGCATTGGAGAAACCGATGGGTGCAGTCCACCAATGACTCCCGATTTGGGCATTTTAGACTTTCGTCGGGGAAGTTTTATGGTCATAAAGAGAAAGATAAAGGTTAGTGTAGAATCAGGACCAAATTGAGCCTAATGTTACATCTCCATAGCACCCTCTCAAGGTAGTTGTGGCACAGCCAAACGCTTTTATTCCCGATTTACAGATGAAGACCTTAAGGCAAAGGTAGAACTTAAGGCAAAAGGGCTCCTTACCCTTGTTTTTTGTTTCCTCTCTCTTTTCTTTCTTTCTTTCTTTCTTTTTTTTTTTTTTTTTTTTTTGAGATGGGGCCTTGCTCTGTTGCCCAGGCTGGAGTGCACTGGTGCGATCTCAGCTCACTGCAACTTCCACTTCCCGGGTTCAAGCAATTCTCCTGCCTCGGCCTCCCGAGTAGCTGAGACTACAGGCGCGTGCCACTGTGACCAGCTAATTTTTGTACTTATTAGTAGAGACAGGGTCCACGTTGGCCAGGCTGGTCTCGAACTCCTGACCTCGTGATCCACCCGCCTTGGCCACCCAAAGTGCTGAGATTACAGGCATGAGCCACTGCACCCAGCCTCCTCTCTCCTTTCTTTATTGCCGAAGATTACTTTTTTTTTTTTTTGAGACGGAGTCTCGCTCTGTCCCCGTGGCTGGAGTGCAGTGGCGCGATCTCGTCTCACTGCAAGCTCCGCCTCCCGGGTTCCCGCCATTCTCCTGCCTCAGCCTCCCGAGTAGCTGGGACTACAGGCGGCCGCAACCGCGCCCGGCTAATTTTTTGTATTTTTAGTAGAGACGGGGTTTCACCGTGGCCTCGATCTCCTGACCTTGTGATCCGTCCGCCTCAGCCTCCCAAAGTGCTGGGATTACAGGCGTGAGCCACCGCGCCCGGCCTTTTTTTTTTTTTTTTTTTTTTTTTTTTTTTTTTGAGTAGGAGTCTCACTCTGTGTCACCCAGCTAGAGTGCAGTGGCACGATCTTTTTTTTTTTTTTGAGACGGAGTCTTGCTCTGTCACCCAGGCTGGCCGGATCTCAGCTCACTGCAAGCTCCGCCTCCCGGGTTTACGCCGTTCTCCTGCCTCAGCCTCCCGAGTAGCTGGGACTACCGGCCCTCCCGCCACCTCGCCCGGCTAGTTTTTTGTACTTTTTAGTAGAGACGGGGTTTCACCGTGTTAGCCAGGATGGTTTCGATCTCCTGACCTCGTGATCCGCCTGTCTCGGCCTCCCAAAGTGCTAGGATTACAGGCTTGAGCCACCGCGCCCGGCCAATGGCACGATCTTGGCTCACTCAAACCGCCGCCTCCCGGATTCAAGCGATTCTCTTGCTTCAGGCTTCCGAGAAGCTGCGATTACAAGCGCGTGCCACTACGCCCTGCTAATTTTTTTAGAGACAGAGTTTCACCACGTTGCTCTGGCTGGTCTCAAACTCCTGGCCTCAAGTAATCCAACTGCCTCGGCCTCCTAAAGTGCTGGGATTATAGGCGTGAGTTGGTATTAGGTCCTCTGAAGTCCAAGGAGACATATTCAGCTTATTTGGTATAATAAAATCATACCTGAAGCACTGTCAAATATGCAATGGTATTTAACCATCTTTGGATTATATTTATATGAATGTGTTATTAGTAGGCATTACCAAAGTTGTCCCTCTTAATAAACACTAGTCAAGTGCATTTGAGGATCAAGGGCCACGCCCCTCAGAAGGAAAAGGTTAGTGGGTGCTTTTTCTCATTTTAATTTTTGCATTTAAAAAAATAGGCCGGGCACGGTGGCTCACACCTTAATCTCAGCACTTTGGGAGGCCTTAGGCAGGAGGATCATGAGGTCAGGAGTTTCAAACCAGTCTGGCCAATATGGTGACACCCCATCTCTACTAAAAATACAAAAATTAGCTGGGTGTGGTGGTGCATGCCTGTAGTCCCAGCTACTCGGGAGGCTGAGGCAGAAGAATCGCTTGAACCCGGGAGGCAGAGGTTGCAGTGAGTAGAGATCATGCCACTGTGCTCCAGCCTCAGTGACAGAGTGAGACTCCATCTAAAAAAAAAAAAAAAGAAAAATATGGTCAGGCACGGTGGCTCATGCCTGTAATCCCAGCACGTTGGGAGGCCAAGGCGGGTGGATTACTTGAGGTCAGGGGCTTGAGACCAGCCTGGCCAACATGGTGAAACCGTGTCTCTACAAAAATACAAAAAAATTAGCCAAGCGTGGTGGCGCACACCTGTAATCCCAGCTACTTGGGAGGGTGAGGCAGGAGAATCACATGAACCCGAGAGGCAGAGGTTACAGTGAGTCAAGATCTTGCCACTATAGCCTGGGCAACAGAGCAAGACTCTGTCTCCAAAAAAAAAAAAATCTAGCTTAAAGAGAGCTAATTCAAGCTCAAAGTTTGAGGACAACTGTATGGAAAACACAGATTCCAAAGAATAGAAGTCAGTGTTCTGAAGTGTAGAAGTTTGGGATCGTTTGTATAGACAAAGTTTAGGAAAGCTTAACAGAATTTCAGCATCTTTCTAGGCAAGGCTTAATACGTAATGACCGTGATCCCATTAGTCAAGGTGGTCTTTTTCTTTTGAGAAGGTGTATTTAACATTTCACCCTGAAGATGTAGCAGTCACACAGCATCTTTTGTGCCATCTGGTCCGAGTTAGGTACAGTTCAGTACTGGAGGCAGTCAATCTGTAACCAAGGTCAGTGGTCACAAATGGAGGAGGCCTGGTCTCTGGTCTGTCCTAGTCATTTGCAGAACAAGAACAATGAGGAAGAAGGTTTATCTATGACTTAAGAAACAGAGGTTACACCTGCATGCAACATGACTTAGATGACACATATTGCTCAAGGCTTTTATTTATTTTATTTATTTTTTTTTTTGAGAGGGAGTTTCACTTTTGTTACCCAGGCTGGAGTGCAATGGTGCGATCTCTGCTCACCACATCTGCCTCCCAGGTTCAAGTGATTCTTCTGCCTCAGCCTCCCAAGTAGCTAGGATTACAGACGTGTGCCACCACACCTGGCTATTTTTTTTTTTTTTTTTTTTTTTTTTTGAGACCGAGTCTCGCTGTGTCACCCAGGCTGGAGTGCAGTGGCCCAATTTCAGCTCGGCTCCACCTCCCAGATTCATGCCATTCTCCTGACTCAGCCTCCCGAGTAGCTGGGACTACAGGTGCCCACCACCACACCTGGCTAATTTTTTGTATTTTTTTTTTTTTAGTAGAGGTGGAGTTTCACCACGTTAGCCAGGATGGTCTTGATCTCCTGACCTCGTGATCTGCCTGCCTCAGCTTCCCAAAGTGCTGGAATTACAGGCGTGAGCCACCGCGCCTGGCCTAATTTTATATTTTTAGTAGAGATGGGGTTTCTCCATTTTGGTCAGGCTGGTCTCCAACTCCTGACCTCAGGTGATCCACCTGTCTCGGCCTCCCAAAGTGTTGGAATTAGGGGCAGGAGCCACCGTGTCCAACCTATTTTATTTATGTTTTTAAACGGAGTCTCGCCCTGCCGCCCAGGCTGGGGTTCAATGGGGCAATCTGGGCTCCTCCACCTCCCAGGTTTAAACGATTCGGCTGCCTCAGCTTCCCGAGTAGCTGGGACCACAGGCACGCGCCACTGCGCCTGGCTAATTTTGTATTTTTAGTAGAAATGGGGTTTCCCCACGTTGGCCAGGCTGGTCTCAAACTTCTGACCTCAAATGATATACCTGGCTCAGCCTCCCAAAGTGCTGAGATTACAGATGTGAGCCACCATACCTGGCCTCTCAAGGCTTTTAAATTGTATTTGCTTTCACATATGTGAAAGTTTAGGCTGGGCGCAGTGACTTACACCTGTAATCTTAGTACCCTGGGAGGTCAAGGTGAGTGGATCATTTGAGGCCAAGAGTTCAAGACCAGCCTGGGCAACATGGTGAAACCCTGTCTCTACTAAAAATACAAAAATTAGCCAGGCGCGGCGTCGCATGCCTGTAGTCCCAGCTACTCAGGAGGTTAAGGCAGGAGAATCGCTTGAGCTCAGGAGTCAGAGTGAGCAAGATTGTGCCACTGGACTCCAGCTTGGGTGACAAGAGCAAAACCCCATCTCAAAAAAAGAATTTAAAAAAAAAAAAAAAGAATGCCTCCACCTTCAGGTTTGTCTGACATACTCTCATAAAAGAACGAGATTTGAGACTGTGCCTAGGGGCTACTAGGAAAGAAAGGGTTGGTTTTGAAGTGAACACATAAATATGAGTGACAGGATGTTTTCTTCATGAAAGAGTGACACAGTTGACACGTACAGGGCAGCCCACCCAGTGCTATGAAGCGTTACATTACAAATCAGCGTGCCGTGGAACGCACTCTCATCACCACCTGTTCTGTCAGTCCAGTAGCTGTTTCAGAATGAGAATTCAGGAAACATTTAACAGTCTATTCTTTTATTCATTTGCTACGCAGGTTTCATTGAATCATCCCAACCCTAGGAAGATGAACAGAAGCTAAATTAACCCATGGTATTCATAATTAGATTCATAATTAGATTTGACATTTAGAGTTGAAGTACTTTTGTAACTTAAAGCATAACAGTATGGTCAGGTGCAGTGGCACATGCCTGTAATCCCAGCACTTTGGGAGGCCAAGGCAGGTAGATCACCTGAGGTTAGGAGTTCGAGACCAGCCTGGCCAGCATGGTGAAACCCTCTCTCCTCTCTACTCAAAATACAAAAATTAGCTGGGCATGGTGGCAGGTGCCTGTAATCCCAGCAGCTACTTGGGAGGCTGAGGCAGGAGAATCTCTTAAACCCAGGAGGCAAAGGTGGCAGTAAGCCAAGATTGTGCCACTGCACTCCAGCCTGGGTAACAGAATGAGACTCTGTCTAAAAAATAAATAGCCAGGCGTGGTGGCTCACACCTGTAATCCGAGCACTTTGGGAGGCCACGGTGGGTGGATCACGAGGTCAGGAGATCGAGACCATCCTGACTAACATGGTGAAACCCTGTCTCTACTAAAAATACAAGAAATTAGCCAGGTATGGTGGCGGGCGCCTGTAATCCCAGCTACTCGGGAGGCTGAACCAGGAGAATGACTTGAACCCAAGAGGCAGAGCTTGCAGTAAGCCGAGATTGCGCCACTGCACTCCAGTCTGGGTGACAGAGCGAGACTCTGTCTCAATAAATACATAAATAAATAAATAAATAAATAAATAAATAAATAAATAAATAACAGAGGTATATTAAGAACAAAAACTTCCAGGTGTGTGAAATAAAAGTTGTATGGGCCAGGCACGGTGGCTTACACCTGTAATCCCAGCACTTTGGGAGGTTGAGGCGGGCAATCACCTGAGGTCAGGAGTTCGAGACCAGCCTGACCAACATGGTGAAACCCCGTCTCTACTAGAAATACAAAAATTAGCCAGATGTGGTGGCAGATGCCTGTAATCCCAACTACTCGGGAGGCTGAGGCAAGAGAATCACTTCAACCCGGGAGGCAGAGGTTGCAGCGCACCAAGATCGCGCCATTGCACTCCAGCCTTGGTGACACAGCGAGACTCCATCTAAAAAAAAAAAAAAAAAGTGGTATGGAAGCAGAGTGCCTGCTAGTGGTATACTCATTATGCATTATTGTATAATGCTCTGTTGGCACTGTGGATCACTGTTAACGGTTGGGACATTTGTGATTGGGAGTAAGGGAAGGACATCCATTTAACTTTCTGCATTACTGAGCACAGCATCATTCCCAAACCTTCATGAGTATTTTTTGTTCAAAGGTCTGCAGACCACTCAGAATGGCCGATTCTATGCCATCTCTGCACGCTTCAAACCATTCAGCAATAAAGGGAAAACTCTGGTCATTCAGTACACAGTGAAACATGAGCAGAAGATGGACTGTGGAGGGGGCTACATTAAGGTCTTTCCTGCAGATGTTGACCAGAAGAACCTGAATGGAAAATCGCAGTACTATATTATGTTTGGTGAGTTTTGGTGGTACAACACAACCACTTCTAGCGACTTTGAAAACCCTCCCACTTCACGGGATCTTTAGACTAAGACTTGGCTCATGTAGTTAAGGTAGTAGTATTGAGTATATTGGATCCAAGGTTTATAGCACTATTAAACCTAATTAACATAAAAAGGCAACGGTGCCAGTCTGTTGTGTTCCTGAAGAAGTTATTTATTCACCATAAATCTTGCCCTCATGCAGGGTAAGGATACCTTATCTGAAATGTTTGGAAGCAGAAGTGTTTTGGATTTTGGAATTTTCGGGGGGATTTTGGATTGTTTGCATTATCCTTACCGGTTGAGCATCGCTGATTTGAAAAATCTGAAATCCACAAAGCTCCAAAGAGCATTTCCTTTGAACATCATGTTGAGTCTAAAAGTTTGGGTTTTGGAACACTTCAGATTTGTGATTTTTTGATTTGGGTTGCTCAACCTGTGCAGTTTTTTTGGTTTTGGTTTTGGTTTGAGCCAGAGTTGTCACTCTTGTGGCCCAGGCTGGAGTGCAATGGCAGTGGCCCCATCTCACCTCCCTGCAGTCTCTGCCTCCTGGGTTCAAGTGATTCTCCTGCCTCAACCTCTTGAGTTGCTGGGATTATAGGCATGTGCCACCATACCTGGCTAATTTTTTTTTTTTTTTTTTTTTTTTTTTTTTTTGCATTTTAGTAGATATGGGGTTCCTTTTTTTTTTTTTTTTTTTTTTTGAGATGGAGTTTCGCTCTTGTTGCCCAGGCTGGTATGGAATGGCATAATGTCGGCTCATTGCAACCTCCTCCTCCCGGGTTCAAGGGATTCTCCTGCCTCAGCCTCCCAAGTAGCTGGGATTACAGGTGTGCACCAGCACGCCCAGTTAATTTTTGTATTTTTAATAGAGATAGGGTTTCACCATGTTAGTCATGCGGGTCTCAGACTCCTGACCTCAGGTGATCCGCCCACCTCAGCCTCCCAAAGTGCTGGGATTACACGTGTGAGCCACTGCGCCTGGCTGAGATGGGGTTTCACCATGTTGGTCAGGCTGGTCTCAAACTCCTGGCTGGTATCGAACTCCTGACCTCAGGTGATCCACCTGCCTTGGCTTTCCAAAGTGCTGGGATTACAGGCGTGAGCCACCACGCCTGGCCTCAACCTGTGTTTTGAATCCTTTAGGACTCAGTAAACCTTGGCCATGGGCCAAATTGGCCCACTGCCTGTGTTTATATGACCCATGAACTAAAAATGTTTTTTACATTTTTAACTGGTTCAAAAAAAAATCAATACAAGGATGATATTTTGTGATACATGAAAATTGTATGAAATTTAGATTTCAGTGTCCAGAAATGAAGTCTTACTGGAATGCAGCCTCACTCTGTTCATTTACATGTTGTCTGTGGCTGCTTGCCAGTACCAGTGGCAGAGTTAAGTTGTCATGACAGAGATCATTAGGCTTACAAAGCCAACAATATTTTACCATCTGGCCTTTATAGAAAAAGCCTGCAAACCTCTGGAAAATATTAAATGTCTCCTGACACCAGGAGATTAAAATTTGTGCTAGAACTAGGAAGGGATCATACTGGGCCACAGGAAATAGACACAAGTATAGCATAACTTAAAACTTTAAGAACAAATGTACCTCAGGCCAGGTGTGGTGGCTCACACCTGTAATCTCAGCGTTTTGGGAGGCTGAGGTGGGCGGATCACTTGAGGTCAGGAGTTCAAGACCAGCCTGGCCAACATGGTGAAACCTTGTCTCTACTAGAAATACAAAAAAATTAGCCGGGCGTGGTGGTGCATGCCTGTAGTCGGGAGGCTGAGGCAAGAGAATTGCTTGAACCTGAGAGGCAGAGGTTGCAGTGAGCCGAGATCTCACCACTGCACTCCAGCCTGGGTGACAGAACGAGACTCTGTCTCCAAAAAAAGAATGAATGTGGCCAGGCGCGGTGGCTCAAGCCTGTAATCCCAGCACTTTGGGAGGCCGAGACAGGCGGATCACGAGGTCAGGAGATCGAGACCATCCTGGCTAACACGGTGAAACCCCGTCTCTATTAAGAAATACAAAAAACTAGCCGGGCGAGGTGGCGGGCGCCTGTAGTCCCAGCTACTCGAGAGGCTGAGGCCGGAGAATGGCGTGAACCCGGGAGGCAGAGCTTGCAGTGAGCTGAGATCTGGCCACTGCACTCCAGCCTGGGTGACAGAGCGAGACTCCGTCTCAAAAAAAAAAAAAAGGCCGGGCGCGGTGGCTCAAGCCTGTAATCCCAGCACTTTGGGAGGCCGAGACGGGCGGATCACGAGGTCAGGTGATCGAGACCATCCTGGCTAACGCGGTGAAACCCCATCTCTACTAAAAAATACAAAAAACTAGCCGGGCGTGGTTGCGGGCGCCTGTAGTCCCAGCTACTCGGGAGGCTGAGGCAGGAGAATGGCGAAAACCCGGGAGGCGGAGCTTGCAGTGAGCTGAGATCCGGCCACTGCACTCCAGCCCGGGCGGCAGAGCGAGACTCCGTCTCAAATTCATCCTTAGCTGAGCACTGTGGCTTATGCCTGTAATTCCAGCACTTTGGAGCAGCAGGAGATACTTGAGTCCAGATTCAGACCAGTTTGGCCAACATAGTGAGACCCTGTCTCTACAAAAAATAAAAATTAGGGCTGGTGCAGTGGCTCATGCCTGTAATCCCAGCACTTTGGGAGCCCGAGGTGGGCGGATCACCTGAGGTCAGGAGTTCGAGACCAGCCTGACCAACATGGAGAAATCCCATTTCTACTAAAAATAAAAAATTAGCTGGGCATGGTGGCACATGCTTGTAATAATCCTAACTACTCGGGAAGCTGAGGCAGAAGAATTGCTTGAACCCAGGAGGCAGAGGTTACAGTTAGTCGAGATCGTGCCATTGCACTCCAACCTGGGTAACAAGAGCAAAACTCCATCTCAAAATAAATAAATAAATATAAATAAATAAAAACTAAAAATAAATAAAAATAAAAATAGAACTTAAAAAAACCCCAGATATCCTAAACATCTGCCGAGGGAGGATCCCTTGAGCCCAGGAGTTTGAGATCAGCCTGGGCAATATAGCAAGACCCCATCTCTAAATTTTTTTTTTTTTTTTTTTTGAGACAGAGTTTTGTTCTTGTCGCCCAGGCTAGAGTACAATGGCAAGATCCTGGCTCACTGCAACCTCTGCCTCCCAGCTTCAAGCGATTCTCCTGCCTCAACCTCCCAAGTAGCTGGGGTTAGAGGTGCCCCGCCACCACGCCCAGTTAATTTTTTTGTATTTTTGTAGAGACAGTGTTTCACCATGTTGGACAGGTTGGTCTCGACCTACTGACCTCAGGTGATCCACCCACCTTGGACTCCCAAAGTGCTGGAATTACAGGCGTGAGCCACCGCGCGTGGCCACATCTCTACAAAAATTTTAAAAATTAGGCCCGGCACGGTGGCTCAAGCCTGTAATCCCAGCACTTTGGGAGGCCAAGACGGGCGGATCACGAGGTCAGGAAATCGAGACCATCCTGGCTAACACGGTGAAACCCTGTCTCTACTAAAAAATACAAAAAACTAGCCGGGCGAGGTGGCGGGCGCCTGTAGTCCCAGTTACTCGGGAGGCTGAGGCAGGAGAATGGCGGGAACCCGGGAGGCGGAGCTTGCAGTGAGCTGAGATCCGGCCACAACAGCACTCCAGCCTGGGCTACAGAGCGAGACTCCGTCTCAAAAAAAAAAAAAAAAAATTAACCCAGTGAGGTTGCACACACCAGTGGTTCTAGCTACTCAGGAGGCTGAAGTAGGAGAATCTCCTGAGCTGAGGATGCAGTGGGCTGTGATCACACAACTGCACTCCAGCCTGGATGACAGAGTAAGACCCTGTCCGAAAATAAATAAATAAATAAGGAAGGGAAAAACCCTGTATAGCATATGTCTACTACATCTGAATTGCCAAGCAGCATAATTTGGGGTCAAAAAAAAGATTAAAATAAACTTTTCTTGGTATTTCAGTTTTGAATTCAACAGTTTCATTTTACTCAAATCCACTCTTACTATTGGAACGCTTTGTTATAATGAGTCAGTGCCAGCCATTAGTGTGAGGGGAGCTTGCTGAGGGTGAGGGGTTAAGGAGGAAGAGAAGAGAAGCACAGTTATTGTCAGAGTCTTGATATTTGCATAAATTCCTATGCATAAGTTATGCATAAAACCCCAGACAGGCAACACAGAGCCCATCTGTCTATAGTTCCTTATGAACATCCATTACATGCGTAAATACCTTTTTTTTTTCTGAGATGGAGTATTGCTCTGTCACCCAGGCTGGAGTGCAAAGGTGCAATCTTGGCTCACTGCAACCTCTACCTCCCAGGTTCAAGTGATTCTCCTGCCTCAGCCTCCCCAGTAGCTGGGATTACAGCTGCGTGCCACCACACCTGGCTAATTTTTGTATTTTTAGTACAGGCAGGGTTTCACCGTGTTGGTCAGGCTGATCTCAAACTCCCGACCTCAGGTGATCCGCCTGCCTCGGCCCCCCAAAATGCTATTACAGGCGTGAGCCACTGCGCCCGGCCACATGTGTATCTTATTATTGCTGTTAAAGGACAATGTTTGGACTTTCCACTTGCTTCTGAGTGTGTTCTGAAGCTTAATTAAATATTCAAAGTGGCCGGTGCAGTGGCTCATACGGGGAGGCCGAGGTCGGAGAATCACTTGAAGCCAGGAGTTCAAGACTAGCCTGGACAACACGGTGAAACCCTCATCTCTACTAAAAATACAAAAATTAGGTGGACGTGCTGGCAGCGCCTGTAATCCCAACTACTCAGGAGACTGAGACAGGAGAATCGCTTGAACCTGGGAGGCAGATGTTGTAGTAAGCCAAGATCGTGCCACTGCACTCCAGCCTAGGTGACAGAGCAAGACTCCATCTCAAAAAGAAAAAAAGAAAGAAAAGAAAAAGAAAGAAAAGAAAAGAAAAAGAAAGAAAAGAAAAGAAAAAAGAAAAAGGCAATCTAGCCCCCAGGCAAGAAGGAGGTCCGCTTTGGGAAAGGACTGTTACTGTCTTCGTTTAAACTATAAACTAAGTTTCTCTCAGAGTTAGTTCAGCCTACGCCCAGGAATGAACAAGGACAGCCTGGAGGTTAGAAGCAAGATGGAGTCAGTTAAGTGAGATCTCTTTCACTGTCTCAGTCTTAATTTTGCAAAGGCGGTTTCAAGTATGGTGGCGCATACCTGTGATCCCAGCTACTTGGGAGGCTGAGGCGCAAGAATCACTCGAACCTGGGATGCAGAGGTTGCAGTGAGCTGAGATCACACCACTGCACTCTAGCCTGGGTGACAGTGAGACTGTCTCAAAAAAAAAAAAAAAATTCAAAGTGCGTAGGTACTTACGAATCGAGACGAAAACTCTGACCAATGTTGAAGAAAAATAAATTGCATGTCTCAGTTTTGAACAAGTTGACTTTCATACAAATATTTCACATTCCATAGCATTTTATTTTTATTTTTTGAGATGGAGTCTCACTCTGTCACCCAGGCTGGAGTGCACTGGTGTGATCTCGGCTCACCGCAACCTCCGTCTCCCAGGTTCAAGGCATTCTCTTGCCTCAGCCTCCTGAGTAGCTGAGATTACAGGCACGTGCCACCATGCCTGGCTAATTTTTGTATTTTTAGTAGAGATGGGGTTTCACCATCTTGGTCAGGCTGGTCTCGAACTCCTGACCTCGAGATCCACCCACCTCGGCCTCCTAAAGTTCTGGGATTACAGCCGTAAGCCACCACGCCCAGCCTACTTTTTTTTTTTTTTTTAATTGAGACGTAGTCTTGCTTGGTCACCCAGGCTGCAGTGCAGTGGCCCAGTCTCAGCTCACTGCAACCTCAACCTCCCAGGTTCAAGTGATCCTTTCACCTCAGCCTCCCAAGTACCTGGGACTACAGGCACATGCCACCACTCCTGGTTAATTTTTGTATTTTTAGTAGAGATGGGGTTTTACCATGTTGGCCAGGCTGGTCTCAAACTCCTGGCCTCAAGTCTTCCCCCTACCTTGGCCTCCCAAAGTGCTAGGATTAGCAGGCCACTTTGAATATTTAAATAAGCTACAGAACACACTCAAAAAGTGAGTGGAAAGCCAGGACATTGTCCTTTAATCGTAATAAGATATTCACAGATGTGACCAGATGTGGTGGCTCACACCTATAATCTCAGCCCTTTGGGAGGCCAAGGCGGGCAAATCACCTGAGGTCAGGAGTTCGAGACCAGCCTAGCCAACATGGCAAAACCCCGTCTCTACTAAAAACGCAAAAATTGGCTGGGCCTGGTGGTGCATAACTGTAATCGCAGCTACGCTACTCAGGAGCTTGACGCAGAAGAATCACTTAAACCCGGGAGGCGGAGATTGCAGTAAGCCAAGATCCCACCACTGCACTCCAGCCTGGGCGACAGAGCGAGACTCTGTCTCAAATAAATAAATAAATAACTTAGTGTGAATATCTGATTATCAGATTGTATCTGATTATATTTAAGAAGAATGGGCCGTGCACAGTGGTTCAAGCCCGTAATCCTAGCACTTTGGGAGGCTGAGGCGGGTGGATCACAAGGTCAGGAGTTTGAGACCAGCCTGGCCAGCATGGTGAAACCCCATCTCTACTAAAAATACAAACATTAGCTGCTGGGCATGGTGGTGTGCGCCTGTAGTCCCAGCTGCTCGGGAGGCTGAGGCAGGAGAATCGCTTTAACCCGGGAGGCAGAGGTTGCTGTGAGCCAAGATCACATCACTGCACTCCCGCCTGGGTGACAGCGAGACTCTGTCTCAAAAAAAAAAAAAAAAGAATGGTTGTGGGTTGGTTATTCTATGGTGATGCATTATGGAAAGAAATTGAGAGCGGCTAATTTCTTTTTTCCTTTTTGTAGGACCCGATATTTGTGGATTTGATATCAAGAAAGTTCATGTTATTTTACATTTCAAGAATCAGTATCACGAAAACAAGAAACTGATCAGGTGTAAGGTAGCTGCTCTTGTATTCAAATAAATGAGTGTTAACTCTTGCCTGATGATAATTAAGTTTAGAGAAATTAGTTTTGATAGTAAAATACTTAACTGAGCCAAGGATGGGTCTTTGTAAACATACCTCCTGTTTCCGGTTTCCAGTGTAGGAGGCCATCGGAGAGACTTGTCTCCTTTAACTGGTTTCCTGAAGTTTTTACCCCATCAGAAGGGCACTCTCATTTTTTCTGTGAGCTATGACATGTCATCATTTGCCCTATGAGGGTTACAATAGTACAGTCACATTTCAACCACATCCATCCTCATTAATGAATGAAATATTCAGGATGGAGAAAACATTCTGGAGAAATGGCTGGGTGCAGAGGCTCACACCTGTAATCCCAGCACTTTGGGAGGCTGAGGCAAGAGGATTGCTTGAGCCAAGGAGTTCAAGACCAGCCTGGGCAACATGGCAAAACCCTGTCACTACAAAGGATACAAAAATTAGCCAGGTAAAGTGCCAGAAACCTGTGGTCCCAGCTACTTGGAAGGCTGAGGTGGGAGGATCAATTGAGCCCAGGAGGTCAAGGCTGCAGTGAGCTATGATTGTACCACTGCACTCCAGCCTGGGTGACAGAGCAAGACCCTGTCTCAAAAAAATAAATAGGCTGGGTGTGGTGGCTCATGCCTGTAATCCCAGCACTTTGGGAGGCCGAGGCAGGTGGATCACGAGGTCAGGAGATCGAGACCATCCTGGCTAACCCAGTGAAACCCCACCTCTACTAAAAATACAAAAAATTAGCCGGGCGCGGTGGTGGGCACCTGTAGTCCCAGCTACTTGGGAGGCTGAGGCAGGAGAATGGCGTGAACCCGGGAGGTGGAGCTTGCAGTGAGCCGAGATCAAGCCACTGCACTCCAGCCTGGGTGATAGAGCGAGACTCCGTCTCAAAAATAAATAAATAAATACATACATACATAAACAAATAAAAATAAGCTGCATATTTAGACTTGCATTAAAGCATGGAGGGTTGGTCAGGCGCGGTGGCTCATGCCTGCAATCCCAGCACTTTGGGAGGCCGAGGCGGGTGGATCACCTGAGATCAGGAGTTTGAGACCAGCCTAGCTAACATGGTGAAACCATCTCTACTAAAAATACAAAAATTAGTGGGGTATGGTGGTGGGTGCCTGTAATCCCAGCTTCTCAGGAGGCTGAGGTAGTAGAATCGCTTGAACTCGGGAGGTGGAGGTTGTAATGAGCTGAGATTGAGCCACTGCACTCCAACCTGGGCAACAGAGTGAAACTCCATCTCAAAAAAAAAAAAAAAAAAAAAAGAAATTGAGGGTTTAATTCTTACACTTTTCCCCCTAAAATGTGCAGGTTGATGGCTTCACACACCTCTACACTCTAATTTTAAGACCAGATCTTTCTTACGACGTGAAAATTGATGGTCAGTCAATTGAATCCGGCAGCATAGAGTACGACTGGAACTTAACATCACTGAAGAAGGAAACATCCCCGGCAGAATCGAAGGATTGGGAGCAGACTAAAGACAACAAAGCCCAGGTGTGAATTTTTCCTGGGCAACTCTAGAAAGTGCACAAATATAGTTTGTAAGTACCCAGTTACTGGACCATTGCTGCATGGCTGGTAGCCACAATGGCAATATTGTAGCACCAAATGGCCTCCCCAGAGCACACACTGCAGACCAGCCACATTGCTACACATCTGAAGGTATCGTAAAAGGGTATTTATTGCCGGGCGCAGTGGCTCACGCCTGTAATCCCAGCACTTTGGGAGGCCGAGGCGGGCGGATCACAAGGTCAGGAGATCGAGACCACGGTGAAACCCTGTCTCTACTAAAAATACAAAAAATTAGCCGGGCGCGGTGGCGGGCGCCTGTAGTCCCAGCTACTCAGGAGGCTGAGGCAGGAGAATGGTGTGAACCCGGGAGGTGGAGCTTGCAGGGAGCCGAGATCGCGCCACTGCACTCCAGCCTGAGCGACAGAGCGAGACTCTGTCTCAAAAAAAAAAAAAAAAAGAGTTGGCTGGGCGCGGTGGCTCACGCCTGTAATCCCAGCACTTTGGGAGGCCGGAGGCGGGCGGATCACAAGGTCAGGACATCGAGACCATCCTGGCTAACACAGTGAAACCCCGTCTCTACTAAAGAATACAAAAAATTAGCCGGGCGTAGTGGCGAGCGCCTATAGTCCCAGCTGCTCGGGAGGCTGAGGCAGGAGAATGGCGTGAACCCAGGAGGTGGAGGTTGCAGTGAGCCGAGATTGTGCCACTGCACCCCAGCCTGGGCGACAGACCAAGACTCCGTCTCAAAAAAAAAAAAAAAAAAAAGAGTATTTATTTATTTATTTATTTGAGACGGAGCTTCACTCTTGTTGCCCAGGCTGGAGTACAGTGCCACAATCTCAGTTCACGGCAACATCTGCCTCCCAGGTTGAAGTGATTCTCCTGCCTCAGCCTCCTGAGTAGCTGGGATTACAGGCACCCGCCACCACCCCTGGCTAATTTTTGTATTTTTAGTAGAGACGGGGTTTCACCATATTGGCCAGGCTGGTCTCGAACTCCCGACCTCAAGTCATCTGCCCACTTCGGCCTCCCAAAGTGCTGGGATGACAGGCGTGAGCCACCACATCTGGCCATTGTCATCGCTTTTTGCACCATCATTTTCACTCTAGCCACTACTTGAAGTTTTCCACACCACTGCTCCTCTCCATAGCATGGAGGAAAGGGCTAAAGTCATATGGCAGGTTAGGGAGAAAAATCTAGGCAGTGTGGTATTGCCCTGAAGTCCTCAGTGGCATTGGAAGCACCAAGCACTTGGCCTCCTGACGACCAAATTGAAGAAGGGAAAGGGACACTGGGACAGGGGTCACCAGCCTGTGCCTGCCACTTGGCATCTAATAATTTCCTTTCTCAAATCTGAGCATCTGGTTGGGTGCGGTGGCTCATGCCTGTAATACCAGCAGTTCGGAGGTCAAGGCAGGAGGATAACTTGAGCCCAGGAGTTCGAGACCAGCCTGGGCAACAGAGGGAGACCCTGACTGTACAAAACATAAAAATAGTAGCCAGGGGCTGGGCGCGGTGGCTCAAGCCTGTAATCCCAGCACTTTGGGAGGCTGAGACGGGTGGATCACGAGGTCAGGAGATCGAGACCATCCTGGCTAATACAGTGAAACCCCGTCTCTACTAAAAATAAAATACAAAAACTAGCCGGGCGAGGTGGTGGGTGCCTGTAGTCCCAGCTACTCGGGAGGCTGAGGCAGGAGAATGGCGTAAACCCCGGGGGTGGAGCTTGCAGTGAGCTGAGATCTGGCCACTGCACTCCAGCCTGGGCGACAGAGCGAGACTCCGTCTCAAAAAAAAAAAAATAGTAGTGAGGTATGATGGCGAGCACCTGTAGTCTCAGCTACTTGGGAGGCTGAGGCAGGAGGATCACTGGAGCCCAGGAGATTGAGGCTGCAGTGAGCCATGATTGCGCTACCTCACTCCAGTCTGGGCAAGAGCAAAACCTAGTCTCAAGAAACAAAAACAGAAGCAACAACAGCAAATATATGTGCATCTGATTGATTTTACTTTTTCCTTACATGTCTTTGAAGGACTGGGAGAAGCATTTTCTGGACGCCAGTGCCAGCAAGCAGAGCGACTGGAATGGTGAACTGGATGGGGACTGGCCGGCGTCGATGCTCCAGAAGCCCCCGTACCAGGTGTGTGGCCTCTTTGCATGATGCCAGGGATGCCCCAGGGATGCCCCTCCCCTGCCCATGTCATTGAGACCACCTCATATGGTTTTTCTGATGCAGGATGGCCTGAAACCAGAAGGTATTGATAAAGACATCTGGCTCCACCATAAAATGAAGAATACCAACTATTTGACACAGTATGACCTCTCGGAATTTGAGAACATTGGTGCCATTGGCCTGGAGCTTTGGCAGGTCATTTGGTTTTAAATTTACTTGTGTGTGTGTGTGTGTGTGTGTGTGTGTTTTGTTTTGTTTTTTTGAGACAGGGTCTTATTCTGTCACCTAGGCACGATTCTAGCTCACTGGAGCCTCAAACTGGGCCCAAGCAATCCTCCCACCTCAGCCTCCCAAGTAGCTAGGACTACAGACACAAGCCACCATACCCAGATTTTTTTTTAAGAGATGGGGGTCTCACTGTGTTGTCCAGGCTGGTTTGGAACTTCTAGGCTCAAGTAATCCTTCCACCTCAGCCTCCCAAAGTGCTGAGAGTTGTTGTTGTTGTTGTTGTTGTTTTTTGTTTTTTGTTTTTTTTTTGTTTTTTTTTTTTTGAGACGGAGTCTTGCTCTGTCACCCAGGCTGGAGTGCAGTGGCCGGATCTCAGCTCACTGCAAGCTCCTCCTCTCGGGTTCACGCCATTCTCCTGCCTCAGCCTCCCGTGTAGCTGGGACTGCAGGCACCCGCCACTTCGCCCGGCTAGTTTTTTGTATTTTTTAGTAGAGACGGGGTTTCACCGTATTAGCCAGGATGGTCTCGATCTCCTGACCTCGTGATCTGCCCGTCTCGGCCTCCCAAAGTGCTGGGATTACAGGCTTGAGCCACCGCGCCCGGCCAGCACCACCTACTATTCTAATTGCTGTTACGGTACACTGTACTGAGCAAAATACATCTGTTTCTTTTTGTCACATCAATAATAAAGGCCTAGTAGCCAGGGACAGTATGGCTCACGCCTGTAGTAGTCACAGCTACTGGGGAGGCTGAGATGGGATGATCACATGAGCCCGGAAGTTCTTTTTTTTTTTTCTTTGAGACAGAGTCTCACTCTGTCACCCAGGTGGGAGTACAGTGGCACAATCTCAGATCACCGCAGCCCCTGCCTCCCAGGTTCAAGTGATCCTCCCACCTCAGCCTCCCGAGTAGCTGGGACTACAGGCATGCACCGCCACACCTGGTAATTTTTGTATTTTTAGTAGAGACAGGGTTCACCATGTTGGCCAGGCTGGTCTTGAACTCCTGACCTCAACTGATTCACCTGCCTCAGCCTCCCAAAGTGCTGGGATTACAGGTGTGAGCCACTACGCCTGGCCAAGCCCAGAAGTTCAAGTCCAGCCTAGGCAACATAGCAAGACCCCATCTCTAAAAAATAAAAAATGTCACCTGAGCTTCATATATTTCCAAAGGAAAAAAGAAATGAAAAATAAACAAATAATAAAGAGTAAAAGCATAAAAATGAAGGCCTTATTTTCATCTGCAGGTGAGATCTGGAACTATTTTCGATAACTTTCTGATCACAGATGATGAAGAGTATGCAGATAATTTTGGCAAGGCCACCTGGGGCGAAACCAAGGTATGAAGCATGTGATTAACTCTTCCTACATCACTAATTTATTTGTGTAAACTTTTTTTTCTTTTTTTTTTGAGATGAAGTCCAGCTCTGTCACCCAGGCTGTACGTAGTGCAGTGGCGTGATCTCGGCTCACTGCAACCTCCACCTCCCGGGTTCAAGCGATTCTCCTGCCTCAGACTCCCGAGTAGCTGGGACTACAAGCACATGCCACCACGTCTGGCTAATTTGTATATTTTTAGTAGAGAGGGGGTTTCACCATATTGCTCAGGCTGGTCTCGAAGTCCTGACCTCAGGTGGTCCACCTGCCTTGGCCTTCCAAAGTGCTGGGATTACAGGTGTGAGCCACCGCGCCTGGCCCCATATAAGGTTAATATTGACAGGTTCCAGGGATTAGGACATGAAATCTTTTTTTTTTTTTGAGACGGAGTCTCGCTCTGTTTCCAGGCTGAAGTACAGTGGCGTGATCTTGGCTTACTGCAACCACCCCCTCCTGGGTTCAAGCAATTCTCCTGCCTCAGCCTCATGAGTAGCTGGGACTATAGGCACGCACCACCACACCCAACTACTTTTTGTATTTTTAGTAGAGATGGGGTTTCACCATATTGGCCAGGATGGTCTCGATCTGTTGACCTCGTGATCCGCCTGCCTCAGTCTCCCAAAGTCCTGGGATTACAGGCTTGAGCCACCATACCCGGCCAGGACATGAAATCTTTACAGGCTGTTCTTATTCAGCCTATCCCAGGTGGTGAGGCGGCTTCTAGAAGGCAGGGACCGCCTGAGTACTGACATGCATTTGGCCACATGGAAGCATAATCTCTGGGGCTTTTTTTTTTTTTTCCCCCAAGACTGAGTCTTGCTCTGTCACCCAGGCTGGAGTACAGTGGCGCGATCTTGGCTCATTGCAACCTCTGCCTCCTGGGTTCAAGTGATCCTCTCACCTCAGCCTCCCGAGCAGCTGGGACCACAGCTACACACCACCATGCCCAGCTAATTTTTGTACTTTTAATAGAGACAGGGTTTCACCATCTTGGCCAGGCTGGTCTCGAACTCCTGACCTCGTGATCCATCCGCCTTGGCCTCCCAAAGTGCTGGGATTACAGGCCTGAGCCACCATGCCCTGTGGGGCTTATGTTTTTTGTTTCTTTCTCCAGGGTCCAGAAAGGGAGATGGATGCCATACAGGCCAAGGAAGAAATGAAGAAGGCCCGCGAGGAAGAGGAGGAAGAGCTGCTGTCGGGAAAAATGAACGGGCGCGAACATTACTTCAATCGATTTCACAGAAGGAATGAACTTTAGTCATCCCCATTGGATATAAGGATGACTGGTAAAACCTCATTGCTACTTTAATCTATGTTTCAAACTCAAATGTCTACATGGCACTTTGTCCAATATTCTTTGAAAAGTGTTTCACGCTTCTTGGTGGGATTGGTTGCATCTCCTCGGTGACACCGTTGCACTGAGAAGTTTCCTCTTGACAATTTTACGCGCTAAAAACCAGAGGCCAGCAAGGGTCTGGCCAAAACCATGATTCCCTTTTCTTTTTTTCTTTTCTTTTTTTTTTTTTTTGAGACAGAGTTTCACTCTTTTTGCCCAGGCTGGAGTGCAATGGCGCGATCTCAACTCACCGCAACCTCCGCCTCCCGGGTTCAAGCCATTCTCCTGCCTCAGCCTCCTGAGTAGCTGGGATTACAGGCATGCGCCACCACCCCGACTAATTTTGTATTTTTAGTAGAGACGGGGTTTCTCCATGTTGGTCAGGCTGGTCTTGAACTCCCGACCTCAGGTGATCCACCTGCCTCGGCCTCCCAAAGTGCTGGGATGACAGGCGTGAGCCACCGCGCCCGGCGATTCCCTTTTCTTAACTCCCGTAGTCTTTTTAGAAAATAAAAGTTGACCAGGAAGTGTGCCTCACACCTATAATCCCATCACTTTGGGAGACTGAGATGGGCGAATCACTTGAGCTCAGAGTTCAAGACCAGCCTGGCCAACATGGTGAACCAGCCTGGTTGCGTGCGCCACCACACCCGGCTAATTTTTTGTATTTTTAGTAGAGATGGGGTTTCATGGTATTAGCCAGGATGGTCTCGATCTTCTGACCTCGTGATCTGCCTACCTTGGCCTCCCAAAGTGCTGGGATTATAGGCATGAGCCACTGCAGCCAGCCATATTTTTTGTTTTTTAATTTAATTTTTATAGGAATGGGAGTCTCACATGTTGCCCAGGCTGGTCCTGAACTCCTGGACTCAAGCCATGCTCCCACCTTGGCGTCGCAAAGCTCTGGGCTTACAGGTGTGAGCCGCTGCTTCTGGCCCAGTCTTCTTCTGGAAGAGACCCAGAATCATGCTGAAACTCGTGATGAAAGTAATCAAATTTATGACACCAGAAATTTGGAATCTAGTGATGTTATGAATAAGCCAGATAAATTGGAATTTATATGCAGAATATTGAGAGTTGACCAGTGTGGGCCGGGTGCAGTAGCTCACACCTGTACTCCCAACACTTTGGGAGACAGAGGTGTGTAAATTGCTTGAATCCAGGAGTTCAAGACCAGCCTGGGCAATGTGGCAAAATTCTGCCTCTACAAAAAATACTAAAAATTAGCTGGGTTTGGTGGTGCACACCTGTGGTCCCAGCTATTCAGGAGGCCGAGATGGGAGGATCACCTGAGCTTGGGAGGTGGAGATTGCAGTGAGCTGAGATTGCGCCACTGCACTGCAGCCTGGGTGACGGAATGAGACCCTACCTAAGAAAAAAAGAAAAAAAAGAAAGAAAGAAAAAAAAAGAAAGTTGATCAGTTTCAAAAGCCTGCCTGAGAAGTGAAGTTCTGCAGTTTTGCTTTCACTGTGGTCAATGTTGGCAGACCTTTGTGCCTGGATTTTTTCTGATGATGGCTACATCAACCTTCACCAATTATTAGGGGTAGAGTATTACTCTGAGAAACTAAAGACTCCCTCCTAATGCAAGGGTGGCAAACACTGCCTACCTCTTACATCTCTGAACAGGGTGAGAAGTTAGTGTGAAAAGAATCAGAAGCAGGCCTAGAGAGAAAGTGCTGGCACCAATTACTGTACAAAGATGAGTCAGGCCAGGTGTGGTGGCTTGTGCCTTTAATCCCAGCTATTTGGGAGGCCAAGGAGGGAGGATCACTTCAGAACAGGAGTTTGAGACCAGCATGGGCAACATAGAGACCTCGTCTCTAAAAAAAAAAAAAATTTGTAATTAGCTGGGCATGGAGGCACATGACTGTGATCCCAGCTACTTGGGAGGCTGAGATGGGAGGATCACTTGAGTCCAGGGGGTCAAAGCTACAGTGGGCTATGATTGTGCCACTGCACTCCAGCCTGAGTGACAGAGAGAGACCCTGTCTCTAAAAATAAAATCAAATGGAGCTAAAAAGACAAAAAACAATGAGTGAGACTGGCTCAGCCTCTGAAGATTCATTGGGAGCAGAGTTGTCTGAGTGTCCAAGAGAATTTCTCACTTGTTGCTTTTTTTTTTTTTTTTTTAGACAGAGTCTCGCTCTGTCGCCCAGGCTGGAGTGCAGTGGCCAGATCTCAGCTCACTGCAAGCTCCGCCTCCCGGGTTTACGCCATTCTCCTGCCTCAGCCTCCCGAGTAGCTGGGACTACAGGCGCCCGCCACCTTGCCCGGCTAGTTTTTTGTATTTTTTTTTTTAGTAGAGATAGGGTTTCACCGTGTTAGCCAGGATGGTCTCGATCTCCTGACCTTGTGATCCGCCCATCTCGGCTTCCCAAAGTGCTGGGATTACAGGCTTGAGCCACCGCGCCCAGCCTTTTTTTTTTTTTTTTTTTTGAAACAGAGTCTTGCTCTGTCACCCAGGCTGGAGTGCAGTGGTGCAATTATGGCTCACTGCAACCTCTGCCTCCTGGGTTCAAGCGATTCTCATGTCTTAGCCTCCCAAGCAGCTGGGAGTACGGGCATGCGCCACCACGCCCGGCTGAATTTTGTATTTTTAGGAGAGACGGGGTTTCGCCATGTTGGCCAGGCTGATCTGGAACTCCTGACCTCAGGTGATCCACCTGCCTTGGCCACCCAAAGTGCTGGGATCACAGGCGTGAGCTACCATGCCTGGTCACCTGCTGCTGTTGAGCCCTTGAAATGTGGCTGGTGGGACCAAGAAATGACTTTTTAATCTTATTTCATTCTAAAGTTTCTTCACTTTAAACTTTGTTAAAGGGAGAACTCTGGACATATTAAATTTCATGGCGTGTAATTGAGCAAAGAACAATTCATAAATCAGGTAGCTGCCAGAGCAACTCCATCTTGAATAGGGGCTGAGTAAAATAAGGCTGAGACCTACTGGGCTGCATTCCCAGGCGATTAAGGCATTCTTAGTCACATGATGAGATAGGAGGTCAGCACTAAAGACCTTGCTGATAAAACAGGTTGCAGTAAAGAAGCCGGCTAAAACCCACCAAAACCAAGACGGTGATGGGAGTGACCTCTGGTGGTCCTCACTGCTACACTGCCACCAGCGCCATGACAGCTTACAAAGATCATGGCAACATCAGGAAGTTACCATATATGGCAGTCTAAACAGGGAAGGCATGGGCCAGGCGCGGTGGCTGACGTCTGTAATCCCAGCACTTTGGGAGGCTGAGGTGGGCGGATCATGAGGTCAGAAGATCAAGACGATCCTGGCTAACACGGTGAAACCCCATCTGTACTAAAAATACAAAAAATTAGCTGGGCATGGTGGCAGGCACCTGTAGTCCCAGCTACTCGGGAGGCTGAGGCAAGAGAATGGCGTGAACCCGGGAGGCGGAGTTTGCAGTGAGCCGAGATCGCGCCACTGTACTGCAGCCTGGGCGACAGAGCGAGACTCCCTCTCAAAAAATAAAAATAGGCCGGGCGCGGTGGCTCACGCCTGTAATCCCAGCACTTTGGGAGGCCGAGGCGGGCGGATCACAAGGTCAGGAGATCGAGACCACGGTGAAACCCCGTCTCTACTAAAAATACAAAAAAATTAGCCGGGCGCGGTGGAGGGCGCCTGTAGTCCCAGCTACTCAGGAGGCTGAGGCAGGAGAATGGCGTAAACCCAGGAGGCGGAGCTTGCAGTGAGCCGAGATCGCGCCACTGCACTCCAGCCTGGGCGACAGAGCGAGACTCCGTCTCAAAAAAACAAAAAAACAAAACAAAACAAAAAAAATAATAAATAAAAAATAAAAATAAATAAATAAAAAGGGAAGGTATGAATAATCCACCTCTTGTTTACCTTATCATCAAGAAATAACCATAAAAATGAGAAACCTGGCCAGGCGCAGTGGCTCAAGCCTGTAATTCCAGCACTTTGGGAGGCCGAGGCGGGTGGATCACCTGGGGTTGGGAGTTCAAGACCAGCCTGACCAATATGGGGAAACCCCATCTCTACTAAAAATACAAAATTATCCGGGCGTGGTGGTGCATGCCTGTAATCCCAGCTATTCAGGAGGCTGAGGCAGGAGAATCGCTTGAACCCGGGAGGCAGAGGTTGTGATGAGCCGAGATCCCACCATTGTACTCCAGCCTGGGCAACAAGAGTGAAAGTCCATCTCAAAAACAACAACAACAACAACAAAAAACCCAGCAGCCCTTGGGGCTGCTCTATGAAGTAGGCATTCCATTATTCCTTTACTTTCCTAATAAACTGGCTTTCACTCTACTGTATGGACTTGCCTGCTTTAATTCTTTCTTGAGTGAGATCCAAGAACCCTCTCAGGGTCTGGATCAAGACCCCTTTGCGGTTACAGTACAAAGGCTCTGATTGTCAAAAGTGGCAAGGTCACTGGAACTCCATTTCAGATCCCATCTGGATCATCAAAATGTCAACCCTAAATAAATAAATTCAGGAAATATGGTTAAATGTCGAGTTTAGTTTAGCCCAAAGTTTGAGGACGGCCACCCTGAAACACAGATTCCAAAGAATGGAAATCAGCACTCCAAAGTGAGGAAGTTGGGGGATCATTTATACAGGTAAGGTTTGGGAAGCTTGACAGAGTTTCCACATATTTCACACAACGCGAGTACATGGTTAACAGTAATCTGGGCCGGGCGCGGTGGCTCAAGCCTGTAATCCCAGCACTTTGGGAGGCCGAGACGGGCGGATCACTAGGTCAGGAGATCGAGACCATCCTGGCGAACATGGTGAAACCCCGTCTCTACTAAAAATACAAAAAACTAGCCGGGCGAGGCGGCGGGCGCCTGTAGTCCCAGCTACTCGGGAGGCTGAGGCAGGAGAATGGCGTAAACCCAGGAGGCGGAGCTTGCAGTGAGCTGAGATCCGGCCACTGCACTCCAGCCCGGGCGACAGAGCCAGACTCCGTCTCAAAAAAAAAAAAAAACAGTAATCTGATTAGTCAAGGCAGTAGTCTTTTTGGGAAGGGTGTATTTAACATTCACATAG